GCGAGTATGTACCGAAGACACTATCTGCAATCGTCTTGAGGAAGTGTTCCCATGCTGACGACAGTTTCGACAACCTAAGAAGTTGTTTGTGTGGTTTCAAAGCTGAGCTTGAATTTACACCAGCAGGAATCGCCCCCAGTCTAAATCCCTGACAGAACCCAGTCGTCCTCCGCATTAAACTCGTGACAAATTGCCTTCCTGAAAGCCACTAACAGGAGAACCGCAGGCAGAGGACCTACTGATCAATAGAAACCGGATTTGCCATTGTTTTCGTCCTTCAAAACACATCCATAGATCCTCATAAAGAATCTGCCGCTGGGATGGGGCGATCGTTCATTTCATTTCATTTCAAGCGAGGATACGCCAACGCAGCCCTAGACGACCCCCTCATGAGGAGATTGTATGCTGATCCACAGTGAAAACTGTTGAGAAACCCGTCGATTTGCAGATAATTTGTTGTCTTTGAGTAATCGCAGGCCTCCTTGACCTTTGACCTTCCATAAATAAACTTAAATCAGACCAATTGCTTGGTAAAGTACCAATAAGACGCATGCATTTGCATGCCATCGAAAGCAATTATTTGCTTTCAGCAGCATGCAAAAACACTCACCCAGAAGCCTAAAGGTCTAATAAATGAGCACTGGAGGGGTCTCATTAGCAAGCCGCTAACTGAATGCTAATGCTTACATTTGCATATGTAAATGAGCGCACTTGTGCGTTTGCGGGCGTATGATCCTGACAGGACTGACATTGGGTTTGTTTGGAACGTGTGCCGCAATACAACCAGAGCACACTGCGTGAACACTGTATCCCACAATGCAGTGCGCACTGTCCGCTTGACCTTACAAAAGGGAAATGTTTGTACGGATAAAAATATAAATTTTGCTGGTCCAATCAAATATTATGTCAAAAATAAGTTGAAAACACGTTCATTTGTCGTCCTTGAAATGGCATGACGCAGTATCCATACTACATACCTAAAGAGTAGTATAGTAGTACGCAATCTAAACAAACAGGCAAATAAAATATATTTTATTAGAATACTCGTGTTCATACTCAACTCATAATGAATCTTATGTTCTGATGTGGATATTGTATATTTTCTGTAGGCTTGACGGGTCAGAATATACTATCCGTCTGCAGTTGTAGGAAAACTTTAGGACAAGTGCACACCTCAGCGGTCTCCTCGAGCAAAGGAGATCCATCATGAAGCAGATGCGCTTGTCACACTGTGAATGAATGGATGAACGAATAGGAAAACCTGGTTATCGGGCTTCCTCCATGTTTCCAGAGCCCTGGCAATAAATCTGACCGAGTCAAAACGGCGCGCCCACGTTCACGGACGTTGGCGAGAATCAACCCACAGAAACCAGGAGAACAATTCTCTGAAACGCATTACATAACAGCATTTTCTCACTCTAAATAGCTAAATACCGCCAGCTACATTAGCTGCTAAAGTGAATTAGCAGTGTATTCTAGTCCAATGTATGCTTAGGTAACAGCTTAGCGTTAGCATAAACATACCTTTGTCAAACTACAAGCTACTTGATTAACAGTAAGTTTAATTTGAGTCAAGCAAACAGTTAAAAAGTAGTTAGCCACACTTAAAAGTGTCTTACAAAAACGTGCTAACTGTAATAATGCTACAAACAAAAACTAGGCCTAGCTATACCCCAGACAGCAAACTGACATTGAATCAACGTGGAAACGACGTCTCTCATGACATTGAAACAACGTTGATTTTGCTCATCGAATTAACGTTGAACCAACGTCAGACGCGGCATTCTTCAAAGCTAAATGAAAATCGAAAATTGGTTTGCTTTCATAACATTGAAACAACGCATTGATTTCAAGTTGATTTTCCGTTAGTTTTGAAAGAATGACGCGTCTGACGTTGGTTCAACGTTAATTCGATGAGCAAAACAATGTCAGATCAACGTTGTTTCGATGTCATATTTCCACGTTGATTCAATGTCAGTTTGCTATCTGGGTTAGCAGTGTATTCTAGTCCAATGTATGCTTAGGTAACAGCTTTGCGTTAGCATAAACATACCTTTGTCAAACTACAAGCTAATTTGAGTCAAGCAAACAGTTAAAAAGTAGTTAGCCACACTTAAAATTGTCTTACAAAAACGTGCTAACTGTAATAATGCTACAAACAAAAATTAGGCCTAGCTATACGCCATTTCAGTTTGCTATTTTTTTTTGTAGGTAGCGATATACACTTTAATTTCAGCTAGCTGGATTTTAAAAAGTTACACCTTCAGTTAGTTTTTATGACTATAAGTAGCTGTATGACAATAATGACGTCACGCCACTGCGTTGCCATGGCGCGAAATGCAGATGGAGGGCAGGAAGTGATTTTCTATATTTAGGAAGCACTATAACAAACTCAAAATGCTTATGTTTTGCGTCGTTTATGGTTGCTAAAATCGATCAAACCACGAGGAGTTTTTATCGTGTGCCAAAAGTTGTTGTTCATAATGGGGGAAAATACAAGAAATTGACTGGAAAATGCCTTGCAAACCTACGTCTGTGGTGGGGAGGAGCCGAATGGGAAAATGCCCGTGTGTGTGTGTGTGCAGTGATCACTTCGTCAAATGTGAGTTAATACATTATTTATGTGGCTTATAATTATTATTCAGGTGTTTAAATACACTTATGTGGCTGTTTGTGTGACGTACCAGTTTCCGAACTTAGTAAAGTCAAAGCGTGTCTGTAAGACGAGGTATTTGCTGATATCTACAGCCTCGACGGCAGGCAAATTTCTCAATTGAGTCGAAAATCGCTCCTCTTCATAACGTAAGGATCATGTCCAACATATGTTTCGATTTTTAGTTAGCTAGTTTTTATAAGTAGCTATACCTTCATTTCAATTAGCTAGTTTTTGTAAGTAGCTATACACATTTATTCCAGTTAGCAAATTTTTGTAAGTAGCTATACACAGTAATTTCAGCTAGTTTCTATAAGTAGCTATACCTTCATTTCAGTTAGCTAGTTTTTGTAAGTTGCTATACACTTTTTTTTCAGTTAGCAAGTTTTGTAAGTAGCTATACACGTTAATTTCCTTTAGCTAGTTTTTATAAGTAGCTGTACACGTTTATTCCAGTTAGCTAGTTTTTGTAAGTAGTTATACACGTATATTCCAGGTAGCAAATTTTTGTAAGTAGCTACACACGTTTATTTCATTTAGCTAGTTTTTATAAGTAGCTGTACACATTCATTTCATATAGCTAGTTTTTATAAGTAGCTGTACACATTAATTTCATTTAGCTAGTTTTTGTAAGTAGCTATACACATTTATTCCAGTTAGCAAATTTTTGTAAGTAGCTATACACGTTTATTTCATTTAGCTAGTTTTTATAAGTAGCTATACACGTTTATTTCATTTAGCTAGTTTTTATAAGTAGCTGTACACATTCATTTCATTTAGCTAGTTTTTATAAGTAGCTGTACACATTAATTTCATTTAGCTAGTTTTTGTAAGTAGCTATACACATTTATTCCAGTTAGCAAATTTTTGTAAGTAGCTATACACGTTTATTTCATTTAGCTAGTTTTTATAAGTAGCTGTACACATTCATTTCATTTAGCTAGTTTTTATAAGTAGCTGTACACATTAAGTTCATTTAGCTAGTTTTTGTAAGTAGTTATACACATTTATTCCAGTTAGCAAATTTTTGTAAGTAGCTATACACGTTTATTCCAGTTAGCTAGTTTTTATAAGTACCTACACGTTTATTTCAGTTAGCTAGTTTTTGTAAGTATCTGTACACGTTAATTTCAGCTAGTTTCTATAAGTAGCTATACCTTCATTTCAGTTAGCTAGTTTTTGTAAGTTACTATACACTTTTTTTTCAGTTAGCAAGTTTTGTAAGTAGCTACCCAGACAGCAAACTTACATTGAATCAACGTGGAAACGACGTCTCTCATGACATTGAAACAACGTTGATTTTGCTCATCGAATTAACGTTGAACCAACGTCAGACGCGGCATTCTTCAAAGCTAAATGAAAATCGAAAATTGGTTTGCTTTCATAACGTTGAAACAACGCGTTGATTTCAAGTTGATTTTCCGTTAGTTTTGAAAGAATGACGCGTCTGACGTTGGTTCAACGTTAATTCGATGAGCAAAACAATGTCAGATCAACGTTGTTTCGATGTCATATTTCCACGTTGATTCAATGTCAGTTTGCTATCTGGGTATACACGTTAATTTCATTTTGCTAGTTTTTATAAGTAGCTGTACACGTTTATTCCAGTTAGCTAGTTTTTGTAAGTAGCTATACACGTTTATTCCAGTTAGCTAGTTTGTGTAAGTAGCTATACACATTATTTTCAGTTAGGTAGTTTTTGTAAGTAGCTATACACATTATTTTCAGTTAGGTAGTTTTTGTAGTAAGTAGCTATACACGTTTATTCCAGTTTGCTAGTTTTTGTAAGTAGCTATACACATTTATTCCAGTTAGCCAGTTTTTGCAAGTAGCTATACACGTTTATTCCAGTTAGCAATTTTGTAAGTAGCTATACACGTTTATTCCAGTTAGCCAGTTTTTGTAAGTAGTTATACACGTTTATTCCAGTTAGCAATTTTGTAAGTAGCTATACACGTTTATTCCAGTTAGCCAGTTTTTGTAAGTAGTTATACACGTTTATTCCAGTTAGCAATTTTGTAAGTAGCTATACACGTTTATTCCAGTTAGCCAGTTTTTGTAAGTAGTTATACACAATTATTCCAGTTAGCAATTTTTGTAAGTAGCTATACACGTTTATTCCAGTTAGCTAATTTTTGTAAGTAGCTATACACGTTTATTCCCGTTAGCAAATTTTTGTAAATAGCTGTACACGTTTATTCCAGTTAGCTAGTTTTTAAAGTAGCTATACACATTTATTTCAGTTTGCTAGTTTTTGTAAGTAGCTATACACGTTAATTTCATTTAGCTAGTTTTGTAAGTAGCTATACACACACCTGACTGAAATAAATCAACATATCAGCACATCTTTCAAGGTGAGTGGTGAAGCATGGAATAATTTTAATAATATACATTTCATGTTTTTGATTCAAATAATCAAGTTCAACATCAACCAGAAACTCCTTTATATACGATACTCAACATACTGTAATTTTTGTATATATATTTTTAAAGACAAGCTGCTGTTTTAGCCCCACACGAGGCGGAAATTAATAAAAGACTATTTGATGGCTTATTAAACCCGTTGAACTCTTCCAAACTCTTCCGACCTTAAAGATACAGTCTGTAATTGATAAAACTACACAAACTGTCTATCAGGACCAAGTCGTTAATAAATATGCTGCTATGGCGGCCACTGGGTTTCAAGTCGGTGGGGAGGTCAGGTTATCTTCAGATTCAATCCAATATAAATAAAGTACTTTTATTACAATTATTATTAAACATCGTTACTAATAGCTGTGTAGAATGGCACTTGATAACCACTCGACATAATCTTCCAGAACAGTTAGACTGACAGTACACACAAACAAACAAACAAAAACGAGTCTCTCAGTTTTTCAGACTGATGGGGTTTCGGTCCAATGGCGCGAGTCCAACCGTCGGCCATTTTGGCTCAAACTCGAACAACTCTGCGGTTGAGTCAGGGCTCCTGAAAAGGCTCTGGAAGAACCAGGAGGCGGAGTTATGTAAAACAAGTGGATGTGTGTGGCTCCGCCCCCTGGCTAAGCCCCGCCCCCGAGTCCCTCTGTAGACCTGTCTTTACAGGATCTGCTCAGTACTGGATGCGGAGATGTCTAAGAGTCTCCAAGCAGCGTAGGGGTTCAACTCGTCCTGATCTCGACACAACGCCCAAACGTACATCATCCTCAAGACCTTATCCTGGGAAACAGAATGGATGAACTTCATTAACCCGTTCGCACACTCAGCGCTCAACTACTCACACACATTATGTTTAATTTAGGTTTCAGACATTTAAATACACATAAGTACAAGCAAAACAATTAATTTGAGTTTGTAGAAGTGCCAATAATAATCCTTTCCATTATAATTAGACGACACGCTTTATTCATATCAGATACACGACATGAACATCTTGGATGGCGCTGGGCTGAGAAAAATTTTCAGGAAATGTTCATTTTGAGGTGAACTACTCCTTTAAGACTTATGTGGAAAGGGTTAAAGCCGTCGTCTTCAGCGTTTCTAAGCCCACGACTGCCTAAACTAAATGACTCGAGGGCGGCGGAGCGCCATAATTAACTACAAACATCCCTGGTGTGCCGTTTCATTGGGCCGTTTAAGAGATTTATACCCTGCGAACAGCGAGTGAGATCATGGCGTAGGAGCCGTTACTCACCGGGTCTCCCTCCACGACGTCACCCTTCATGTTACGGATGACCATCACCAGCTGAGCCTGGAAGGTGATGATGAGGACGGGGCCTTGCTCCATCATCTTCCCCATCGCCAGCTTCACAGAAAACAAAACGAGAGTTATTTTAAACATTTGTATGTCATAATGGAATCAGATGCTCTCCAGATTACCCGTCCATCAGGACGCTCAGATGGAGTTACTGAGCCTGTAAGATGCAGCAGACGGGTATCATGTGTCTGTTTTCCTTCGGTACTCACGTCAATGTTATCAATGTCCAGGATCTTGGAGTGAAACAGGAGGCCCATGGCTTTGGCTTGCTGGATGGGGTGCGCCAGCTGACTGTACGTCTGAAACCAGAACCAGTGTTAGAGCGTCAAGCTTAAAGGGACAGTTCACCCAAAAATGAGAATTAGTCCATGATTTACTCACACTCAAGTCATCCAAGGTGAATGACATTCTTCTTTCAACACAATCGGAGTTATATTAAAAAACATCCTGGATCGTCTGTTTTGAAGTTCATAAAAGTGTATCTATCAATCATAAAAGTGCATCTGTCCATCATAAATGCACTTTTATGATGGATAGATGCACTTTTATGATGGATGGATGCACTTTTATCATGGATAGATGCACTTTTATGATGGATAGATGCACTTTTATGATGGATAGATGCACTTTTATCATGGATAGATGCACTTTTATGATGGATCGATGCACTTTTATGATGGATAGATGCACTTTTATCATGGATGATGGATAGATGCACTTTTATGATGGATAGATGTACTTTTATGATGGATAGATGTACTTTTATGATGGATAGATGCACTTTTATGATGGATAGATGCACTTTTATGATGGATAGATGTACTTTTATGATGGATAGATGTACTTTTATGATGGATAGATGCACTTTTATGATGGATAGATGCACTTTTATCATGGATAGATGCACTTTTATCATGGATAGATGCACTTTTATCATGGATAGATGCACTTTTATGATGGATAGATGCACTTTTATGATGGATAGATGTACTTTTATGATGGATAGATGCACTTTTATGATGGATAGATGTACTTTTATGATGGATAGATGCACTTTTATGATGGATAGATGCACTTTTATCATGGATGGATGCACTTTTATCATGGATAGATGCACTTTTATCATGGATAGATGCACTTTTATGATGGATAGATGCACTTTTATGATGGATAGATGTACTTTTATGATGGATAGATGCACTTTTATGATGGATAGATGTACTTTTATCATGGATAGATGTACTTTTATGATGGATGGATGCACTTTTATGATGGATAGATGCACTTTTATGATGGATAGATGCACTTTTATCATGGATAGATGCACTTTTATGATGGATAGATGTACTTTTATCATGGATAGATGTACTTTTATGATGGATGGATGCACTTTTATGATGGACAGATGCACTTTTATCATGGACAGATGCACTTTTATGATGAATAGATGCACTTTTATGATGCATAGATGCACTTTTATGATGGATAGATGCACTTTTATAATGGATAGATGCACTTTTATGATGGACAGATGCACTTTTATGATGGATAGATGCACTTTTATGATGGACAGATGCACTTTTATGATGGATAGATGCACTTTTATGATGCATAGATGCACTTTTACAGACTTAAAACAGAAACGGTCATTCAAAGTCATTATAAAGCTTGGAAGATCCAGGACATTTATTAATATAACTCTGATTGTATTCGTCTGAAGGAAGAATGTCATATACGCCTAGGATGAATTGGGTATTGGAGTAAATCATGGGCTAATTCTAATTTCTGGGTGAACTATCCCTTTAACAGTCAAATCACGTCTAGAAAACAGGGTTTCCCGGGACACTCACGGCCTCGTAGCACCAGTCTTTCAGCACGTCCAGTTCTCCCTGGATCATGGCCTACAAACAGAGCGAATGTTCAGCGTGAATGCTCTTTCGATGTTATCGGAGCGATGTACGCTGGGGTTTTTGTCCCTCACCTCTAGGATGTTGGGAATGATGTCTGTCTCGCACAGCTTGAGGAAGGAATCCTTGTCGAAATTCGGATCCACCTTCAGGATCTCAGTCAGAACCTCAGACATCTCGGTTTTAGAGAACAAACCGCCTGAGAAGAGCAGAGGACGGTTATGATGACGGAGATAGATCTATCCATCTATAAAAAAAAGTAATCATAACTGCAGTGGTGTGTTTACCGATGATGTCGGTCATCTTCTCAGTGACGGCGCGGGACGCTCTAACGAAGGCGTTGTCACTCTCATCGTACTTCATCTTCATCTCGAAGAACCCTGCAAGGAGAAAAGCACAGATTCGGCTCAACCCCACGCTGAAACAAACATCACACCACGGTCTGAGCAACACGACCCTCTCCTCTGGACAATCCTTCGATCATGACGGGTGCTCGTTACTCCAACTGATGCCGTGAACTCTTCAATTACACACTCACATCCAGAGCCGCTCAGAACATGCAGCTCTCTGCGCCATCTATTGGTCACTCATGTGCACTGCAGCTCAACTCACTGTTAAAGACCACATTGTTGTCCTTGAAGTCCTTCCACTGCTGATACCACTTTGAGTCCTTGTGAAGCACGACCCCCATCGCCTCCCTTCAGGAGAGAAAGAAAACATCAGAGTTAACACTTCCTGATGATTTACTCCCGCTCATCCAAGATGTTCATGTCTTTCTTTCTTTCAACAACATACATTCTTCTTAAAATAAACATCTGGATTATATTGGACGTACTCGTTGGCCTCGAAGACTCTGTCTTCAGCGCCGGCTGTCTTGGACGAGAAGTCGCTCCTCTTCCTCAGTCTGCTGGGCGGCCGGTACGGGCCGCTCTGTCCCAGGTCACCGATCTCCTTCTTCACGCTCTCCACACCCTGAACACAGCGAGACCAAGAGACGTGAGCCCAAACTATCCATAGATTCAGAACAGGGTGTGTTTCATCCACTTTCACAGCATAGAAACTCATTGCTTATGATATAAACAGCATTTCTCTTGATTTGACGGCTAGAGATGGACCGATGTATCGGCCAATAATCGTTATCGGCCGATTAAAGCTATTGTTTTCACTCTCGGCTGATTGTTTTTAATCATTTAATCCTGTCAATCATTCTTGTGTTGAATTTAGGGCAAGTTAACGCAAAAATAACACTTTGAAACAGTTATAACAGGCTTTATTTGAGCCTCTGGATCACCCGTAGTTACAGCCAGGGTTGCCAGATCTGCAGTTTTCCCACATTAAACATTATTGTAGTGTCTCCCGTCCAATAATCACAAAGCTTGTCTCTGTTACTTCTGATAAGAAACCTCAGCTTTTAAAATTCGACATTTTATCACAAAATTCACACAATAAATGGCGTTTTGACGCTCTTAAATGTGGCGCTTCAGTTCACTTTAATACGAGTTATATCTAGAAAAACACATGAACATCAGAAGGTATGTTGAACGACACAGTAAAACTAGGGATGCACGATATATCGGCCACATTATCGGTATCGGCCGATATATGATCATTTTTAATGTTGCTGTTATCGGCCCAACTAGAACATTTAGCCGATATCTAAAAGCCGATAATGTATTATTTCCTTTAGATGTGCACTGTTCAACGTGATGCTTTTAAATTGCTTGAAATACGATTGAAATCACTTTAAAAAAGGAAAATCAAGTTAAATTGCAAAAGTCTGTCATATCGGCTACACGACATCATAGAACATCATAATTGTGTTTGTATCTTGGCTTTTAATGAGGAAATCCGACTCTCAAAAATTGTCTAAAAACGTGGATTTAGATTTATCGGCCGATATATCGGTTATCGGCTTTCAAATATAAAGAATTATCGGTTATCGGTATCGGCCAAAATTGTCATATCGGTGCATCCCCAAGTAAAACTTACTGAAATCTGCATCACGTCTCATGTAATCGACCACGGAAAGACGTCAATAAAACAGAGCTTGAGAACAATATCACGCAATGTTGCGTTTACCTCAGGAGAGTTATTTGGCGTTCAGTGTGTTAGTTCGCTATAAAACACCACAGAAGAGCTTATTTACTGCTAATTATTAGGTCTGGGCAACGATTAATCGCATCCAAAATAAAAGTTTGTGTTTACATAATATATGTGTGTGTAGTGCGTATAATTATTTTATACATATGCATGCATGTTATTAATATATCAAATACTTATATTTATGTATAATATTAACCCTTGTGCTGCGTTAGATTTTTAACACCGTTGAGTGCATTAAGGACCAAAAATGGCCACATATTAAACATTGCCTAAAATATTATATATTATTATTATTTTCCACTTTTACCAAGTTAAATCTTTAACCGGCATCAGTCCTCATCATAACTACCAAAAATGTATTCAATTTCAGGATTTTAACCCTTTAATTACCAGTTTTGTTTGCGAAACCATCGATTTGTATAAGAGGAAAAAACACAAAAATTCAATTATTTTCAATAAACTAAATGCAAAGAGAAAACTTTAGATTTGGATTATCACAGTCCCACTTTGCAAAAAATTAGAGACCAAAAATGGCCACCTATTAAACATTGCCTATTGCCTAAAATAAGGTGCATTTCCACCCATAGGGAATAAATATGTAGTGACGTCATCTGGTGGAATACACTATATAATGCAAATATAATGCTTTTGCTTCAAAATGAAAGGATGTTTGTGCAAAAATCATGTTTCATGTATTACTGACAGCCTCAGATTTAAACAACGTTTTAATGGGTTTCAATGGGCCATTTTTGGTCTTTATGGTGCTGAGTGTTACTATATGATCTACACAGTGTGTGTTATACATATTTTGCAAAATGGGATCACATTTTTTACATGTATCCAAAAAGTCACAATTTTGCCAAATTTCATACCATTTGCATTAAAACAGCCAAAATGGTCAAAGAAATTAAACTGCAAAAGACCAAAAATGTCCCTAATGCAGCATAAGGGTTAATTATGTATAAATATATATATAAAGTATATACATGCAAATATTTCTTAAATGTTTACATGCATGTGTGTGTATTTATATATACAAAATAGTTATACACACTACACACACATATATTATGTAAACACAAACTTTAATTTCGGATGCGATTAATCGCGATTAATCCCAGCCCTACTAATTATATATGTATGTCTGAATAAATTCATCATGAAAAGTGTTTATGCAAACTATCTTAGTGTAAATATTATATCTGGAAATAAACAGCAGTTAAATATCATATCTCTGTTAATTGTTTGCAGCATTATTTCGAAGAGATTTTGAGATAAACCAAACTATCGGTATCGACCGATATTATTCTGAATCTATCGGTAACGGCGGAGACGTTTAGTATGGTTCATCTCTCCTGACAGAAGTGCAGGACTCGTGGCTGTAGAGACCTGTGAGATGGCCCGAAACGCTCCGCTCTTGCCCAGCTTCTCCCCGCCCTTAGACACCGTCTCTGCCGAATGCTTGGCTGTTTTAGCGGCCTCCTCCATTCCTTCCTTGATCTTCTTCCCGATGTCCGAGCGACCCACCTCTTCCAGGCCCTGAGGAGAGTGCAACATGAACTACAGTAACCCAACACTCATCGCATGACCACTTATGCAAGTCATTGCGTTTTCCACACCAAATGTCATCCTTCGCAGCACATCACATTCGCAATAGTGCAGCGTAAACACTCTGCAGAAACGTAAATGAAAAAACGTCCTCTGATTCCCACACACACCTCCTTCACCGTCTCCGACAGCGTCCCCAGCGTCTTCTTCAACACTTCTGAGGTTTTGACTGTTTCAGACTCGATGGTTTTCTGGAAGACACACACAATCAGCTGTTTTATAACCACGGTCATGTTAATATTAGGGCTGTCATAGGTAATGCACAATCACAAGTTAGATGATCTTAGAAGTCATTGCAACTGTGTTTGTATTATGTGGTAAAAAATTCGTCTATTTGCTGGATATAGACAAAATAAATGTGTTAAACCAGATAAAAAGCTTAATTTCACGATTCATTGCATCATAAAAACACTCATATTACGCACATATTTCCTCCTGGCTTGCTTGAGGGCTTCAGATTCTTCTAGTTTTTTGGCCTCCTCGCGAAACTTCTTGATGTTCTCCTTCATCTCGTTGTTCTTGCCCAGTTCCTGCTTGAGATTGTCCAGAAACTCTCCCAGAAAGCCCTTCCGACCACCGCTGGACATAAACCTGGCCTGCACATCATCACACGCGTCAAAAACACGGTAAACCCCAAACCTACCCTATAAAACCCAATGGCGCGCCACACTCACCTGTGCCGTACTGGCCGCCGGGCCACATATCCTATACGCGTGAGCTCTGTCGTATAGCGCCGCATACTGGCGAGTGACTAGCAATGCAGGACTTCGCCTGACACAAAGCTGAGCACAAAAACATGCATAATAATACAGTCATATCATAATTATGAAGGGAAAACACCAGATAAATGTGTTTAGAGTGTTTAGATCTGATACTGACTTCACTTACAAATATGATATTACACATACATTATTCATAGTCATAAAACTCAGATGGCACTCCAAAGGATACTATGGTATTTTCATGGTATTTATGTTGTAGTATGAGAGTTTATGTTTAAGGGGTATAAACACGATAATGAATACCTGCTTGGTGCTTTTTTTGTGAATTACACATACATAATGTCATTTTAGAAAGTTTTATTAGTTGTGTTATAATATTTAATGCTCCATCAAGGCCAGAATCATGTTTCATCAGCATGACTAGTGAATCATTTTACATTTCTACATTAAACACATGATCGTTCTAGGGTATCAAACGCGCGCTCGCGTTGCTTTAATAGCGAACAGTACGCTAATCGGGACGATATTGATCGCGCTGTTCATAAGCGCTTATTAAAAGGTTTAAATGAGAAACTCACCTGGTAACACTGACACAAGGAGGCCGCCATCTTGGAAGCGCTGCGAGTGACCCGTTTGGCTGCTGACCTTGCGACGTAATTCCGGGGGAGGAGCGACTTCAGGAAGCAGCCAATCAACAGACGCCTGGTTTCTGACGTCTAACTAGGTATATATTTTAATTATATTACATGTAATTTTTATTTCTAAGTTGTTTGAAACATGTCTACGAATTGAGCTTTTTGATGTTGTATTTTTTTTTTTGTACAGGACAATGTTGACTCCAAAAGTACCATGTGCTTCCTTATACAACTTTTCATATTACTTGGAAAATATCACATTCATGTGAAAAAATGGGCTAAAGCTAAGCCAAGCTTTGAACACTTTATGAAAGAGATTAAACTATATGGTAATTCATTAGATAAAATGAAGAACAAAAAAGCAAGAAAGACCTATGAAGTATTTTGTAACTTTAAATTATTATAACTTTACCCCTGGCATGATTTTTCTCCTTTTCTTTTTTTGTTTTCTTTTTTCCTTTTATTTTCTATTTGTTGTGCGCTGTATTGTCATGTAAATCTCTTTGTATATTCTATATTGCAATAAAAAAAAAATACATGTCATTTATATATATATATTAGGGCTGTGCAAAAGTTAATTGCGATTAATCACATCCAAAATAAAAGTCTGTGTTTACATAATATATTTGTGTGTGCTGTATATAATTATTTTGTATATATAAATACACACACATGCATGTATATATTTAAGAAAATGTGTTATTCATATATAAAATATTTATATAATATAGATTATGTATTTATAAATATATACAGAATTTAAGCGCAAATAATTCTTAAATATATACATGCATGCATAGGTATTTATAAATACAAAATAATTATATACAGCGCACACAAATATATTATGTAAACACAGACTTTTATTTTGGATGCGATTAATCGCAATTAACTTTTGCACAGCCCTAATATATATATATATATATATATATATAAATATATATTTTTATTTATATATATATATAAATGCAATGTAATGCCTCAAATAGTCAAGTTAAAATAATTAGTTTTTATTCAGAAATTAAGAAAAAAGCCATCTCAGGCACAGATATACAGAATAGTTTATCATAGTTTGTCATGAGAAAACATAAAGTAAATAATACAACAGTCATATGGTATTAATGATTTTAATTAAAACATGTCTTTACCACACAGTAACACTCCAGACATTTTTGTTTTCAGTTCATTTTTTTGTGTGTGTCGACATTAAAGTTTTAAAAGCAAATCTTTTCTGTGATTAGCAACATACAAATTGTAAAAGCTTAGACTCCGATAATAATTCAAAAACAATAACCTAGTACCATGAACCAACATGTGAAATGCAAATAGCCCTAATTATGAATTAATACAATTAAGTGTGTTTATTTTGCAAACTTCAACAACAGGCCTTATCCGAACCCCGCCCCCAAAAACATATCAGCCAACCGGATGTGAGCATGCAAAACGACTGATAGGAAGAGAGTGTTCTGATTGGCTAAAGCAAGAATTCCGACACAGAGACAAATGAGATTTCTCACTTTAGTTGGAACAAAATCCCTTTAAACTGCAGCTGATTTAAAAGTCACTCATCAGCTGAGTTTTTAACATGATCAATATTCATATTCGAGTTATTCCCGATCATAACATTCTGCGCGTTCTCAATGTGGATGCAGGACGATTGCGGCTGCCATGAGGCATGTTGCTGAAACATTGCTCCATTCAACGGAGTTGGTGCAGAAGGTGCATAAAACGTGCTATTCTGCCGCATTTCGCTTTCTAGTTTCAGTAGCGCTAATTTCGCTTGTTGTAGTTCCGCATTTCTGATGTTCTCCTCGATCAATCTCTTTTGTTCCTCTTGTAGTTTCTTCTTATGCTGGTCGATTAGCCAAACCTTCCTTTGCTTTTCCACGTTGTCCGGGGTGATGGCCCTGGAGGCTTGCGTTCGAACATCTTGTTGCTTTCGTCGAGAGAGAACTTCGTCTTGAGCACCAACGGAATCCTTTCGCGCGACAAACGGTTCTTGCGAGGTAGCAGCGGAATAACAGAGTTCAATTTGTGATGCTTTAGCAGCGAATTCATTATCGCTGAATCGGCGGTGGTCGCGCTGAAGTTGGATTTGAAGTTCTGCGTGAGCAGCAGCAGGGTAAACGCAGAGTTCTCGATGGCGTCTTCAAGACATCCTAACCTCGACCTTCCCGGTTGGGCGAAGTCGTCGGAAAACGTCGCACCAGACGCAGAGGTTATGAGTTCGAGTCTGTCTCGTAGTCTTTGCGCCTCATCCGCGTCTTCAGCTTCGTGGAGGATCACAAAGGCGTAAAATGTTTCTTCTGTGTCGCTTTGGCTCGCTTCTGGAGAGAAAAAACTGTTAGCTTGAATTGGTGCTTTGCAATCGTTAGCATTAGCAGCGTTTAGTCCGGACGAAAATCCAATATTCGGGTTTTGGGATGTCACAAGTTGGGAGCTTCCGGTTTGGTTAACACACTGTGTTGAATTTGTCGCGTGATTGGCTTCTGCTGTCTGTAGTTGGTTGTTTGTGTGAATATTCGTAGTTGGTTGGCGAAGTTGGTCTTGATTGGTTGTACTTTCGCTATTTGTTGGCGTGCGCAAACTCGACGGTTTATTGGACATATTGGATTCTGAAGCAGTCGGTGAGCTAATTTCGAGACTATACGATGAACTGCAGCCCGAACTTAATTGCTGAGTCAACAAATGGCTACCGTTTCGATTAGATACTTCTGTGGACGTCAGTTGGGAAGTAGTAAGTTCGGTGTCGGATTTGTCGATAGCATCAGGACCGCAGACTTGCTTTACTTCCTCCTCGATGTCTAAAGAACTCAAACCAGCCGTTCTGCTCGACACAAGAGCCGCGCGGTACGCTTGATCTCGTAGCGACTCGTCGCACAATCTCTCCTGCACCAAAATAGCGAAAATTCTTGCGATATCCAGTAACGTTTTAGCATCTGTTGCCTTAAAACCGGCAACATGGCCGCCGTTCAAACGTTGTCCGTGCATTTTGAGCATTTCAGCCAAGTAGTTTCCAATGCTGCTGTCGGCGTTAGCTGTTAGCTTAGCATGTGCGTCGCTGTACCGCTTCAGGAAAAACAAGCAGATGGCGTATACCAGCTCCTCGGGCTGTTTGTGGCCGTTCTCGGGCCGTTCACGACCCATTTTGAAGGTGAGGCTAACCCATCGCTCCTGCCCAGCTTGGGAGAGGACCTCAAACGCTTTGGCGAGATTCGCGAATCCTCGGTCCACAAGCTCTACTCCATTTTCTGCCATTGTTCAGACAAGAATGGGCGATCATTCGTGAATATATGCACTCATATGACATGTTCAAGTCATTCCATTCAATTTGAAGTCACGTAGCTTCTGAATGCTGAAAGACAAAGTAAAAGTTGTGTCGATTATCAGTCTATTTCAATATTTCAACATCAATTTTTCACATATTTATTTGAATTCAATTTCAAGCTGTATATTTCATGCACCAAAAGTATTAATTAATGATGTACAATAAAATAAAATATTAAAGATAACTTTATTGGAGTCTGTCCCTTTAAATCCTCGAGCCTGTTATAGCAGGATTGATTCAGTTGTTGTTGGAAGTTTTTTTTATCATTCATTAGCTGGATAAAATCGTTATGAAAGTGATTACGGCTATATTAATTCTGTGTTATGGCTGTTGTGTGGACTCTAAATATTAAGAATGATGTTTTGAACTATGTCTTATCGTTATCTTTAGTGATTGTCCACCTTGATATGAATGGGACTACAAAATAATCCTGTGTTTTAATGACTCATCGAGTCTTTAATGGCTATAGCCGTGACGTTGACAAAATAATTCACAAATAAACACTACACACCCAGGAAACAGGGAACTTTTTCAAAACTTTAGCTAACGAATTTCATTGTTATTACCTGAAACGTTTTAGGTGGACGTTCATACCGTTTTAAACGTTACTACTTCAAAGTAACGTTAACGTTTGTTTTTACATTGAGTTTTTACATTTAAAATGTTAAAACTGAACGCTCACAAAACATTCAGAAATTATGTTTTTTCTGATCATTAACGTTTTTGAACATATTATTTTTTATTTAGCCGGTATTCATAGTATAAATTTTATGATGAAACACAAACACAGTGTGACTTACCTCTGTAATAGTTCTGCGTTAATTCAGAAGCAGGAACTGGCCAACAACAAAACATACACCTTCGCAGAGGAAACAGCGAATCTGTTGAAATTTTTTGATTATAAATCACAAAGACGCTTATTTCCCGGTTGTTGTATTACTATAGCATTATGTTACTGATGGTTTTTGAGACTGAATGTTTTTCTTTTCCCTTTCTCGTGCAATGCGGAAGAAGGTAAACACCGAGTGGACTTTGTAGGGCATCACTTGTTGAAGATGACCAAAAGATGGCAGTAAAAATTACTGGGAAAATTTACACTGCTGGTCTTGAAATAAAACATCTGTTGATCTAGTTCTAGTCTAAGGAACATACTTATCTTATTTAGCATACATTTTAAAATGTGTATGCCTCATAGATTAAAAAAGCCCCTATTTGAAGAAGAGGCTTGTTCTTGTATGTATTTTTTTATGTATTAAGTACTGATTGTGTATCAGCAATGGGGAATAATAATTTAAACCACTTTTAATATCCATATTTGAACAAAAAAAAATAAGTTTATTACGTTAAACGAATCGGCAATTAAATGTTAATTATACATTAATTATAAATAAAAAATTTTTCTTTGAGTATGCTCTTATTATCGAATAGCAAAGCCCTGGGCTACAAAATTGCGCGAGATTACAGCAGAGCCAAGCATGTGGATAACGAGAGCAGGGTTTCGCGCGCTGAGCCTACGCGCGAAAGTGACGTGTAACCCAACCAATCAGCGAGAGCTTCAGAACTCCTCTCCACCAATCAGGAGCGCGCCGTGCCCGCGACAGGAGGGAAAACACGTTGTTGAACACTTTTATTGATTCGAGTCCCAGTTTCTGTGCGTTTCGCGGCAGGATTAAACTGTAACAAAAGTGCAACATTTTCACACTTTTATCACATTCATTGAATTAAAATCACGTCTTCTGTTTCCAAGAAGAAGATTACAGGTAAAGATCTGCATTTAAATCTCTTTCGGTATATATTTAAATGTATTGTCTGTAAAACCAGGCGCACGCGCCTTATTTTGCTGAATTAATAAGTAGAAATTTGCATATTTTCATCGTGTATGTTAATACTTATGTAACCTATAGCTTTTTTTAAATGTTTCTGTCTTTGCATACTTCACTAATTTATTTGTTATCATAGTCAGACCCCGAATGAAGTCTAAATATCCTGTATTGTTGTGGACATATTGGGTTTTGCCATTAAATAAGTCAAAATGCTTCTTATAACGTCTTGTATGCTGAAATAAGTAACCACAACAAACCAAAACAAAGACAGGAAAGTGTTTGTGAACGTCTAACTCGAGTGACTAAGTTAGCTAATGCAGGGCTGAAGAATGGGGTAACGTAACCGATGCATTAACCAATTTTATACCATTATAAATGATAAATGTGTAATAATTAGACACACATTGTGTAATTCTTAGTTTAGGTTTGACATTTAGGGGTCTGTTTTTGATACAAGACCACCCACGTCATGGCCAACACACAACCCCTCATTATTTAAATGAACTCGATTCCCACTAACTTATATAATTCCTCTTTAAACGGATCGATTTCTGCAAATAAACAATTATAGCTTTACTTGTTTATGACGTTTCTGTATCATTCCAACTTCCTGTTTTGTTTTTAAGTCGACAAATAAAGATGTTCTTTCACCCGATGCAGTTCTTTGAGTGACAGTTAGGGGGCGTTTCCACCATTTCCGCCAACAACAGGCGAGGTTTGATGTCAACAAGCTTTTCTAAAGCTGTTATTCACGCTTGCACACCCATTTTAAATTGAATCTGGAAAGGTACCATGGTATTACCATGTTTTTTTAGGGCATGCATCACGGTAATACCATGTTTTTGGACATTTACCATGGTAAAACCATTTTTGGGGCATTTACTGTGGTAGTACCATGGTTTTTGAGCAATTGTTTTGGTAATTCCATGTTTTTGTGGCATCTACCATGGTAATACCATAATTTTGGGGGAATGTACTTTGGTAATACCTTGTTTTTTTGGCCATTTACCATGGTTATACCATGTTTCTCCATTGGTAGTCTTTGAGATATCTTTAAAATACCATGAATAGTAAATGTAATCATTCAGTATTATAATATATGCGTAGTCTGGTTTAAAAAAATAAAATTATAAATGGGAAAACTTGTGGAAAATATTGGTGAAATGGTGTGAGAAATGCTCATAAATCAAAGTAGGTTGGGTCTTACCTTTCAATGGCCTCACTTTACCAAGCTAGCGCCTTTTTTATAAGTGTAACAGGACTCTAAATTAAGTCTTAAAGAAATGTAGATGGTTTCAGCCGAACGAGAAAAAAGCTGCGGTGTTGCTCACGTCACTGTGAAACGAACACCTTTTTCCTGCTCGTTTGAAGCTCCTGGCTTCGGGCCATTGTGTGAACTATAAAAAGGAAGGTGTGGAAACAATCTCACTTTATGATGTCACTTGTCCCAGGTTTGCCGCCATGTGGATCCAGGTGCGCACTATGGATGGCAAGGACACCCATCGGGTCGACTCCCTGTCCAAGCTCACCAAAGTGGACGAGCTGCGTGTGAAGATCACCGAACTCTTCAGCGTCGAACCCGATCGGCAACGACTCTTTTACAGGGGCAAACAGGTGACGTTAGCTGTTTTACTTCCATAATGTGACGAATTTGCTTAAATCAAAGTCATTTTCAGAAATCATATTAATTATTTATCATAATTAGACCCGATTGTAAGGTTGAATTCCCTTTGAGGAACTTTCGTTTTCGTGTGGCTTGGTTTTATCCGTCAAATTCAATGGATGGTGAAAAAATTATCCATTATTTTGTGTGTACTTAAACGCATTCACAAGAGCGAATGTGTAAAACTTGTTAAACCACATTTTATTCACGCAAGTAAAACAAATTTACGGTGATTGCGCATGAAATAATTTTGGCGCAAATTGTCGCGTTCATTAAGCAAACCAAAGTAAAAAAAAAAATGACTTGAATCTACAGTAAACGTTTCGTATCTTTAGGTTAATTCGCTAAATTCGACTCTTGTATGTTTAAATCATTTTTTTTTTCACACTAAGCTCTGAAATCGTTTGTCAAATGTTGAATCTGTCTAAATCGTTCATGTTATGCACATGACGTAGTTTTAACATTGTAATTTAATTCGTCCACTTCTCTTTTGGCTTCGACAGATGGAAGACGGCCACACCCTCTTCGACTATAACGTGGGCTTGAACGACATCGTTCAGCTTCTTGTACGGCAGGCGCTCCCGAAGGACAAAGAGGCCGAACTCTCCGACTCGGACTCCGGCTGCGGATCGGCCCAGAGCGAGTCCGATAAAGGGTCCACGCATGGCGAGAGCGACGGCCAGAGCGCCGGGACCTCAGTCCAGACCGACACACCGGACCTCGTCGACCCGGGCTTTGGGTTTTACAAGGTGAGATTGGCGGGAAAATCAGCTTTTGTCGTTTTTTGTCACAAAGGGCTGTTGCTTTTGCGAAAAACGTGGATTTTTGAGACATAAGTGTTCATAGAATCGATTTTCCAAGTCTAAAGACGTTTCCATTTTCAATACCAAATATCGTGAACTTTACGGACTTGCATTGAAGTAATAGCGAATATTTAAAAACACATTTTTGGTAAAATAAAAAAAAAAGGCTGTTAAAATCAATTCCCTATTTTCATTTTCGAAACTTGTGTTGGTTGGTCCGATCGATTGTGCAATAGGTATTTGAACGTAAAGTCAAAGTCATTCTCGCGCAAATTGTTGCATGCGATAATCAAATCAAATTTGATAATTGTTGATTCCTCTATAAATGTCTCGTTGGCCATCTCGCAACGTTTGTCTTCTGTATATTTAAATGTATGATCTACAAACAGAATTATTTTAATTGCGTAACGACAAAATGTTATTTTTATTAACTTACAGTTAATGTTTCATTTTAAATTTATTAAATATTTACTTTTTTTCCCATTAGTCTCTAAAATTGTCTGATTCGTGTGAATCGGTCAAAGTGTTCGTAAAAACGCAAACGCGTGATGTTTGTAAAATCACTAAAATCACGCAAGTTGTATCATTCGTTTAACGGAACGAATTTGCTTTAATTCCTCATGAAACCTTTCAAGTCTTGTTATTGGTTCCAATGAATTTGTTTTACTTTCTGTCGGATGTTGGAAACTTAATATTTGAACACTTTTTTTTCTTTCTTTTTCTCTCAGATAAACGAATTTGTAGACGCTCGAGACTTGAACATGGGCGCCTGGTTCGAGGCGCAGATCGTCAACGTGACCAAAATGGCGAAGACTTCAGGAGAAGACGGAGAAACTGATGGGGAAGAGGACATCATTTACCATGTCAAATATGAAGAGTGAGTCTCAAAGTAATTGACAATGACAGCTAAAATAAAAATGATTATTTTGCAGTGGATTCAAATTACAAATCCAACAACTGATTCACTTTCGGAAGTCGTTTTTAGCTTAATCGTTTTTTTTTCAAAAAATATTTGGTTATTCAGCATCATTATGGCCAATAAGGTTGAATTGAAACTTTGCATAAGTGTTTGACTCTTTTCCAAACAGGAAGCAATAGTCTACAATTTGTTTTCCCTCCAATTCTACCAGATTCGTGCACCTGTTAACATCACGTTTCAGTCCTTCCTTTCATCTGTCTTAAACTGTTGATCAAAGGCCGTGTGTTGAGGCGAATGCTAATGTGCTCTGTGCAGTTACCCTGAGAACGGCGTGGTGCAGCTGCGCGGGACAGACGTGCGTCCGCGGGCGCGAACCGTGTACCAGTGGCACCAGCTGGAGCCGGGCATGATCGTGATGGTCAACTACAACCCGGACGATCCCAAAGAGCGCGGCTACTGGTACGACGCCGAGATCCAGAGGAAGAGGGAGACGCGCACCCAGCGCGAGGTGTACGGCAAGATCCTGCTCGGGTAGGACACGCTTTAGCCTTTCTGAAGCCAAGCTTTTGGTCAATGCTCAGTTTGTGCGCTGCAAAAACCAAACAAATTTGCTTTGATTGCGTATGAAACAATTTGTCGGCACAAATTGTCACATTCATTGAGCAAATAATATTTTTTTTTTAGTTAATTACCACGGTTCTACTATATAAATGACTTGCTGGCTGCTTTTTTCGTTTATTAATTTTATTTGTTCATTATAAATGAATAATGATTTAAAGTTATTTGTGTAAGTTTTTTATTTTTAATCATTGAACTCATGTTTTTTGTTTTTTATTTAAGGCTATTTAAAAATGATTAAGTTTTTGGTTGCACTAGGCTCTAAAATTGTTTGTAAAATGTCAAATTTCTGTAAATTGTTCGTTAATGCAAAAAAAAAAATCGTGTAATTGTTGGTTTGTTCGTTCTTTTAATATATACATGTATATGTGCGTATATTTATTTATTTGAATGTTAGCTACAAACTTAAGGACTTTAATTTCTATAATGAACAGTTAATTATAAACTAAATTGCATAATAACAGTTAATTATATGTAGTATTACAATTATTAAATATATTTAAAACAATTTTTGTTGCTTCAGACTCTAAATTGATTCGTAAAATTGATTTCGTAAATTGTTTGTAAAGTGCATAAATTCATATTACACATTTGTTGTGCAAAAATAGTTTTATGAACAATTGTTTTCAGAAAAAAATACATGAATTGCTTGTGAAATTATTTTTTTGCTCGTTTAATAAGCAAATAACAATTTATTCCACTGTAAACTTCTTGCTTTGTTGGTTTGCTCACGAAATTCCTCTTAAATTAAAAGTATTTTAATTTATTTAATAAAGTTTATTAAGCAATTATATAGACTGAGTTACACTAAGTTCTAAAATAATTTGTAAATCTCTCATAAACTGTTCAAATTCATTCTCGCGCAAGAACAAATTTGTAAAATCACTTTTTGCGCAAACCGTTGCATTCATTTAGCAGAACAAATTTGCGTTAATTTCTCATGAAACCATTCTCACGCAAAAAGTCGCTTTCAAAAAGCAAGTAAAACATTAGTAAATTATTTGAGTTGGTGTAAACTTGTCATTTCACTATAAATGTCTTGATGGTTTGGTCACAAAGTTTGTCCGCAATTCCTACAGGGAAGCCGGTGATTCTCTCAACGACTGTCGCATCATGTTCGTGACTGAAATCTACAAGATTGAAGAGCCGGGAAGTTCGGATGGTCCCGGAGCCTCTTCCGACAGCCCTCTCAAGAGTGAGTCTGGCTTTAGCGCTGCGCCAAACCTATGCTTTCATATTAGCATACTCGTACAATTCAGTCTGTACGGGCGCAAATGATAAAGGAAAACTCCGGCGCAAAATGGACTTTTGGTCTAATAACAAATTGGTACGGATTCGACCGTTCTCTGGGATTTGTTTTCATCATAATCGAATGTAAAGAGTTTTATGTCTAAAAACTGTTTAGCTTATAACGCCAGTAAATAGGGCATGGCGTAAGTCAAAAGAAATCGCTAGTTAAAGGGGCGGTGAGTTTCATGTATTCAGAGTTGGTTACAGTGTTAAAGAGTAATTCTCATGCTAAACTTGGCCAAAGTTAACACACCTTCCAGACGCTCTCAACGATTATTTAGCTCCGCCCACACGGCACGCCTCCACCCGCTCGTTTTTTTCCGACTCTGTACAGCCTGGCTTACTTTTATAGATATAATAAAACTAAAGACTTTTTGGAGAAATGAAGGATGCAATACTACTCTATATGTACTCAAGATTAACACGAGATTACGCCTTTAATACCACTAACAAGGCTAAAAATAGCCCCACACTAACTCGCTAGCATACTTAGCACGGCGTTCGTCTGGTCGAGACTGTTCTTCAAGATGGGTCCTGCCTGTATACGCGAAGTGGTCTTTATAAAATATCCTCTTATTAAACGGTCTGGACACTTAAAGTTCTCAATGCTTCGGTTTGCATGTAGAGACGGTGTTAGTGTGGGGCTATTTTGAGCCTTGTTAGGGGGATTAACTAGCGATTTCTTTACTTATTCCATGCCCTATATACTAGCTTTATAAGCTAAACGGTTTAGACCAAAGGTTCATTTTTCGCAGAGTTGTCGTTTTTAAAGGGTTAGTTCACCCATATAAGAGTATAAAGGAAGTCATATGCACCTAGAATGGCGAATAATTCACCGTTATTGGTGAACTAACCCTTTAATGTGTCTCTTTTTTGTCTAATCAGGGTCAAACGGACCCGAATGCAAGGTGTGCAAAGACGACCTGAAGAAGAACTGCCGCGTGTGCAACTGTCACGTGTGTGGCGTGAAGCAGGACCCCGACAAACAGCTGCTGTGCGACGAGTGCGACATGGCGTTTCACATCTACTGCCTGAACCCGCCGCTCACCAAAATCCCCACCGACGAGGACTGGTGAATGAGTTTACCGGCACTAACTGCACATCACACACACAAATATAGTCCATTCCACTATAGTATTGTTTGAATCAAGGATTTCGATTCTGCTTATGTCTGACGTTTTCCTGTGGTTTAAAAACACCATAGAAAACTAGCCGAGCTAATATACATTTCAAGCATCATTAAAGACAAGTACATTTTATTAGCAATCGCAGCTAATAGATTGAAATAAACAGTTAAAGATCTTCGGGTATTAAGGTACACTGCACTTTGTACTTTAAATATACTTACAGAAGTTATTGAGTCAAGAACGAGTGAATTTTCTCTCTCGTTGTTTGATTAGAGTTATTATAGAGACAGCAGCAGGAATATTAGCGCTGTCGCTTTAAGAGTTACCCAGTATAGAATGGCTTAAATGGTTTAGTCATATTGAAATGCTCACAGAAGAATCGTAATTTAGATTTTATAACAAATGACCTCAAATATTCGATTCCCGACCCTAACTATACATGTGTTTCTTCTCGCAGGTATTGTCCAGAATGCCGCAACGACGCCAGCGAGGTGGTTCTGGCTGGAGAGAAGCTGAAGGAAAGCAAGAAGAAGGCCAAGATGGCGTCTGCGAGCTCTTCCAGTCAGAGGGACTGGGGGAAGGTGCGTTTCAGCCCGGCAAGCTTGCGAGTAGAGTCGTTCAGATGATGTGTTAATGAGATGGTGTTTTGTTTTGTAGGGTATGGCGTGTGTCGGCCGCACCAAACAGTGCACCATTGTTCCCTCTAACCATCACGGGCCGGTTCCTGGAGTTCCAGTGGGAACGCTGTGGAAGTTTAGAGTGCAGGTGGGCGTCTCTCATAGATGGATATTTAATGTTTAGGCCTCTTTTGTGGACAATCAACCAAAGAAAATCTTGGTCGACTAGTTCAGAATAGTTCATATCTCACAATTCTAACTTTATAACTTGCAATTGTGAGAAGTCGCAATTACCTTTTATAGTTTTGGTTTTTCGCGAGCTAACTATGACATTAATGCGATTATTCACGAGTTAACTGACATTAATGCGATTAATCGCGAGCTAACTATGGCATTAATGCGATTAATCGCGAGCTAACTATGGCATTAATGCGATTAATCGCGAGTTAACTATGGCATTAATGTGATTAATCGCGAGTTAACTATGACATTAATGCGATTAATCGCGAGTTAACTATGACATTAATGTGATTAATCGTGAGTTAACTATGGCATTAATGTGATTAATCGCGAGTTAACTATGACATTAATGCGATTAATCGCGAGTTAACATGACACAAATGTGATTAATCGCGAGTTAACATGACACAAATGTGATTAATCGTGAGTTAACTATGACATTAATGCGATTAATCGCGAATTAACTATGACATAAATGTGATTAATCGTGAGTTAACTATGGCATAAATGCGATTAATCGCGAGCTAACGATGACTTTAATGTGATTAATCGTGAGTTAACTATAACATAAATGTGATTAATCGTGAGTTAATTATGACTTTAATGTGATTAATCGTGAGTTAACTATGACATAAATGTGATTAAACGTGAGTTAACCATGGCGTAAATGTGATTAATCGTGAGTTTACTATGACATCAATGTGATTAATCGCGAGTTAACTATGACATTACTGTGATTAATCGTGCGTTAACTATGGCAATGCGATTAATCGTGAGTTAATTATGGCATTAATGCGATTAATCGCGAGTTAACTGACATAAATGTGATTCATCGTGAGATAACTATGACATTAATGTGATTAATCGTGAGTTAACTATGACATAAATGTGATTAATCGTGAGTTAACGATGACATTAATGTGATTAATCGCGAGTTAACTATGACATAATGTGATTAATTGTGATGAAATACTTTAATCGTTTGACGGCACTAATTAAAACACATCATACTCTGTGTGCAAGGTTTTGAATTTTTAGGATGACAAAAAATGAATTTGCAAGGACTTCTTCACTCCCTGGCGGATGGATCCATGAATATTAAATGTGATGTTTTTGTTGGTCAGGTGAGTGAATCCGGCGTCCACAGGCCTCACGTCGCTGGGATTCACGGCAGGAGTAACGACGGCGCTTACTCTCTGGTGCTCGCCGGAGGCTACGAAGATGACGTGGTACGTCTCCGAACACTCGCTCCGAACCATCCTTCAGGTACTCCTCTACTTCCTCCGTTTACCTGTGACGCTTTCCTCATTTCAGGACGACGGCAACGAGTTCACGTACACGGGCTCCGGGGGTCGCGACCTCTCAGGGAACAAGAGGACGGCAGAGCAGTCCTGCGATCAGAAGCTCACCAACATGAACAGGTCAGAAAGTCGGATCTAATGTTAACGTGTCTTGCAACCATTTGGCCTTAATTCATATGAGCCGAAAAGGTTATATCTATATATGAACATAATTGTTCTTGCAGGGCTCTGGCTCTGAACTGTAACGCGGCGGTCAACGAGAAGGAAGGCGCGGAGGCTAAAGACTGGAAAGCTGGGAAGCCCGTGAGAGTCGTGCGCAGCTCCAAGGGACGCAAACACAGCAAATTCAGTCCTGAAGACGGAAACCGATACGACGGCATTTACAAGGTGAGCATTTACGAGTGATTCTATTCATCTGTATTTAGTTTATCCTTTTATTGATTGTGTATTTAGGCAAGTTCATTTATATTGCACATTTCAAACACAATGGTAATTCAAAATGCTTTACATAGAAGAAATTAAAATAATCAAAACATTTAAGAATAATTAACACAGTTTAGAATACAAAATATTTATTTATTTTCGTACATTCACAGGCGTGTATATTTTATTTAGGATTTATATTTCTTGATTGATTCATTCCCAGGCCATTTATGTCATTATTTATTTATTCCTATATAATTATTTATTCTTTTAGTTTTATTCAATCATTCCCAGGACTGTGTATGTATTTTTTTTTTTTTTTTAAATAATTTAAGTGTATTTTTATTTATTTATTCATTCATTCACAGGCCTGTATTTAATTTCCTCCTTTTCTTGGCTTTTATTTTATGCATTTATATTTATTTATTCATTCTTTTGCCATTCCAATCCTATTTTTACTTTTTTCAGGAATTTATTTATTCATTCACACTCACTAACATATATACATATATATAATTATTTGTATTGTTTGTTTTTCTATTCATTGACAGTCCTGTATTTATTTATTTATTGATTAATTTATTTTGTTATTCCTGTGTTATTTTTTTTTTCTTTTTGGTAATTATATTTACTGGCAGGACTGTGTATTTATTGATGTAATTTTAGTAAAATATGTCTTCATTCATAGGCCTATATTTAATTTCCTTCCCTTCTTCTTCCTTTTTTGCCTTTCTTTCATTCATTTATTCCTTTCATGCAGTTATTCATTCATTGAATAAAAAAAAATCATATATGTTTTTTTTCTTTCCCCCCCCCCTCTATTTACTTCCATTAATTAATTCCCAGGCCCGTATATGTTCATTCAGTTATTTATATTTAATTAGGTGGTGAAGTACTGGCCAGAGAAGGGCAAGTCCGGCTTCCTCGTTTGGAGATACCTGCTAAAACGAAATGATGACGAACCGGCGCCGTGGACCCGCGAGGGCAAAGAGCGCATAAAGAAACTGGGGCTCACCATGCAGGTCACGTCACGTTTCACCCCAAATCACACTCCTGTTTGTATTTCTTGGTTAAATTCATCCATTAACCCTGGTTCTCTCGTGCTGCAGTATCCTGAGGGTTATCTGGAAGCCGTGGCTGCCAAAGAAAAGGAGAAGGAGAACAAAAACGAAGAGGAAGTTGAAGAAACGCCCACTAAGGGGAAGAGAAAGAGGAAATCCCAGACCGGTAGGTGAAAATGTCCCACATATCTCCCGATATAAGTCTTGATCTTGTGGGTGTTCGTGAGAAACATGTTGAAATACCACAATACTTAAATTATTTAGCAGTGATATTATCAGGCTTTTCGGTTTACAGTGAAGTAAGCTAATTTCCTGCACAGAATATGATGGGATTATAATATAATAATGCAATGTGTAACGATAAAATTTGCAGTGGCTTCATAAACTAATGTACACCTGATATACATTTCTTTGTTCATTTTCTAGAACTAGAGTTAATGTTTTTATGTATTTAATGCCGCCATGAACTCGACATCCCACCTCGTAAATACGAACTTTCCAAGAGGACTTGAACGCACCAATTTACCAGGCCTGAATATCCATGTTTACGTCTAACATCCTCTTTTCCCCGATCGTAGTTGACGAGAAGAGTTCTCCGGCCAAAGGCACGCCTAAGAAGATGAAGGTGGAGGCGTACAAACTGAGCAAAGAGCAGAAGGCCTTGATCAAGGACGATGAGCTGAACAAGAAGTTTTGGGACGAAGCCATGCAGTCTCTCAGCCTCGGACCTGTACGTATTCATTATTTAGCCATGCACAACCTGTCATGTGAAGGGATATATGACATTCAGATGAATAAAATCGGAGTTATATAAAAAAAATGTCCTGGCTCTTTCCATAATGGCAGTGAATGGGTTTTTGGAAGTCCTTCAAAGTGCATCCATCCATGATAAAAGTGCATCCGTCTATCATAAAAGTGCCATTATAAAGCTTGGAAGAGCCAGGACATGATTGTATTCGTCTGAAAGAAGAATGTCATATACACCTAGGATTATTTTAGGGCGAATAAATCATGGGCTAATTTTAATTTTTCGGTAAACTGTCCCTTTAAGATACTGGGAGGATTATTGTGAGTTTAATATCTTGTATATTCATACATATTTATCTTCATATCGCACTGTAGCGCTTCCTAAATAAAGTGGAGGAGATCTTCCTGTGTATCTGCTGCCAAGAGGTCGTCTATCAGCCCATCACCACAGAATGCCAACACAACGTCTGCCGGGTGAGACACCGACGCCACTTGATTTATTTACAGTAATTTAATTCAAAAAGTGAAACTTGTATAATGCTTGCATTCATTCCTCACAGACTGATGTATTTCAAGTGTTCATTCCTTTTAATTTTGATGATTATAACTTCCAAAATCAGTATCTCAGAAAATTAGAATATAGCGAAAAGGTTCAATATTGAAGACACCTGATGCCACAGTCACACTTATTTTAAAAACAAACACTTGAAATTACATCAGCGTGATAAAACTACAGTAAATGACAGAAATATTTGAGAAAACGATATTTAAAGTGAAATTTAATTCTCATGTGCCGTTGAATAACACGGGGAGGTGGGGTTTATGACTATACTAGGACCAACCACCGGGGGGCGATCGATATGCTTTGACTTCACTTTTCAGGGCTTGTGCGGCATACTTGGTCCAAACACATTACTGAAATAAACTTTTTGATGATATTCTAATTATATGACCAGCACTTGTATATGTGTGTGTTTATCTCGCTTAAAGGAGTAGTTCACTTTTGAAAACTTTTGCTGATAATTTACTCACCCCCATGTCATCCAAGATGTCCATGTCTTTCTTTCCTCAGTCGAAAAGAAATTAAGGTTTTTGATAAACATTCCAGGATTTTTCTCCATATAATGGACTTCAATGGGAACCGGATGGTTCAAGGTCCAAAAGACAGTTAATAACAGTTTCAGATGCAGCTTCAAATGTCTTTAAACGACACCAGACGATGAATAAGGGTCTTATCATGCGAAACGATCGGTTATTTCAAAACTTATTCCAAAAATGTAACTTTTCTAAGGACAAATGCTAGCCTTGCTCTATTCTCTGAGGCGCGTTTGTAACGTCACGTAATACGGAATTACGTTCAAAAGGTCACGGGCGACGTAGCTGGAAGTACAGAATCAAAATCGTCCGACATCGTTGTTTTTCCTTTTAATTCCTTTTTTTGTAAACGGCGTTTGAGTTAGTTTGCATGTTCAACCTATGCGTTCAACTTGTAAACACTGACTCTGTACTTCCGGCTACGTCGCCCGTGACCTTTTGAACGTAATTACGTAATACGTGACGTTGCAAACGCGCCTCACAGAATATAGCAAGGCTAGCATTTGTCCTTAGAAAAGTTACATTTTTGGAATAAGTTTTGAAATAACCGATCGTTTCGCATGATAAGACCCTTATTCATCGTCTGATCGTTTAAAGACATTTGAAGCTGCATCTGAAACTGTTATTAACTGTCTTTTGGACCTTGAACCATCCGGTTCCCATTGAAGTCCATTATATGGAGAAAAATCCTGGAATGTTTTCATCAAAAACCTTAATTTCTTTTCGACTGAGGAAAGAAAGACATGGACATCTTGGATGACATGGGGGTGAGTAAATTATCAGCAAAAGTTTTTTCAAAAGTGAACTACTCCTTTAAGTGTGAGGCCAATTGCATTTTTTTTTTTTTTTAATTAAGATAAAATCAACAAATTTGCTAGATTTACTTCTGTCATTTCCCTTTTTTGACAGCAAATTAAATTAGAAAAAAAAGCTGGCAACTTTTAGGGTTTATAGCAGGATTCGAAACTCAAAGCCTAATCACTTGCTCAATTATTTGTGCATTTTTTTTATTTATTTTTTATTTTTTTAAAGCCTGACACGATTTTCTTTTCTTCACAGGAGTGCCTTCAGAGATCTTTCAAAGCCGAGGTCTACACCTGTCCGGCTTGCCGACACGACCTGGGCAAGAACTACCAAATGACGGTGAACAAACCTCTCCAAGCCATCCTCACTCAGCTCTTCCCCGGATACAGCAGCGGCCGGTGTTGACGCGACAATTCCACGAACGAAAAATGGATTTCGTTTTTTTAATATATTTAACAAATGCATCAGGTTGTAGGATTGATCGAAACGCCTCCGCCTACTTGATCTGGCCCTGTTTTGTGATCTGCCTCTGTCTATCCACTAAACTCGCACCGTTACTAAGATATTCTTCGTATTTACGAGGAAATGTGATTCTAGTTGTGTTTTATAGCTATAGACACTTCTTGTACCCTAAACCAGCACAATGACCTGTAGCTATGCACAATTACGATGTTCCTTAAACACCTTTTCACTGTAATTTGTCATTACAATGATTTGTATCAAAAGCACCAGCAATAAGAACTTGTTAAAACGAGCCCGTCGGGATTGATCGAAACGTCTCCGCCTTCTTGATTTAGCCGGTTCATGATCTGCCTCTGTCTATCCACTAAACCTCAGACCATTATTTGTATATTCTTCGTAATCCAGAGCTTCGGATTTACGAGGAAATGCGTTTCTAGCTATCTAGTTGTGTTTTTAGCTATAGATGCTTCCTGTACTCATAAACTGCACAATGAACTGTAGCTATGCACAATTACGATGTTCCTTAAACACCTTTTCACTGTATTTTGTCTTTACAATTTGTATCAGAAGCACCAGCCATAGTAACTTGTTGAAAACGAGGCCATCAAGTGCGTTTGACGTTTTTATTGTTCCATTTTTAAAAATCAATTTTAATAAATTAGCTATGCATTGTGACGTTTGCGATTTGTTAATCTAAAACTTTTTTTTTCGAATGGTTTCGTAATTTTTTTTGACGTTAACAACCCTTTGAATGAATTCTATTAAGATCTGCGAGTGCGCAAAAACAATGTTTGTTAATTAATTTCGCAAGCAGTAACGATGATTTGTACGAAAGCGCTGGTTCTAGAATCCCGGTAAAACAAATCAGTGCGTTTCATGTTTTTCACTGTGCAATCATTAGCACTAAAATTATTAAATTAGCAATGCATTGTGTTATTTGCTATGCTAATCGCGAACTTTTTTTGCCTGCAATATTTTGTCACTTGTGATTTTTAATGCTATTACGATCTTAAGAGCTTTATTAGCGCACAAAAACAAATTCAATGTTCGTTAATCATCGTTACTGTTTGCGGAAAATGATTTGTACGAAAGTGCTGGTTCTAGAATCCCTTTAAACTGATCCCGCAAGATCAGTGTTTGTTTGTTTTTACTGTACCATCGTTAGCGTTAAATACATTTAAATTAACTAATTAACTGCCTGCAGTATTTCGTAATTTGAGACATTAACAAGTCCTCATACGAATGACCGTCAAGTCTAAGTTGCCGTAGCTTAACTAGCGCACAAATACCAATACGATGTTCGTTAATTTTTCGCAAACGGTAACAATTTTTTGATTGAAAGTAATGTTTAAAAAACCACAGCTTTACTAGCGCACAAAAACAAATACGATGTTCGTTAATTAATTTCATACGCAGTAGTGAGAATTTGTATGAAAGTGCTGGTTCTAGAATCCCTTTTTATTGTACAATTGTTACCAGTAAATACGTTTAAATTAACTAATTAACTTTTTGGCCTGTGGTATTTCGTAATTTGAGACGTTAACAAGACTTTGTACAAATGCTATTCAGATTTAGTCTAAGTTGGCGTAGCTTTACTAGCACACAAATGCCAATACGATGTTCGTTAATTTTTCTCAAGCAGTAACGATGATTTGAACGGCTCTAGAATCCCGTTAAAACTTTCCTGTTTAAACAACCCATTGTATGAATGCTGTTAAGAGCCGTAGTTTAAGTTGCTCTAGCTTTACTAGCGCACAAACGTTTTTTTTTTTTTTTTTTTTGGCTTTATTAAAAAAAACTAAATCAATCTACTGCCATTATTGGTAACTTGATAAATTTATTCAAAAAATTGATTCATTTTAACCTAATATTAATTAATTTACGTAAAAAACTGAACTTTCTCCATTTTGTTAAGTGACTAATTAATACGCTCTGACAAATAATGGATACTATCCCTCTTTTCCGTTTCATTTATTTGCTTTTAGCTGTTTAACTGCTGTATGTGCTTTACAAATTGAGTTGGGTTTTTTTTGTTGTTGTTTTTTTTTACTAATTTCTGCCGTTATGCAAACAGTGGTCATGCGCGTAAAACCGTTCCGCGATCTACGGTCCGGATCCGTTTTTAAGCGCACCTAGTCTATCTTGACTTTTCGAAGGTTTTCGAGGTTAATCCGTGAACTGTTTTCCGCACAAACCTTGACAGTTTCTCATTCAGGAAGTATTTAAATATATCGTCTTTTTCGCCTATTGATGTTCTTTGCTTGTAAGAGGTATTATAGCATTTGCTAAATAAATGACTGAGGCTACGGATAATTTTTTTTTTCTTAGTTATACCTCAACTATTTCTAATATTTGCGTAGACTGGAGCTGTATATTCTAAAAATTTGAAATTGTATATTTTTAGCACTTGTATTTAGCTATTTTATGTAGTGGTTGGTGCATAGATATTTTTTTTGCACTGGGATGAGTGCTATATTTTTCAATAAACTGTATTGAACTTTTATATAAACCCACTGTGTGTAAGAGCTCTTTTCCTAATAAAACGCTGCTGTGTGTGTGTAATGCATTCCAGTCACTCATAGATGTTTGTGTGGTCATTACCTTAATGTTTTGCCAGCAATAATGACACTAAATACATCGTTAAAGGTGAAATGAGAGTTGAATCGTGCACCTCTTTGGTATAAAACTAAATTTTTTGAGTTTTCAACCTATTTGTATTGAGTAATAACAAAGAGCACAAGTTAAGTCTTGGCAAAGAACCTGAAACCACTTTCTTGTAATCCTAAAGCCTTTTTTTTGTGTGAAACAAGCTGTTCTAATGAATGAACGAATGAGTGAGGTATTTATATAGCACTTTCATGTGTACTACTGTACACCCAAAGCGCTTCTTAATGTAATCTGTTATTTGTGTATAAATATTCTATATTTGTGTCTAAATGCTCGATTTGAACATATTTCCGATGGTTTTCGTCGAGTTTTTCTTCTATTTGTAACGTAATGTGCTCAAAACATGCTTGAAATGGGAAGAACGTGATGTATATGGGACATTAAACGTATTAAATATGTCATACCGGAAGACACTGTTAGTTCGTTATTTCGTGAGGTACGTGTTTTCCGTGTTAGTAGAACGCACAAACACAAAACAATAGGCCGGTTGTGCCATCAATCAAACACGCCAGCCAATGGGCGACTACGCGATACGGCTCTCCGGCCAATCACAGCACACGTTGCGCTGCAGTGGGCGGAGCCGCGGCCCAGCGCTGCTGTAACACTATCGAGCCTTTCGAATCGACAAAACGGACAGAATCGAAAAGAAAACAGCGAAAAAAGAGCAAGAAACGAGCCCGAGCAGGAGGTAAAGCGATAGATACCGTTGATGTAATGGTTTCGGGTCGAACCCACGGGCATTGGATGAGTTTTTATTGTTATTTTAGATGCTACAGAGCAGCTGTGTTGATAAGCTTGTCAAACCAGCAGCATAAACGATACTAACGAGAAATATGACCACACTAAAGCTTTTGCTCGTAAATACAGGCGTAAGTTTATTCCATAGGTCACAGTATGTGATGTATATGCACGGGTTTAATAGTTTAGGTGTGAATTTTCAATGCATTTTGCTCTAGTAGCCATGATGAATTTTGCTACACAAAGGCCATTTAAACCCCCTCCATAGCTAATGCTGTTTGAACTTGAGCTGGGATGAACACTGTCTATTTTACATTGATATCGTGTCTAATAAAGCATAGTAAGCGAATATTATAAAATAATTGGTATGTATTTGAGCTGAGATACATTTTGCATAACGTACATTTATTGATTATTTGTTGAATGCATGCAAATGGTAGCACAGATCGTAGGGTGATTAATGCATGTAACGTTTGTTTTTATTTCAATGCATAGGTAATATTTATGCTAATACATATAGTCCATAATATGGTTTTTAAAATGAGCAATGGAAATCATTTAACATTTAGATGCAAAATCATTAAATATATAAATAAATAACATACTAAATGCTGTACATTCAGTGAAAGGCAAAGAAAGCAGTGATAGATGCATGTTATTTACTGAGTTTTGTACGATGTTATTGATTTAGTTCAGTTATGCATGACATTCTCTGTTGTAAAAATCAGCGATGGCTTGAATATTAATATCTAAACAAAGTCACTGTTAAATAAAGCTGTCTACTTGCTTGGAATGAAGTTAATATTTATTTCATGCATGCATAATCTTGTGAAGTCGTTAAAATATAATACAATATAAGATGGTGATTTAAATTAAAGTAGTATCTGTCTGGCTGTGACAAGCAAAGGGAAGCTTTCTAGCTATTATTGATAATATTATAAGTTAGTCATAAATATTTCTATTTAAATCAAGCTTCCTGTTAAACTCACTGTCTTGTGCATAAGAAAACATCATGCAAAGCTTCATGCTTGTCAGGCTGTTTTATAATGTTAGCTATTTGAGTTTAGTTAACTTTTTTATGTTCTCATGGTTGGCGACTTGAAAATTGCTGATGAAATGATAATAAAAAGTATAATATAGAATTATTTTTGCATTTGTACTACTACAACACTAAAACTGCATCTTTGTTGTTCAAAATGTGTCTTGAATAATGAGAAGTAATATTTGCATTTGCCAAAACATGCAAATTCAGTGCAGAACAGATTGTAAATGTCTTTGTATTGATGTGTACGTGTTTATTAATTTAAAACCTGTCCACAAAGATCCCGTTTGCCCATATGTTTAATAACTGAGCATGTTTTTCATCGTTTTTGTGGCGGTTTGGCTAATGTTTTGTGTGTTTCTGATGAATGCGACAGGTCTGATATGAGGAAGTAGTCAAGTCTGGTAGTTTCGCTTTGGTAATTGCACTGTTTTGAAACGTTAAGGTTTTTTTATGCTTTTATTTTATGCATTTTGATAATTTTTTTAAGACGTTCATTTACACATGGATTGTGTTGTGTAAATCCGAGTTTGCACTTTAAATTACTTTTTAAGAGGTGACATGCTATAGCCGTAAACTAAAAGTGCTTTAAACAACATTTTTCTATTCTTGAATAATTTATTCATGCAGTTTTATATTAATTAAGAGACTACTGGAATATTTGTACTTTACTGGTTCATTTCAAAAGGCCCTGCGATGTGAGATTAATTATTAAAGATATGAATAGATGAAAGATATAAATAGTAAACCCAAATTATTCCCCACCTACTAACTAGATCTTGAAGAAAACAATGTTTTGAAAACATGTTTTGATAATCAAAACATTGTTTTCTTCCAGAAATTAGGCTATACAAATTTTATAGCCTAATTTCTGGAAGAAAAAATTGATTCATAGATTAGTTTTATTGTTAAGTTTATTATAGTTTGTAAACTCGTTTCTCTCAGTACAGTTTGAATTTAAAAAATCGTTTTTATTTCTTCAAATAAAGTTTTTTGTCACACTAGCTGTTTCCATCACCCTGTTTTTATGCGCATTTTGAAACATCAGAAATTAATGGAAGCTTGTTTCTGCCACTTAATGAAAATTAAACAGTTAATTATCTCACAATTCTGACTTTTTTCTCACAATTGCGTGATATAAATTCAGAATTGCGTGTTATAAAGTCAGAATTGTGAGATATAAAGTCAGAATTGCGAGATATAAATTCAGAATTGCGTGTTATAAAGTCAGAATTGCGAGCTATAAAGTCAGAATTGCAAGGTATAAAGTCAGAATTGCGAGATATAAAGTCAGAATTGCGAGATATAAAGTCAGAATTGCGAGGTATAAAGTCAGAATTGCGAGATATAAAGTAAGGATTGCGAGGTATAAAGTCAGAATTGCGAGGTATAAAGTCAGAATTGTGAGATATAAAGTCAGAATTGCGAGGTATAAAGTCAGAATTGCGAGATATAAAGTCAGAATTGTGAGATATAAAGTCAGAATTGCGAGATATAAAGTCAGAATTGCGAGATATAAAGTCAGAATTGCGAGATATAAAGTCAGAATTGCGAGATATAAAGTCAGAATTGCGAGATATAAAGTCAGAATTGTGAGATATAAAGTCAGAATTGCGTGATATAAAGTCAGAATTGCGAGATATAAAGTCAGAATTGCGTGATATAAAGTAAGGATTGTGTGATATAGTCAGAATTGTGAGGTATAAAGTCAGAATTGCGAGATATAAAGTCAGAATTGCGAGATATAAAGTCAGAATTGTGAGATATAAAGTCAGAATTGCGTGATATAAAGTCAGAATTGTGAGGTATAAAGTCAGAATTGCGAGATATAAAGTCAGAATTGCGAGACAAAGTCAGAATTGTGTGATATAAAGTCAGAATTGCGAGACAAAGTCAGAATTGCGTGATATAAAGTCAGAATTGCGAGACAAAGTCAGAATTGTGTGATATAAAGTCAGAATTGCGAGGTGTAAAGTCAGAATTGCGAGATATAAAGTCAGAATTGCGAGATATAAAGTCAGAATTGCGTGATATAAAGTCAAAATTGCGAGATATAAAGTCAGAATTGCATGATATAAAGTCAGAATTGCGAGATAAAGTCAGAATTGCGTGATATAAAGTCAGAATTGCGAGATAAAGTCAGAATTGCGTGATATAAAGTCAGAATTGCGAGATAAAGTCAGAATTGCGAGATATAAAGTCAGAATTGCGAGGTAAGTCAGAATTGCGAGATATAAAGTCAGAATTGCGAGATATAAAGTCAGAATTGTGAGATATAAAGTCAGAATTGCGAGATATAAAGTCAGAATTGAGAGATATAAAGTCAGAATTGCGAGATATAAAGTCAGAATTGCGTGATAGAAAGTCAGAATTGCGTGATAGAAAGTCAGAATTGCGAGATATAAAGTAAGGATTGCGAGATATAAAGTCAGAATTGTGTGATAGAAAGTCAGAATTGTGTGATATAAAGTCAGAATTGCGAGATATAAAGTCAGAATTGAGAGATATAAAGTCAGAATTGCGAGGTAAGTCAGAATTGCGTGATATAAAGTCAGAATTGCGAGATATAAAGTTAGAATTGCGAGATATAAAGTTAGAATTGCGAGATATAAAGTCAGAATTGCGAGATATAAAGTCAGAATTGTGTGATAGAAAGTCAGAATTGCGAGATATAAAGTCAGAATTGCGTGATATAAAGTCAGAATTGTGAGATATAAAGTCAGAATTGTGAGATATAAAGTCAGAATTGTGAGATATAAAGTCAGAATTGTGAGATATAAAGTCAGAATTGCGTGATATAAAGTCAGAATTGCGAGATATAAAGTCAGAATTGCGAGACAAAGTCAGAATTGTGAGGTATAAAGTCAGAATTGCGAGATATAAAGTCAGAATTGCGAGACAAAGTCAGAATTGTGTGATATAAAGTCAGAATTGTGAGGTATAAAGTCAGAATTGAGAGATATAAAGTCAGAATTGTGAGATATAAAGTCAGAATTGTGAGGTATAAAGTCAGAATTGCGAGGTATAAAGTCAGAATTGCGTGATATAAAGTCAGAAATACATGATATGAAGTCGAAATATCGATAAAATATCGATGTTAGAAAATCAAAAAACTACAGTAAAGTTACCAAACACCAGATATTTTTTCTGATTGAATGAATTGAAGAAAAAAAGGGTTTTGTAGATTAGTTTTATTCTTAAGTTATATGTTTATTGATTTAAGCTCACTTAAATTAATGTAACCTAAAATATTGATTAAGATTTTTTTTTGTTTTTACAGAAAAGAAAAGTTAATCCTCAACCTGATATCATTTCTAATTGACTGATATGTGAGAATAAAATTATAATACATCGATTAATTTATTATTTTTATACTTATAATACATTTTTCAGCTTTTCTCCAAACATTTTAGCTGCTTTGTGTTTCGGAAAGTGCTGTGGTGATTGGATCACACTCAAAAAATAAACGTTTGCCTCTTGTTCAATTTAAGTTTAAGTAACACGATTTTTTTAACTTTTTGTTACAACTTAATTTAGTTGTGTTCAATCAACCTAATATATTTAAAACGTAATTTTTTTAAAAATTGACTTAATTTGTGTGAAAACAAAGTTTGTTCAACAGCTTATTTGTGATCTGTGTATCTCCGTCCGCAGCATCAGCTGACCTGCAGTCATGGACCCGTCTTTACCTCCAGACCCGAACCCCGAGGCCCTCGCAAAACCCGAACCCGCTTTAGACGTGACTCCGCAAGCAGAAACTGCTCCAGATTTACCAGTAGAACCAGTAGACTCCAATCCTCAGCCATGCGAGGAACCGGTTTCAGATCCAGCCCCGGAACCGGCCCCAGACATAAAACCAGAACCATCGGCACCAGAAATCACACCAGAACTACAAATCCCAGAACCACGAATCCCAGAACCCGCTCCTCCTCCAGCGGCGAACTCCTCCTACAAGATCATGACCTTCAGACCCACCATGGAGGAGTTCAAGGACTTTGGAAAGTACATGGCCTACATCGAGACTCAAGGAGCTCATCGTGCGGGTCTGGCGAAGGTACCGATGAAAGATCGTCCGCCTGTTTAATCCCTTAAAATCATCTTTGATCACCAAAATTACTTATTTAAAAAAAAAAAAAACTTGTCTTCTTGCCTTAAAATATCTTGAATGTAACTCGACACCCTTGTCTCATTTAGAATGCGTGGTTCTATGAATATGCAAATGAGCCCCGCCTCCACTCACTCGCAACGATCGCACGTTGATCTGATTGGTTACAAGGTGGTTTGTGACGTCAGAAACACCAGCGATTTCAAAGCGTGTGTTTGAGACTGTCTTTGGTTGACGTTGTGTGTCTTAAAGCGTATTAAAAACACCACATACACACATAAACAACATTAAAAGCTGGAGTTTCATGACAGGGGGACTTTAAGTTTAAAAAGTTTCAGTATGCAAGATGGTTACAGTCAATTAATGCTTTAATTATACTGAATAACAATGAACTACACTTTTTAAAAGTTTTTATTAATCTAGGTTTATGTTAATTTATAAACACGCTATTGATGATTCATGTTCATTTATGTTTAAATAGTTATTTAGTTCTTTAATTTATATAATTTGAAATGTATTCGCATAAGTTATAAATGAACACAAACCTATGAGTTAATGGCCTGAAACATTAATTATTGTAATTGTAATTAATGTTTTAATTATCAATAATTAATCAATAATTAATGTTTTAGGCCATTAATTATTGTAATTTCATGCGTATTTCAGTAAATTGTTGAAAAGTTTTGATGTCTAAAACTGACAATAGCAATAATGATAATTTTTATACAGTTCAATACTAATTTTGTTAATAATTTCTATTATATACCATAATAATGCAACATCATTAAAATAATCAAAAAATCTAGCAATTTACGTATTTTTATATGCTTTTTTTATACGTATCCATGTTGGTCATTAAAAACTGTTTATCGAACAATATTTAAGAGCCTTTACTTCGTTAAATTGTAACTTTTTATCCAACCTATCTTCTCCAAAAATTTAAATGAACGAATGCACCTAAATTATTAATTTTTATTTAATATTTGTTAATTTTTTATTATTATTAATTTATTAATTATTATTACAATTATTAAAATGATTCATTATTGTTAAACATTATTAATTATTAATTTTTAAAATTAGTTATATATATATATATCAGTATTATCTTTATAAAATATTAATAATAAATTAATTAAATTAATAAAAATATATATATATTTATTAAGTATTGTACTTATAAAAATTTATTTATTATATTAGGTTAATGTATTTTCTAACATTTCAAGTTGCATTAATAAACATTAATGTATTATGCACAATTATTATAATGTATAGTGTAAACATTAATACACATTGCCATTGATTTGTTATGAATGGCAATGAACTATATATATATATATATATGTAAATTTACATGAACCTTGATTAATATTTGCTGAATGCATTAATTCATTGGAGAAACACCAAGATTGTCATTTGTCTTCTAAGGACTTGAACAAGCATAATGACTAAATCTAACTGTAGATTTGTTGATTTATTAAAGTACATTAATCTTTTTTATCTTCCTCATCTTCCGACGCTCAGGTTATTCCACCGAAAGGCTGGAAGCCACGGCGCTGCTACGATAGCATTGAAGACATGGTCATTCCCGCTCCCATCATGCAAGTGGTGACCGGCCAATCGGGACTCTTCACTCAATACAACATCCAGAAGAAGTCCATGACGGTCGGGGAATATCGCAAATTGGCCAATAGTAAAAAGTATGGTTTGTTTTATCAGAGTTTTTTTTAAAGTTTTGGCTTATCTGTAAAAAAAAGGGAGTAAAATTGAACTGAAATGCACCGTTTGGCTAGTTAAAAACACGTTTTCATGTGTATTTTGACAAAAAAAAAAACAAACAATTCACCCAAAAATGAAAATTCTGTCAGTAATTTCCCTCCCTCGACCCTGTAAATCTTCAGCACCCAAATTAAGATATTTCTGACGGCAAGTTTCAATCCCGTAGAAGATTTTAAGATTTAAGATGCCTCAAACGAGTGTTTCCCTTCGGTCCTTCATGATTCCCGCAGGTACTGCACCCCTCGACACAAGGACTTTGATGACCTGGAAAGGAAGTATTGGAAAAACCTGACGTTCGTCTCGCCCATTTACGGTGCTGATGTCAGCGGCTCGATCTACGACCCGGTGAGTCAGTCTGTAGCACACACACTCTCCTAAAAACTCTGGTCGACTTTTCTAAAACTAAAAACACAGGTACATCACACTTAAATTTGGCTTAAAATATAAATGGTGTCCAAAATTCAACATGTTACAAGTTTAAAATGTGATTGATCGTTTGCTGACCTTGACTGTAAGTTATATCCCATTTAAAGCCATGTGACTTTTGCACAATACACACAAGGGTGCAAGAAAAGAATAATATAGAAATATTTATGTATAAAAAAGATAACTTTTATTGTTGAAAATATCCATTACGTCTGTGAGGAATAGCTAATGTTTATCAGCGTAGAGCCATTGCAAAATGAAGATATTTGCAATTTTACATAAAAAAAATAAACTGGTATAATAAGGTATTTTTGTGTTTTTATAGCATCATTTTAACGTTGTTAAAAGTAGAAATTGCGAAGCTTGTATTTTTGTTAATATTTTGTTTATTTAAAGTTACTTTTTATGGTATGTTTGTGTGTTTATAGCATCATTTTAAGGTCGTTAAAATTAGAAGTAGAGTCAAATTTAGGTTTTTTTAAAGGTATTTGTAAGAATTTTTTATTTTGTAACATTATTGTAAGGTTTTATTTTTGTTCTGCTTTAAATGTTTTGTTTTTCATCAAATTGTTTTTGACCAATTTTTTTTTTGTTAAAGGTTAGTTAAAAGTAGAAATTGTGAAGCTTGTATTTTTGTCCATAGATCCTTTAACTTGAATGTTTTATCAAATTGTTTTTCATCCAATTAAGTTTTTTAAAGGTATTTTTAAATCATGATTGTTGGGTCTTTAAATGTAGAATTTGTGAAGCTTTGTTCATATTTTGTTCATTTAAAGGTACTTTTTAAGGTTCCTTTTAAATAAAATAATTGTTTGGGTTTTTTTTAAGTTAAAAAATGTAAAATCTAATTTAGTTCTCATGTATATCTTGAAAAGAAAACAAAAAATAATAATTCTATATAATTACACAAACATTTTGTTAAAACATTGCCATTTCAGGAGTGTTTATACATAATTTTCAGGCATTGCAGTTGAATTATTATGCAATTTTTGTTTTCTTTGCTTATGCATTCAGTAAATATTGTGTATAATTATTCATATAAATGAATTTTTTCCTCGTAAAGGAAATTACGGAGTGGAACATCGGCCATCTGAACACTCTTCTGGACATGGTGGAGCAGGAGTGTGGGATCGTCATCGAGGGGGTGAACACCCCGTACCTGTACTTCGGCATGTGGAAAACCACCTTTGCCTGGCACACGGAGGACATGGACCTCTACAGCATCAACTACCTGCATTTCGGGCAACCAAAGTCCTGGTGAGCATCCTACATTTACCACGTCGTTCACATTTAGTTGAGTTTATAGGGCTTTTTTAAACAAATAAAATAGATTAAATTGGCTAAATATGTTAGTTATTTAGCCGAAAGATTTATTTCCACGTATAAGTCTTGTGAAGATAAAATGGTGGCTCATTAGTTCAAGTGACAATAAGTGTCCAACAGACTAATTATACACAAAATTGACTGCATGCACAAGCAAAGAAAACAAATATAGCATCATAATTCAACTGCAATGACTGAAAATTATGTATAAAAACCTAAAATATTTTTGACAGCATTTGTGTAATTATATGGAAATGTTTACCTTATATATATATTTATTTTTTTTAAGATATACATAAGAGAACTAAATTAGATTAAATTTTTTTAATAAACCCCTCCAAATTTTTATTTAAAAGGAACCTTAAAAATGACCTTTAAATAAACAAAATATGAACAAAAATAAGATAATATGAGACCCAACAATCATGATATAAAAAAACCTAATTGGATGAAAAACACTTAAGGAACTTTAATGTAGATCCGCGTTTGACCACATGGGGGCGCTGTAGTCATTCACATCAGCTGTGAACGTTCAGGATGATGTCATCGAGAGAGATGAATCATGTGTGCTTTATCTCGCTCTTGCCGCATTTAAACTCACAACAGGCTCTTTATGACAGAACAAATCGTTTCAGACACTTCGCTGTGAAGTAAATCCTCTACAGCATTAGATGGACGTAAACGAGAAGTATTGTGTGGCCAAAAAGTATTATTCGTTAGACAATATTACATTGTGATGTGTAAACCAAGCGTAACATCCCTCGATCGAAAGCAAAATGCCTTTGAAATGACTTGGTATTCTGTTGTTTTGTTTCCCTGAAGTTCAACTTGACTCTCCTTTCCTGGGGAGAGACATTTTTATACAGCATTTTGAGGTTCAGAATACACAATTTTCCAGCTGGATGTCTTTCCCGTGCTGGGAGAGTTCAAATAAACACGCTTTAAGGGTCCTTTTTCCACATGTGAGCTCAGTAAAGACAGTTCTCCCTCTCATTCCCGGTGTTTGGTCTCCTCCCTGGTGTATTCTGTCATTTTTTTTCCCCTTCTTTTGAGAAGGATGAATGTGTGTTTTGCATACTTGCACACTAGTCCTTTACGCCCTTGGCTTGCGTCGTCTTGAAGTTGCTCTCAAACTGAGCGTTCATCAGACGCAGCTGTTTTGGGCTGTTGTACAAGGTGATATTTCATCCATCTGTGCATCCCGTGTCTTTTCCTCAAGCTGGAAATCAGTAGTCAATCAGACTGAGAGTGAATCTTTGTGGGGACTGTAAAGGGCTTCAACACAAACACCGTGTGTGACGTGAAATCTTTTTAAGGAAAGTTTGGAAGTTGGAAGTTGACGCGGTAAACAACAGGGTTCCCACGATCACGAAAATACCATTTAATGATGCTCTTGCATTGGTGGTAATGCTGGTAAGTGTGTAAAACCTATTTAACTCTACAAGTTTTTATTGTGAACTTACAAAATGACTTCCTTTTAAAGGGATACTCCACTTTTTTTTTGGAAATAAGCTCATTTTACAACTCCCCCAGAGTTAAAAAGTTGCGTTTTACCGTTTTCGAATGCATTCAGCCGATTTTTTTCTGATATTTAGAACTGGAAACCAGACCGTTTCTGGTCCTATTGACTTCCATGGTATATTTTTTTCCTACTATGGAAGTCAATGAGACCAGAAACGGTCTGGTTACCAGTTGATATTCTTCTAAATCTCAGAAAATCAGCTGAATGGATTCGAAAACGGTAAAAGTCAAACTTTTTAACTCTGGGGGAGTTGTAAAATGAGCCTATTTCCAAAAAAAGTGGAGTATCCCTTTAAGAGCGCAAGGACAACTAGTGCTTTTTGTACCCTCGTAAGATCAAGCATCAGTCACCCTTATCCTCTAAATCAAGTCAGAAGTACATCAACACACCAGTAAGTGAATGTTTCACAGATGCATAAGTTAAAACCGCATCTGTTTCAGGGTTTCCGTTGTCCGGTAATTACCGGACATTGGCCGGGAAAAAAATGAAATGTCCGACAAAATTAAATCTCTCCGGTCAAATTGTCCAATTAAAATTGCCTAATAATCCCGCCCCCCTAACACAATCTGAATTAGAGAATAAGCCTAAAATATATACATTTTAAAAAATACACCGACCTTTGGCAATGTTATAAAGGAACAGGCTCTACCGTTTGAATGTTATTAAAGACGGCACACATACAAGGATGTCGTAGCGACCGCTACATTCAAGCTTTCAAAAAAGCCAGGGAACGCTATGTTCAACGTCTGATAGATGCCTTGCAAGGTTCCCCGAGGATTGCATGGATCTACTCTGCCTCGATGCCCTTCTGAATCTCTAGATATCCGCAGACACGTTTGTTAAACTAATGTGAAACCATAGTAAAAACAATTGCCGTTGATTAACGCCAATCGGACGTTCATGTTTTCATGGTTTCCGTCTATTTGAAAGTTATGCTAATAAACGGTGCATTCTATAGGCTACGGCCTGATTATGTAATTTTTTAAGTTGCATAGCCTGCCTCCAGTTTTCCCCAACTTGATTAATTAAGAGGCGATATTTGACCGGCATATCATCAAAATGTCCGTTAAACTAAACCTAAAGTGACCGGCACCATTTTTTTCTAGCGGAAACTCTAAACTGTTTCTTTAAGGAAAGTTAAAAGAGTGTTGTTTACCATATTTGTTATGGTTAGGAAAAGAGGCCTTGTATGTAAAAATACTATTCCCAACTGCGTTGTTTCTTTAAGGAAAGTTAAAAGTGTTTATATATATATTTTCTGTCCTGTTACAATTTGGAAAAGTTGCTTCTTAACCCGTAAAAATACTGTTTCCCCCAATAACAAGCTGTAATGAAACCCTTTAACTTCTAATCCTTGACCAAAAGATGTGGGATCCAAAGGCAAGAGTTAACATCAAGGATTCCTTATTTAAAGTTGCATTAGGGCCAGATTTTATGCTAGTGCTTTACGCTTGTGTCCGTAGAGTTTAATCATGTAGCGTGTTTGGTTCCTGGTCCGGTACGCACAGTTGTCCAAATGGATAAGGGTGCAAAACCATGATTCTTTGAGAGGTCTTACTTGAGTATCTCTCCGTCTCCATTTCTTCTGTGTCCTCATATCTCTCTGAAGTGTTAGATGTCTCTAGCTAAGCATTCTCCTTCTCTCGCTCTCCGGAGGCCTTATCTCAAGTTAACTTTCCGTCGTTTCTCTGCATAACAGAGAACGGCAAGACTCTTGCTCGGGGGGGAAAAAAGGAAAGAGGAGAGAATTTACACACTCTTCAACTCGGCTTAATGCAACTATGTGTCCTCCCCACCCAAACACCCCCTTCCGCTTTTTTGAAATTGAATCCGTTTTACTTTTCTGGTAATTACAGTATGTTAAAGTGTGTGTGGTAGATGTTTGCCTAACCCTCTGTTCAGTCACTGTGAAATTAACTTCATTCGCCTCCAACTCTCCTCCCATCAAAGTCATAATTCTCGCCGCCTCCTGAGATCTGGTGTCAGATTCTTAAAGATTGCGGAGCGGCCCAAAGTGTTGCGCACCCTGCCGGAAATAATCGCCGGGAGAGGGAGTGTCGCAACCGAGGGGATAGCTTGATTCTTATTGCTTGTTTTCTTGTTCCGGTCCTCTTCAAGATGATGACAAATAAAACCGTAACGCCGCCACTTGCGGCGATGCCGTTTGGCAGGTTGGGGTTTTGTGTTGCCAGCATGGGATTGGAGAGTTATCACATTTGGGAAGTGAAGTATGGAATTGTTTCATGGGTTGGAAGCAAGGTAAATGGGATGCGTCCCTTACAAATGCCCAGGCTCCTAAGTACCCTTGTCTCAAAACAGTGTTGTTTTTGGCAGCCCTTTTAGTTTTAGTCTTATGGTGCGTTCTATTATTCATCCGTCTCGGAGATCCGAAACGGACGACAGACGTTGCCTAGCAACACGCCCCCTTTCCTCGGATTTCTCCTCTCGGACGTCGGACAACCGTGAGGACACCGAGCAAGAATTCCGTTTCGGAATTCAAAATGGCTGCGCCCTGTGACTTGTAAGAATGAATTGTATTCATTGTTTTTGAACCGATTTGGTATTTTAAATGACGATTATAATCACTCGTATTACTGCGTACCCTGTGGGTATGGGAATCGGTTGTTGTGAGTGCAATTACTAACGTTGCTAGCGTTGCTAACAGAAGATTAACATGAAAAACTTTAAATAAAGTGAACATTTTCAAGTTCAAATGGCTGCGTTTTGATGAGGTGTAGTCATAATATGTTTATTTTAATGTAAGTGCCTGGTACTCGGCCATTACAACAGCTTTCTCCGACTCGGACAAGCAAAACATAATAGAACGCTTGAAACGTGGACGTGACGTCAAATCCGAGGTCCGAGTCGGTTCGTTGGGTATAATAGAACGCACCATTAGTCTTAGTCTTTTGGACGAAAATGCTTTTAAGTTTTAGTCACATTTTAGTCACTTATAAAATAAATTTTAGTCGACGAAAACACAAAAGGTTTTAGTCGACGAAAACACCAAAAGGTTTTAGTCAAGTTTAATCAATTTTAGTAAAAAAAAAAAGTAGTCTTTAACAAATTAATTTAGTTTAAAAAGTAGTGGAAATGGGCTTAGGTTTGACAAATTTAGCAAGTGTTGCAGTTCATAAAACAAGCTAACCTTACAACCTTTGCATAATAAACTAGACTTTCTCATTGATGGAGATGCAGTGCTGCCATTGCCAAGCTGTACTTCATTGTCACATCGGGCAGAAACCTTTTATCCCCATATTTCAAGTTATAGTTTTACCGCTGAATATTAAAAGCTATTTTCACCAGTTATCACAGTAATAAAGGAATGGTTTAAAGTTTAAACAGCAAAAACGTTGAGCTACTAGAACATTGTACACAGATAAAGTGGTAACAGTGGAATCACTGTTTTACTCCAAAAAAGCCAAGCATAAAAACATTCTTACTTTGGCAATTGTGGCTTTATTTGAGAAATTGCTAAAGTGCAATGAACAACGTAGTATGCAACAATAAGATGCACATTTTTTGTGAACACAAACATTATGCATAGTCTATCTTTAACTTGTGCAAACTGCAAAGTTGCAAACATTCTGAAACAAAATAATAAAATAAATATCTAATACTGAGGTGCATTGAACAAAGAATGCATACTTGAATATAAAGTATGAAACAAACATGACACTTGGAGTGTGTTGAACATAAAAATGAATAAGACAATCCCAGAATAAACACTGTATTTGGTCTTGGTTAGTTCGGTATTTTACACTTAAAGCCCTGTTTTAAGATCGTTTCTGATGAAATAGAACGGTTAAGATTGAATTTTGGACAAATGCTGTTGTCCCGAGAATTTTAGGTTTGTGTGTTAGCACCCACACAATCATTCATAAAACGCATTAAACATTCGTTTACAAAGACGTCAAACTCACCGAGTGGTTCACTGCTATGCTCACACAAACATCGCTGCAAAATATGCTTTCCAACAGGTTTTATCCTAGTTTTTGTCCGACTCTATTGACTTGACTTGGTACAAAAACTACCATTAAACCCTGTGTTGTTGTTGTGTGGGATCTGGTGCGCGCGCGGCGGCCGGTGCTGGGCGCACGCGATAGGAAACGGCAGCATTGCTGATACTTATTTTTAGCTCAATACAGTCCGATTTCACGCAAAACAGGCATAAATTACATGCATTGTGAACGTCTTATAATTATTTTCGTCAACGAAAACTTGAAAACGTCTCGTCATGTTTTAGTCACCTCAGAGCTATATTTAGCTAGTCATCGTCGCGTTATCGTCATAAAAAAATGGTGCGTTAACGAAATCATTTCGTTATCGTCATGACTGACGAAAACATCACTGTCTCAAAATCACAAACGGTGTTTATTGGACTAATTCCTTTGTTCTGGTGGTACTTGAGGAACCACAAGAGACTAGAGGCGTTCTCCAAATGGGCGTTTCCAGTCACACCAAGTCAAACCCCTTAGATTTTGCTTGATTTCTGGTGCCCTAGTGTGATTTTCATCAATACTTGCCTTTTCCCCCCACCAGACAGTTCCAGATCGAATCGAGCTTCTGCATATATCGGTTGCCAGATTGAGTTACTGTCAGCTTTATCTGGTGGGGCTAGTGGGGTGGAAAGATACTCCTGCTGGCAGGAAGTGTTTCTACCCTAATTACAGCCACCCATCAGATCTGGCTTTTATCTGCTAGAAAAGGAGAAAGAGACATCTAATTATTATTGATCTGTGGTGGCACCTCAAACACCAAATTAAATCTACCACTGCCAATGTCTTCAGAGTTGTTGGCGTTTGGGGCACTTCTGAACAGCCGTTCGATTTCTTGATGGCTCCGTCTTTGGTGTTTCAAGGCATTGGAAGAGATTACCCAGCAACCAATAGCCGTCATTTCACTTTGATTAACCCACTTCTATACAAAACAACCTTGAATTTGGTTCCGTGTCATTTTTGCCAAATAACTTGCGAGATGTTTGATATTCCATCATTTAAGCAAAGTCAATAGATGTTTGATCCCTTTGACATGTTCATTTCTATAGACTATGGCCTCATTTAAGCCCAGATGTCTGGGCTGTGTTTGGACGGCTATTGGGCGTCTTTTAAACGTCAATTGGCTTGCTGGGTGGCAACCATGTTTGTTTCGGGTTGAATTGTAGGCTACTATTGGTCTACTTTGGACGTCTTGGGCTGCTTTGTAGTGTTTTGGGCCATGAGCAACATCGATTTAAGACGCTATATTTAAGTTTAAAGTTGTAAACCTTTCTCGATCCAGTTATATTGCGTTAGATTATGTTTTTGAATGCAAGAATGCCTCTAGTAGTTGTGTAGTAGGCTATCAAGAGCAACGTTCAGAGCTCCTTAACTATACTCGCCATCTATTTCCATCCTGTTTTTGTTCTTGTTTGGTTTGGACATGCACAAATTCAAGCCATGGTGTTCTTTCAGTTCCAGTTCCTCCTTGTACCTTTACTCCTTCTACTTCAGTAAAATCAACAGCACATTATGAAATAAAACAAGCTCTTCCTTTGAATCCCATCAGCTGCATACAAACACAACCTTTTAATCCGTCCACTTGGTATTCAGTTGACTTTCAGATGATCCTCCGTCTGTGTAAAGAAAACCACTGCTGTGAAATTGGCCTGTGTTTAACTTGAAGTGCTTGTAAAATCCCTGTTTTGTCTCCTGCCGCCAGTAGAGGACAGTGTGACGCAGCTCAAAAGCCTCCCAAACTCATGTTCTCCTCATTGTGAATGTGTGATTTGAAGCTGGAGCCCAGGGCAGGGTGATGCACCGGATTTACATTTGCGTTCAGGGCCTCGGGAGGGTTTCGGCTCCTCTGGAAACTTGAGGAAATAATTAGGCTAATGCAGGCAATGTCAATAACCGCATCAAGCGAATTGAACCTTTAGCGGCACAGAATATATTGTACTGTTTCCATCTGCAGCAAAATAATTTTTAAATTAAGCAGCACAGTCTGTAGCTTCGGGTGGAATGTTATTATTGCGCGTGTTTGAGCCGATTAGCCTAAATAAATTGGCCCTCGCTCAGTAATTTTCCAGGCTTTGTCTTTGTGACATTTGAGTAGCTTTTTCTTTAAACCACCGTGTGACTGGTGAATGTGAAATAGGGGTGAAATGTTCTGTGTGCGCGTTTCATGTTTTCGAGAGCTGTAGAAAAGCGTATGATGATCAGAGGATGATTCGCACAGAGGCGTCTCGCTGTGCGTCCCTCCAGTGTCTTTCCCTCTCGTCTTTTCTATTGATCCCATTAATTGATCTGGGTTTTTTCCTCTTCACCGCAGGTATGCGATTCCTCCCGAGCACGGCAAGAGGTTGGAGAGGCTGGCACAAGGTAAGACCTCACATCCGTTCATTATCATGTCTTCAAGCTTAGCTGATCAAATCATAGGCCCTTTATATAACAATCTTAAAGGCACGGGAGAAACAGGAATAGTTCCTGTAGGACACTCGATTCCTTATTGCTCAACTTTCTTTCATCGGTGCAACAAGAATTTGAGATATTTCACTAAATATTCAAGCTGCTTTCCATATATTGATAGACAATGGGAATAAGTGCAGTTTAAGCTGATTTGCATATAGAAATCTTAAAGTCACAGTAGCGTAAAACATGAATAGTTCATGTAGGAACCTCAATCTCTTATTGCTCTAAACTTTCTTTGGTGCTACAAGAAATGCAGATATTTTACTAAATGTCCAAACTTCTTTATATATATTGATTGAGAATGGGAACATGTGTAGTTTAACCTCATTTGCATATAGAAATCTTAAAGGCACAGTAGCGTAAAACATGAATAGTTCATGTCGGAACCTCAATCTCTTATTGCTCTAAACCTTCTTTGGTGCAACAAGAAATACAGATATTTTACTAAATGTCCAAGCTTCTTTATATATATTGACAGAGAATGGGAACAGGTGCTGTTTAACCTCATTTGCATATAGAAGTCTTAAAGGCACGGTAGCGTAAAACATTAATAATTCATGTCGGAACCTCAATCTCTTATTGCTCTAAACCTTCTTTGGTGCAACAAGAAATGCAGATATTTCACTAAATGTTCAAGCTTCTTTATATCTATTGACAGGGAATGGGAACAGGTGCTGTTTAACCTCATTTGCATATAGAAGTCTTAAAGGCACGGTAGCGTAAAACATTAATAATTCATGTCGGAACCTCAATCTCTTATTGCTCTAAACCTTCTTTGGTGCAACAAGAAATGCAGATATTTCACTAAATGTTCAAGCTTCTTTATATCTATTGACAGGGAATGGGAACAGGTGCTGTTTAAGCTCATTTGCATATAGAAATCTTAAAGGCACAGTAGCGTAAAACATGAATAGTTCATGTCGGAACCTCAATCTCTTATTGCTCTAAACTTTCTTTGGTGCTACAAGAAATGCAGATATTTCACTAAATGTTCAAGCTTCTTTATATATATTGACAGAATGGGAACAGGTGCTGTTTAAGCTCATTTGCATATAGAAATCTTAAAGGCACAGTAGCGTAAAACATGAATAATTCATGTCGGAACCTCAATCTCTTATTGCTCTAAACCTTCTTTGGTGCAACAAGAAATGCAGATATTTCACTAAATGTTTAAGCTACTTTCCATATATCGGCTGAAAATGATAATAGGTGTCAATAATACAGTCCATAAGAGCCATACTCTATTTATCAAGTCTTTTGTAGTCGTACAAGTTTTTTTCGTACAAGTTTGTGCTTTACTGAAGTCATAGGGGTTTGAGGGCGAGTAAATATTGACACCGTTGTCAATTTTGGGTGAACTATTTTATTCCTAAAACAGGAAAAATGCTGATCCGTGGGTTTTTCCGGCCCCAAATTTCTGCAGGCGAAAACATCGTCATAATCCTGAACGAGGTGCGAGTCGGCGCTGAAATTTTGACGCGCTGTCTAGGAAAAGCCCTCACGTCTCCCTTTGGATTACGAGATGTGAAGATGTGTTTGTGCCTGTCTGAGATCTGAGGCTGTGAAAGCATCTGTGTGCTGTTGAACTTCCAAAACGCTACAGCGCAAGGAACTACCATAACTATATACACGATCCTGTCCCACTTAAACAAACACCCCACAAATAGCGCAGATGTGTGTTTGAAGCAAACGACAGGGTTTTGATCTCCGCTGAGATGTCGTATAGAAAAAGCCACAGCAGAGTTTTGATCCCATGACTGTATCAAGTCTTGTTTTGGTCCTCTTTTGGTTTGCATCGAACACACACCATCCCGAGGAAAGCATTGCACACATTCATGGCATCCCGTGTGATGAACCTTTCCGTCATGCAAGGCGTGACACCCACTAATGGTTTATGCAAAACTCCAGTACTTCAAATCCTCGCATAAAAGCACACTCCATCGCGTCAGTCGCCTCGTTTTTACCGTCGTTTTCATCTGTTAAATCTGCCTTAAAGCACAAAACAAAGCCAGTCCCGGCTCTTTACGATAAATTAATGATGTGTGCCGTTGAAATCATCTCTCACGATCAGCTTCCCACACCTTCGGCAGTCAATTCGAGCTTGTGCGTTTGACAACACGATATATTATCAGTCGCAGTGACTAAGGACGTTCGTCTTCGGTACTTTGAAAAAGACGCGTCTCAGTTTAATGTTGTTTTGGAAAATGTGAGGCTTCTTTTCATGTCATGTACCTTGTTGCAGCTCTTTCTGATGTACGAATAACTGGAAAAAATCAATCATGCGCGACAGAAACGTGCTAACCGGAGAAAGTCTCGTAAACTAGCTAGATTTGGTCATATTTTTGGCTTTTAAAGTTTTGCAGTCAACGTTTAAAGGGATAGTTCACCCCAAAAATGAAAACTCAAAGTATTTACTCTCCTTCATGTTGTTCAACCCGGTCAGACTTTCGTTCATCTTCGCAACACAAATTAAGAAATTTCTGCTACTTTCTATCGCCACTTGGACTATTTTAACGATGTCTTTAATAACTTTTCTGTGCCGGCCAGTTTCGATCCCTTAGAAGTAGGGTTGGGTATCGAGAATCGAGTATCGATTGGAACCGGGACTAACTTTTCGTTTTTCCCGGAATCGTTCAAAAGTTAAACTTTTGATTCCTAGTTTCGATATTCACAGTCCGCCGAGCGGAAGAAGAAACCGCTGAACAACACCAACGAAGAAGCGTCTACCGGAAGTGTTGGCATAACCGCGCGAGTCGAACATTAGTAGCTTACGTCAGCGGTCCAAAGTGTGGCTTCACTTTTCTAAAAATAACGAAATCTCGGCAAAATGCAAAATTTGTGACAAAAGGAGTATTTGTGACAGGAGTATTTCCTTCAGAAAGGATTATTTCCTTCAGAAAGACCGTTGGTTAGCAAGGTTAGCTAAACTTTTTTGACCCTGCCTCTTAAAAGAATCAGAATCGAGAATCGTTAGGAACCGGAATCGAAACAAGGAATCGGAATCAGAATCGTTCAAATTCAAACGATACCCAACCCTACTTAGAAGCCTACGCAGGAATGATCAGCTTTCAGATTTAATCAGAAATATCTTAATTTGTGTTGCAAAGATGAACGAAAGTCTTACGGGGTTGAACAACATGAGGGAGAGTAATTACTGACAGAGTTTTCATTTTGGGGTGAACTGTCCCTTTAAGAGTTCTGGAGCATATATCTCGGTAACAATAGAGCGGAAAACCAAGGAAAAAATGGCCGTACGTTGGTAACTTTGGAAAAAAGGGCTTCAGTAAGTTAAATCGAACCAATATCAGACATACGTAAGCTGAGACATCCACTTGTGGTAATGACAGAGGACACGGATGAATCAGACGCTCTGAAACGCTGTGTTTGCGCTGTTGGGCCGATTGTCAGACGTTTTGCCGTGTTGAAATGACCCATATTGTAGTCTGTGGGTAGGAATGAGGGAGATGATTATAATAATTAAAGGCTTTCAGAGTGATTGAGCGCGTGTCTGATGTACTGACCCGGGCCGGACCAGACTGACGCACGCAGAGCTTTTACCGATAACCTCCAACCGGCAATTATACGTTACGCTCATAATCACGACTCGCTCTTGTCTGAATCTCCAGATGATGGTTCTAATGTAATAGCTTTGCATTGGCCCTGTACTAAAGTCTCCCTGTTTATGACCTAATGACAGCATACTGACCTTGACTCATAGATTGACTGATTGATAGATTTGATAGAAGTTTTGCATTATCTAATAATGGTATAATATACACCGAAATATTGGGTTAATCCATTTTTAATGTGAAAATAATTTATTTGTAAAAGTATGAAACAAATTCCATGAAGATTTTACAAAATACATGCACATATTTATTGTTTTGTAATAACTGAAATAAATAACTTTATCTGTATAAATGGCAATTTATATAGAATTAATTTATATCTGATATTTATATGAAACGTGCAATATTAATAAACTAAGTTTTATTATTATAACAATGTAAATTCATACAAATATGTAATTAGAAAAAATTAATTGCGATTAATCGCATCCAAAATAAAAGTCTGTGTTTACATAATATATTTGTGTGTGCTGTATATAATTATTTTGTATACAGTATATAAATACACACACATGCAAAATGTGTTATTCATATATAAAATATTTATATTTATATAATATAGATTATAATACAGAATTTAAGCGCAAATAATTCTTACATATATACATGCATGCATAGGTATTTATATATACAAAATAATTATATATTATGTAAACACAGACTTTTATTTTGGATGCGATTAATCGCAATTAATTTTTGCACAGCCTTAATTATAATATAACTTAATGAAACTAAAACTCTCTCTCTCTCTCTCTCAGGTTTCTTCCCGGGAAGCTCTCAGGGCTGCGACGCGTTTCTCCGGCACAAGATGACCCTCATCTCTCCATCCATCCTGAAGAAGTACAGCATCCCGTTCGACAGAGTGAGTGACTCGTGATTACATCACTTCCTGTCGCTATGATCTCCTCTGGCATCACACCACAAATATTCAAATCATATAGCTGGAATAAATGGAGAATGATTTTATACATGAAAATGTTAATTAGTGTTATTATGTGATGATTATATTATGATAATTCAATTTGGCACCGGCGGAGAAGCGTCAGTCAGGTTTACCAACAACCGGTTTCTAATCATAATTTGTCATAATAATCATATTTAAAATGCAGTTTATATTATTTATTAATTTAGTACTTTATACAACATCTAGATTATTAATATTTTACATAATCGTTATAATATAATATTTGTACTTCTTATTAAAGTAAAAATAAAACAATAATAATATATTATTAGTTTTAATAATATACGGTAATAATACAATTTATAATTTCTTACGTTTTTGAAATAATTGGAACAAAATAATAATTCAATCGTCATTTCTCACAGTTAGATTCTGAATTGATCTGAATATTGCAGAGTTTATGTAAGATAGCATGTTTATAAAGACTAGTTGTTTTTTCTTTTGTTTGCATTTAATGAACGAGGCCTTTATGCGCATAATGTATCAAACTTTAGTCGAAATGATCTAGCCTAGCTAGCTTGACATAATGTCGAAGCGCTAATGCTAATTAACTGAATTAAATGCAACAATATTCAATTTAATGTACAATTTACACAGCTTCGTTCCGTTTGTTTTTATTATTATTTCATTAAAACACTGACGTATTAATAATGACTTTTATAATTTGTTCGTAAAACCATTTGCATGTGCAATTTCAGTAACTTGTGAAAATTCATTAGCGTTTATTATCATCGCCTTCTGCTAGCGCTTCATTAGTATGCCAGTAAAAGAGGTTAATAAGCTAATTTTATTAGCCTAGCTTATTAGCTTATTAATGAAACGAGCGAAGCGTATTTTCTGTGTGAAATTGTTAATAAAACAAACATTCTTACGCTTTTCATCTACGCAAACTCCTTGGTAAGATAATTTAAGGAACTTGTGATCTGGACGATGACAAACATTTCAGGTTTTTACCTAGCGAACCATTTCTATGTATTTCAGCAAACCTTAGGTTTGTGTTGTGCACATATTAGCCCCGCTAACGTCATACACACACTTTAGACTTTTTCTTGTGTGTATTTCAGTTTATGTTAACTCGCTGACTAAATTTTTTGTTAGCTTTTATGTAGCTACGCTAATTTTTTGCACTTTCGCACATTAATAAGTGTGTGACAAAATGCTAATTCGATTAATTCATTGCTAATTCGTTTCACAAAACCGTCTGCTTGTTTCATTAGCATGCCAGTAAAAGCTAATAAAGCGAATTTAATTAGCTTATTAATGAAGCATGAGGTGTTTTGCTAATGTTTTTCATTAACATTTAGGTAGCTACACCTATACTATTATAACTGTAATGGTTAATGATAACAACCACGCTTAGCTGTCCGAAGTGTCCGAAGATGTGTTTTGAAGGCTAATGTTAATGTAGCCTGGAGCGCTAATCTCATATAACTGTTAACAATAACAACCACGCTCAGCTATTTCACACACTTGTACAAATGTCTGAAGGTGCGTTTTTAAGGCTAATGCTAATGTAGCCTGGAGCGCTAATGTCTCAGACCGCCTGTTGGCAGATATTGTAGCGTCAATGCTTAGCTTCGCATACAAACATGAGGAGGGTGTTAAACTAAAGGACTATGACCCTCACACACACACATTTATTTAGTGGCCTTTCACACAATGACAGCGAACGCACTTTATACTCCAACCACGAATTACATTTCAATTTACTTCGCCGCTGATTTCCGCAAATTAGTCACTGCGCTGGTTTTTCTTCTCCATGGATTATTCCCATTGTTAGCAGCCAGAGACACTCGTGATGATTTCAAGCGGGAGATTAAACTGGGATAAATCTCTATAATGAGGCTAGATAAAGTTCATACGTTGCCCTGAACTCTTTTTTCCTGTCATCGGTGCTGATTCTCACTTTCTGCCGCTCCGCTCGTGGATGTTATTGTCACTTTTAAGTCGACGTGACACTCGGTGGATTTGAAGTGAGATAAAACAGAGAAAGAGACGGTTGAAGTGTTGATCTCAGCTGGAAAACTGTCTCTCTCTCTCTTTCTGTCTCTCTTTCTTTTGTCTCTCTCTCTCTTGGTCTGTCTCTCTCTCTCTCTCCGTGTCTGGGGACGTTATTAAGGCTTCCAGCTCAAAGCTCCTGCTGGGGAACCATCATCGAGTGTGAGGTGGAATTAAGGAAGAAAAATAATATATAAAATCTCATCCACTCCGCTAGTATGGTGACATTTAAGACCTGTAGACCAAATATCATATATAACGCCAACATATGTCACGATTCATATGCTTTGTTTTTTTCGAAGTAGGGTACAATAACATAGACAACATGTCATTTAATGTACTATTTTTCTTGGTTGTGAAATATTTCATGTTCATTTTAAAGTTGAGAGAATTGTTTCTAGAGAACTTTTCCATTAATTTTTCAATCTCATTTTCATATTTTGAGAGAGAAAAAAATCTTTTATAAAACTGAAAAAGTTTAATACAAGTAAATATATTGGAATACGTGTAAGTTTACATTTATTTTAAATGAAATTTGTAATATATTATTTTTAATAATAAAGTTAGTTAAACTTTAAAAACCGTTAAAACATATAAAACATGTAATTATATTAGTTGATGTTTAAGTAAATTGTTTATAATTTTGTAGTTTTTATTAAATTATTTATTTAATAAAATATATGTATAAATGTATTAAATCGATTAAATAATTGAATAATTTGTTTTTGTAAAAAAAATGTATTTACTTTAAATGTTTTTTATTTTAATTTATTATGTAAAAAATACTTAATTTCTTTTTATTTTAGATTTACTGAATATTCTACCTTTTTAAATTTTAATTTTAAAGGTATACATTAAATTTTTTTATGCGTTTTATATTGTACATTTTATGTATTTAAAATATTTTTTTATTTATTTACTCGACACCACACTATATATCGTTCTCTACAGTTGTGGAAATAATCTTTTTTTCTTCCGTTGAGTGTATAAAAACCAATTCTATGAACTTACCAGAAACATGTAGAAGTGAAATATCGCTCTGAATGCCGTTAATGACTGACGCCATGGCGACGCTGAAGCTTCAGCCGCGGCAAAGCAAGGAGGGAAATGCTAATATTCATTAGCTACGGACGGCTAGCTCGCGCCATGCTCACTGGCTCCACCTTAATTGCGCTTGTACTGCCTGAAAATGGCTTTAGCTTTTCCTTTGGCCGCCGGCAGCTGAAGCGCGAGAGATTTGAAGGAGACGATAAATGTAGGGAGAAGACGTGTGTTGATGAGAGGGGAGGGAAAGATGTCTCTTCCCATCAGCCGCTAATGGTCACTGATATTAATGTTGGAAGCCGCCATGTTGCTCCGTCTCGGCTGATTTTCCCGCGTGGGGTTTTCCCCCTCTGATTCTGAAGTGTCGTTTGCAGTTTAATTCAGCGGTTATTGGCTCTTTCATCAAAGCACAGTTCACCGAGTCCTTTAAATGTTGCCTTCGCCAAGATTGCTATCAACCAAGCTCGATGAAATTAATAATATGTTGTGGAGTAACGGAGCGATGTCTGGAGGAAAAAATAAATAAAATGAAACGTCCTCCACTTCCGTCTTCAGAGACGCATGTTGAGGATGCTTTGAAAAGTTCAGCATTATTAGTTTCAGGACATATGCAAGATTCAAAATAAATATATTCAGAGTCTCATTTTTTTAATTAAATGTATATGGAATTTTCACAATTTGATTTTTTTTTTTTTGTAATGCACATTTATACTATAATACCTACCTTTTTATTTTAATTAAATGTAATTAATTTTAAAAGTACATTTTATTTTATTAATTATTTTTATATAATAATATATCAATTGATTAGGCAAGGCAAGTTTATTTATATAGCACATTTCATACACAGTGGCAATTCAAAGTGCTTTACATGGAAGAAATTAAAATAATCAAAAGAAGTCAGAATAATTGAAACAGTTTATAATTAAAAAAAAATCATAATAATAAAAATAAAATACAGTGTCAAAAATAAAATGTACAGTACAGTAACAGTCGGACGAACAGTGGCACAGTGCTCATTCAGTAAATGCAATCAATATAAATAAAAACAGTTAAGAGTAAAAATAAAATAAAGTAATACCCCTATCTGAGATGGAAGAGATTGAGCTGGTTTACGGTGCTACTAGGCCTCCATTAATAATAGTTATAAAAGAAATACTATATATATATATATATATATATATATATATATATAATACTATATATATATATATAATTTCATTAATTTAGTTGACTTTTAAATTATTTTTAAAAATTAAGAATTATTTTTTTTAATTAAATAATAAAAGTTATAAAAGTAATAAAATAAACTCTTTGTTCCTTTTGTACTCATTAACATAATGTTTCTGTTTTCATTGTTTGATCTTTCACATACATTTTTTTCACATATATTATTTTACGTTTTTTTTCCTTCAAAATAATAAAACTACTTTTACCTGAAATTTTAATTTAATTAAATACAAGCTGATTTCATTGATTTAGTTGAATGTTTTTATAGATTTATTACTAATTTTCTTAATCAAATAGTAAAAGTAATAAAGTTTGTTCATTTTTTTTTGTTCATTCTTTCGTTCACGTATTTTATTTATTTTTTTGCAATAGTAAAATGGTGTATTTTTTACAGTTACACCAACACTGCCGTAAGAATGTAATATTCATAGTTTAACATATTTTACTATTAAATAAATTGTGTAATAACAAGATTAGAATTATACGGAATAATCAGCGCAAATAACGTGAAAAGTTTAAAAAATTTTGTGGGGTTCCTTGTATTGATTTAGACTTTCTTTCTTTCGTAGATCACTCAAGAAGAGGGCGAGTTCATGATCACGTTCCCGTACGGATATCACGCCGGATTCAACCACGGGTTCAACTGCGCCGAATCCACCAACTTCGCGACCCTACGATGGATCGATTACGGCAAGATGGCCACGCAGGTGAGTGTGTTTGAGTTTCACACCCCACACGACGCCTGCGTATGTTTGTTCTTAATCACATTAATTAGTTCTTCACAACTTTTAATTCATTTTTTTCGTTTTTGCTGCTTTAATTTGTTCAGTAGTTCAGTCTTCCGTTCTTTCAGTTTTGGTTTTTCTTCACTCATTCTGCCACCTAGTGGTCAGGAGATATGAAAAATGGCTCTTTTTGCTTCTGTAAAGTTTGGCCAAAAATAACAAGACTGGTCTCTTTAGATTCGGCATAACGAGTCAAAATACCCAATTTTCCCAAATCTGCCATTTTGTGTGTTGGCCATTTAGAATTTTATCGTAAAATGCTATATTTCTCAAACGCATTGGCATATCATTACAAAACTTGGTATGTGTCTTCAACAGAATAACCTGAAGGTACTCAAAAGGTTTTGCAGTAGTGCCACGTTGAGATTAAAATGTAATGTCAAAAATGCTAATAGCTTTTGATTAGTTTAGCCTTTTATCATAAGACTGGTCTTGATGGATTCCTTGGATCATGCCGAGAACATCGATACCAATTTTGCCATAGTTGGCTGAACTTCCTGTCAGCCATCTTAATTTTTTACTACTTTTTCGAATTTGACTCAGATCATCTTTAGACTATGCTTGCAAAAACGTATGGATTTCGTGCCAATAGACGAAAACGTTTTCGTTTAACGCATCAACAAATTTGTTGGCGTAATGCCAAACTGCATCTGAGGCTTTATCTCTGCTAGGCTTTGGCATATTGACACCAAACTTGGTGTGTGTAACTGTCACCTCACACACACCACACCACATCAATTTGGTGTCAGCGCCACCTATTGGTCAAAAGTAATAAGCAATTATGTCATTGAAAGTGATTGTTTTTATGGGTTTTCAATGTTTTTTTTAGCTCTTTCTTGATCCTTCACATTTTTTATTTATTTCTCTTATTGTCTTGCATGTCTACATTATTCACAATAGCAAAACACTACTTTTTTAATTAAACATATGCTAATTTTATAAGTTAATTTTATGTTGTCTTTTTAATTATTTTTTTAATTAACAAAATGTAGTTAAAACCTGAATTTGTATTAATTAAACAATAAAAGTAATTAAAGAAATTTCATTCATTCGTTCAAATCATTTTTATTTATTTTGTTCTTTAACATTAACGAAATATTAAAATTTTGCGAATATAATTTATTTTATTTTTTTTTACAAAAAAATTCTGCATTTGACATTTTATTGAAATTATTTTCTCTCAGTTATATTCGGTGAGACATGTTCCACATCATTACCTTGTCTGGCATGTAAAGATTCTTCAGCACGCTAAACTTGAACTAAATGTTAAAGCGTCTGTGGATTTGCAAGTTGTGTGAGAGAACGAGAGGGTCAAAGACGCACACAACATCCGCTAATTAAAGAACAGCAGCGTCTTCAGTGAGAATCTGCTCACTGTCCTCGTCATTATTTCACTTCTGATGGAGCAGCTCATTAGCCAGAGGTCGTTAAACCTTCACATTCATCTCAAAACGCTGACTTTTAGCATGTTGGAGAATATTTCTGTGTGAAAATGGTGGACTCGATTAATGTGGAGCGCCATTTAAACAACTCTGTTTTCAACTATGAACAGAAAACGGTTTATGCGTTTTGGACGTTCATTTACACGACGATGGCGTTTTGGGTCTGAAACCGCAAAGCTTTTGAAAATGGATACAGTTATTGTCTCAATGTAAACTACGAAAACGCAAATTTTGTGAAAACGGTGATGTCGTGCGCACCATATTACAGGCGTGTGGTTTCTTTACGTCGCCATCTACTGGCCTGGCATGAGAACGCAGATGTTTTCGCGGATCTGTGTGAACAAGAATCGCCTTGACAATGTTGTCATATTCAAAGAAACATAAAGAAAAAACATTTAGGTTTGCAGTACTTTGTTGTCTAATCATACCCTAAATATGATTAGACGCCCCAGAAATACAATTAAATTAAATACCCCAGCCTTTTGGTGATATTCAGGATATATCACAATAATATTGAAGTATTTAATCTCAAATGGCATAAAAGTGTGTTTTTTTTTACTTTCAAAAGACATTATTGCATATTTTCCACTAAACTAACACAAAGAAAAAATGGTGTAAATATATGGTTTATATTAAATTCTAGTTTATGTGCACCCTTAGTCATAAATAAAAAATATTTACCATACGATTTAACACTTTTAATATTGTGGTGCCACAAACGAATCACTGAATCAGAGAAATGAGTTGAATTTACTTCAAATTTCAATCAAATGCTATTAAAATGGCTGTATTTAGCGCCTTACAATTGTTGTGGTATTGCTTAATTTGACATCATTGTGAATGTAATGTGAATATTTCGCCCATCTCTTGTAGTCTGTGTGTGTGTGAGAGATCCCGAGAAGCCGCTGAACAAATGAAGATGCTAGTAATAACACACCTGCATCACGTCCAAACGGCTCTCTCTCTCTCTCTCTCTCTCTCTCTCTCTCTCTCTCTCTCTCTCTCTCTCTCTCTCTCTCTCTCTCTCTCTCTCTCTCTCTCTGAGAGAGTGAGTTATTCACATGTTTCTCAGAGACTCAACGCTCTCTCTTCGTTTGCATTTATTCAGTTAGCAGCGAGGAATAAAGCAATACAAGACATCGATCCCAGAGACTCCAGGCTGGAAATCATCATTTGTTCTGTTTTTTTCATTTTACACTGTAACATTTTGTCTTTTATTATCATTTTTTTGTCGTTTTATATTTTCATTGTTATAATCTGTAATGTGTTGGTTTGGTATAAAAACACACACACACACACACACCCAAAATTGCGATTTATATATAAATATATACACACACTTTATACTAAGAATATAACATTTATACTAAAATATAAGATTATATATATATATATATTATATATTTACACTTTATACTAAGAATATAACATTTATACTAAAATATAAGATTATATATATATATATATATATATATATATATATTTACACTTTATACTAAGAATCTAACATTTGTACTAAAATATAAGATTATATATGAAGAGTTCAGATGCAAAAGCCTCTAAATGCCATTTGAAATGTTCTTCTAGAATGATCATTTTTATCAAGCTTGTATATTTAAGTTCAGTAATTTCACTAAAATGGCAATGATAATTACCTATTAATTGTTATTTAAGTGAAATTACTGAACTTAAATATACAAGTTTGATAAAAATCATCATTAAAGAAGAAAATTTCAAATGGCATTTAGAGGCTTTTGCATCTGAACTCTTCATATATATATTATATATTTACACTTTATACTAAGAATCTAACATTTATACTAAAATATAAGATTATTATATATATATATATATATACACTTTATACTAAGAATATAACATTTTTACTAAAATATAAGATTATATATTTATATATATACACTTTATACTAAGAATATAACATTTATACTAAAATATAAGATTATATATATATATATATATATATATATACTCACACTTTATACTAAAAAAAATTTAGAAACTAAAAATTCACTTTTTAAATGCATATGATTATTTTTATTTTGTTATTTTATCTGTTCTCTCTTTTTCCAGTTTAAATTTTGATTGTTACAATCACAATGCATGCATGTTTTACTATATATATATATATATATATATATATATATATGTGTGTGTTTTTTTCTCCTTTAAAGGGGGGTTAGGCTGTGTTTCTGATACACACTTCCAGTGTCAGTTGTCGGCGTGTTGTCTCGGGTCCTCTAGTCGCGCTGCGGTTGCATTTCTGAGTTTAATACGCCAGACCTGGAGTTCTGCTGCGAGTCGTTGACATTTGGGAGTGAAGAATAGCGCTTGTTGCCGTTATTACACACACACACACACTCGGAGTTACCGTTGTTTGTGCGCGGCCTGTCTTCTCTTCAGCTGCAGAATGTTTCTGGTAATTGAACAGCAGCTCGAGCGAGATCTGGAAATAAGGGCCAGATGTAATACACCCGACCGCAGCTCCGGGAAAATGACTTTTACTCTCATCCGTCTCTCTCTCTCTCTCTCGCCGTGTTGATTGAGAGATGTTGGGTTTTCACTTCAGCACAAACTCTGCGATTAAAAGGCTGTTCCCGCCGCAGTCGTCAGCACTGATGATTTAATAATCTGCCGTCTGCACACCTGGATGATGGAGACGTGTTTCATCTCATCATCTCTCTGACGCCGCGTCTTTTCCAACCCCAAATTTTTTGTCGTTTTAAGGGCTTTTTTAAGGTAATTTGCATATTAGAATAATGTAATTATATAAATTATTTATCAACAATTTTACTCTAAATCTACTCTTTGCAACTTTTCAACTTTAATCTACTTTATGTATTTTAGCAAGACTAGATGGTTTTGATCCCCCAATTTGTCTTTTAAAAAACAGTAATTTTAGGTAATTTGCAGTGGTGGAGGAAGTACTGAATCTCAGTACTTAAGTAAAAGTACAAATACCCAGATAAATATTTACTTTAGTAAAAGTACAAGTAACACAATGACAACCATACTTAAGTAAAAAGTAAAAAGTACTTTATTTTAAATGTACTTTAAGTATTAAAAGTAAAAGTACTTGCATAACAATTTATTATCTTAATGTCTATTTTCTAATGATTAATAAAACATTTAATTCTAACTCATTCAACCTAATAGCCTACTCCTATAATGATGTTCAATAATGATGGGAAAAAAATTACCACCATTTCTGAAACAAGCTTGCAATTAGGCAATATCATGCTTATCCTTAGTACTATATGTTAATTTAATTACTATGTTTGGCAGTAAACGCGATTTATTTATGGTGTAATTCTGAGCCTCTTGGCTTGCCATAATCCTAACCAAACCAAACATATTACACACGGTGTGTTTCCTATGCACGTAAAAACAAATTTTCGCGTATGAGTTGCATGATAAACACACTGCGTGTGAGACGCATTTAGTATGACTGGGTTGATATACTGTATCTATGGCAACCAAACGTCACTGGTGAGACAAACGTGCAACGAACGGACGGTCAGATTACGTTTTGGCAGGGGAAAAACTGATCAGAAAATGTAACGAAAATGTAACAGAAGCTGTAGAAATGTAGTGGAGTAGAAAGTATAATAATTGCTGCAAAATGTAACGAAGTAAAAGTAAAAAGTAGGCACTATTTATTGTACTTAAGTAAAGTAAAGATACGTGAAAAATGTACTTAAGTAAAGTAACGAAGTATTTGTACTTCGTTACATTCCACCACTGGTAATTTGCATAAGCATTTGAATAACTTTTTAGATTATTTATTTTTTTCAAATTTCGTTTTCATTTTTTAAACTTATTTATTATTATATTATTTTTTTTTAAATGTATTTATATATTACTTTGTGTTTTTCATTATTGATTGATTCATTTTATTATATTAATATAATTTTGGTGTTTATTTAATTTTTATAGTTTAATTGTTTATATTTTTCACCTCCAGTTTTGTTAAATGTAATTACAGAACTATTTATTTATTAGCAATATCCGTTGTTGTGCCGATAAGCCCCGCCCACAGTGGAATCTCATTGGTCCAAAGTGTTTGTGATCCAATCAGGTCTGTCTGTTTTACATATTGTGTGTTTAGAGTGTGTTTGTTTGTTCTTCTGCAGTGTACGTGCCGTAAGGACATGGTGAAGATCTCCATGGACGTGTTTGTGCGCTGTCTGCAGCCCGATCGCTACGATCAGTGGAAGCAGGGCAAAGATACCACGGTCCTGGACCACCAGAAGCCCACGATCCTCTCCAGCCCTGAGCTGGAGCACTGGAGGAAGAACAGGGTCACGTTCAGAGAGAAACTCCTGCGCAGGTGCCAAAAACAAACCTCCACTTTTACATTACATAAGTCAAATCGCGCAATAGAGAGCCTAAGCCCCTCCCCTTTGTGTGACGGTTTGGTACATTTTCGATACTGCAAAAAGAAAGAAATGCCAGAGAAAATCCGTTGTTATTATAATTTTATTAAAACTAACATCATAAAGTATGATATTTTTTTTACTTTGAGCAATGATGGAGCTATACTTTAAAAATGCGTGCCGAAAGCGGACACCCCTAATGACAACTCGTCACTTTGTGTCAGAAATTAGCGGAGGATAAACTCGCCCTTACGCATCTGTCCAAGGGAAAACACTTCATCACCGCTGCTGATACTAACTACAATAAAACAAACTTAACTACTTTGGTTCAAACTAAAAGTTGTGTATCCGTTTGCATTGTGTGCTGCAGATCACAGGCGAAGCTGAAGCAGTTCCGGCGCCTGAAGCCGGAGGAGGTGAAGGTGCTGGTGGAGGAGGGCGTGGAGCTGGACATGAGCGAGTACATGCGTAAGGTGGAGGAGCGAGAGGAGCAGCGGCGGCAGCAGCGGGACGAGCGCATGGCGAAGGAGGCGATGCTCACGCTGGAGGCGCTGGAGAGGGAAGAGCAGGAGCAGGCTGAAGCAGCGCTCCGTGGAGGAGGAGGAGGTGACGCAACCTCAACATGTTTTATTAATGATAAAAGTGCATCTATCCATCATAAAAGTGCATCTATCCATCATAAAAGTGCATCTATCCATCATAAAAGTGCATCCGTCCATCATAAAAGTGCATCCGTCCATCATAAAAGTGCATCTATCCATCATAAAAGTGCATCCGTCCATCATAAAAGTGCATCCGTCCATCATAAAAGTGCATCTATCCATCATAAAAGTGCATCCGTCCATCATAAAAGTGCATCTATCCATCATAAAAGTGCATCCATCCATCATAAAAGTGCATCTATCCATCATAAAAGTGCATCCGTCCATCATAAAAGTGCATCTACCCATCATAAAAGTGCATCCGTCCATCATAAAAGTGCATCTATCCATCATAAAAGTGCATCCATCCATCATAAAAGTGCATCTATCCATCATAAAAGTGCATCTGTCCATCATAAAAGTGCATCTATCCATCATAAAAGTGCATCCATCCATCATAAAAGTGCATCCATCCATCATAAAAGTGCATCAATCCATCATAAAAGTGCATCCATCCATCATAGAAGTGCATCTGTCCATCATAAAAGTGCATCTATCCATCATAAAAGTGCATCAATCCATCATAAAAGTGCATCCATCCATCATAGAAGTGCATCAATTCATCATAGAAGTGCATCTATCCATCATAAAAGTGCATCCATCCATCATAAAAGTGCATCTATCCATCATAAAAGTGCATCTGTCCATCATAAAAGTGCATCTGTCCATCATAAAAGTGCATCTATCCATCATAAAAGTGCATCCATCCATCATAAAAGTGCATCCATCCATCATAAAAGTGCATCAATCCATCATAAAAGTGCATCTATCCATCATAAAAGTGCATCCATCCATCATAGAAGTGCATCTGTCCATCATAAAAGTGCATCTATCCATCATAAAAGTGCATCAATCCATCATAAAAGTGCATCCATCCATCATAGAAGTGCATCAATTCATCATAGAAGTGCATCCATCCATCATAAAAGTGCATCCATCCATCATAAAAGTGCATCTATCCATCATAAAAGTGCATCTGTCCATCATAAAAGTGCATCTGTCCATCATAAAAGTGCATCTATCCATCATAAAAGTGCATCCATCCATCATAAAAGTGCATCCATCCATCATAAAAGTGCATCAATCCATCATAAAAGTGCATCTATCCATCATAAAAGTGCATCCATCCATCATAGAAGTGCATCCGTCCATCATAAAAGTGCATCTATCCATCATAAAAGTGCATCAATCCATCATAAAAGTGCATCCATCCATCATAGAAGTGCATCTGTCCATCATAAAAGTGCATCCATCCATCATAGAAGTGCATCTGTCCATCATAAAAGTGCATCTATCCATCATAAAAGTGCATCTATCCATCATAAAAGTGCATCAATCCATCATAAAAGTGCATCTGTCCATCATAAAAGTGCATCTGTCCATCATACAGTCCTTGAAAAGTCTTTGAATTTAAAGTTAGCCAAGGTGTGGGAACCCTGGATAGAGAGGGGAATCGATTTTCTCCCAGCCGTAGCTTTCATGCTTTCAGGAGGCGTGGCTTTGGACGGCGATATGCTAAGCTAAAGTTAGCATTTTCTCAGATGTCTTACTGCACATTTAAAACACTCCTCAAAGCTTAAATCCCACGCAGCAGATGAATGCTAATGCTAAAGATGCATTTGACTCTTAATGTGAGTGATTTTAACCTTTTTTCGGGAATCCATCCCCGAAGAGCACCTTGAGTTTGATGAAAGCCCCTGACGCATTTTGAAAGGGAAAACATCTTTTGTACAGCTTTGATTGTGCTAAAATCTTACAATGGCATCATAAATATAAAGTGAAACCTATAATTATCAGATCATCTGTCTTCCTGTCGATTTTCAGCTTGTAAATAATACCATTGATTGGACTTAATTTACTCATTTATCTTTGTTGTCGTTCACCAGAGGAAGATGGAAAAACAGATTTGCAGGATCCTCTGCCGGAAAATGGAGAGAAGAAGAAGAGGAAAAAGAAGAAGCCGAAGCATCCCGACGAGATCTCCTTCCAGCAGGCGTTTGAGCAGTTCGCCGCGGTGAGCGAGATGCAGACCCAGAGCTCTGGAGCCGCCCCTCTGTCCGGCCTGCAGGTGCGCCCCCCCCCCGGTTCACTCCAGACGCACCGATACCGACAATCCTTTATATTCCAAAGCCGATAACCGATATATCGGCCGATAAATCTAAATCCAAATTCTTATATAGTTTTTGAGAGCCTGATTACAAAACACAAAAGCCTCTCCATTTAATATGGAAGTAAAATAATGGCAAATATTTTTGAAACAAAAAAGCCTGTTGAATTGCACTACTTTAAAAAATATAGAAATTGCGTTAACCAAGTATTTTTGTGTTTGTGTTTTTAGGGATTACATTTTTTAAGCTGTGATCAATATATAAGCTGTGAATATTTCAATTCGATACATTTCAAACACAATTAGTTCAATTCGATACATTCCGATACAATTAGTTCAATTTCGATACAATTAGTTCAATTTCGATACAATTTCGATACAATTAGTTCAATTCGATACATTTCGATACAATTAGTTCAATTTCGATACAATTAGTTCAATTTCGATACAATTTCGGTACAATTAGTTCAATTCGATACATTTCAAACACAATTCAATTAGTTTATATGAGGGGTGTAACGGTTCACAAAAATCACGCTTCGGTTCGATGCGATACAGTTCGGTACGTTTTCGATACAGCAAAAAGAAAGAAATGCCAGAGAAATTTCCTTGATTTTAATTTTTTAATTACATTTTTATTAAAACTAACAAAGTATGCTATTTTTTACTTTGAGCAATGATGGAGCTATACTTGACTTTTCTTAAAAGCATATAAAACACAACAGCTCCTTGGACAAAATGAAATGTAATATTGTAGAAGTTATAAACAAGTTTATTTTAGTTCAGATTAACAATGGCAGCAATTTTATTCATAATGTCAAAATAAAACCGACGTAATGTTACTTGAAAACGTTATAGCCGACTATTCCTGCCACACTCCTATGGTTACAGTTATGTTGCTGATCTGACCCTGGATAGTTGATTCATGGCACAATGTTTCCTCCTGGTTTCCACGTCAGCGCTGTTTGATCCGTTATTAACGGAGAAATGTGAATGTTAGATTCTAGATCTCGCAGCGATGTTATTACTTCACTGGCGAAATCAAACTTTTTTCTTCAACCACGCAATAACGAGTAGCTCAGTTTCGTTCCGCTTATATTACATTTGCCGTTTGATGTTTTTAATAATGTTTGAAGTATTTTTAATTGAAATATTCACAGCTTTAATATTCAACAATGCTGAATTTCACCCTTAAAAAGTGCAATTCAACAGGCTTTTTTGTTTCAAAAACATTCATTTGGCATCATTTTATTTCCATACATGTCCCAAGCACACAATTACAACGATGTTCTCATTATAAGTTAATATCGCCTATGTTCATGTTGCACTGAACTGCAATTTAATCATATTTCAAGCAATTAAATAAACATCATATAAAGTGTCTCAGCTCAACGGCATTAAGTTATCGGCCCCTAGTTTTAAAAGCCTTTAATTCTAGTCTACAGACTTTAAACATTGAGGTAAATGATTGTCAAATGTATATTTTTGATTGTTCTCAGCCGAGTCCCTTCACAAAGCTGAAGAAGAAGGTCGAGGTGAAGAAGAGCAGAAGGCATCCACTCAGCAAGCCGCCCATGCGATCGCCTCACTCCATAGTCAAACAAGAAAACTCCAGCGACGAGGGTGGGTACCGCTTCCATGACATCATCAGTGTGTGACCAAGAAGCGAAATATACTCTCAGTATGAAAAATGTATTATTATTATTTTGGCCCTCATTGATAAAACAAGCAGATTTATCTGCTTAAGTGTTCTTAAGGTTGTTCGTACAACCATTCTTGTGTTTTGATGGTGGTCGTAAAATTGGATTCTATTTTGAAATTTTTCGTAAAACCATTTTTTATCTTATTCGTCACATTCAGTTCAAGATTACGAAAGAATATAGTTATGAAAGATTTTCACGAATTTCGCAATGACGTACGCAAATTTATGAACTCGTTTCAAAAATTATGTTCGAAATATACAAAAAGTAAAATTATTTTCTTAAGGTTGTTTGTACAACCATTCTTACGTTATTTTTTAGATTCAATTCAACAGTTTATATATGAATATATTTACGAAAGATTTTCATGAACTTGTTTTGCTCCTGTTTTATCAAGTTTCTAAAATAGACTGACGTATTGTAAATTTATGAGGTCATTCTTGAATGCACGTTTCGAAATGACATTCGAAATAATATACAAAAAGTTTAACAATGTTCTTAAGGTTGTTCGTGCAACCATTCTTGTGTAAACAGTTACGAAAGATTTACGCAAATTCGTTTTGCTCCTATTTTTTTTAGATGGTGGTAGTAAAATTGTATTATATCTTGAAATTGTTTGTACAACCATTCTAATGCCATTCTAACATTTTACGCAAGAATATATTTACAAAGATTTTCATGAATTTCGCAATGACGTACGTAAATTTATGAAGCCGTTTTTGTCTGCACATTTCAAAAATGACATTAGAAATAATCAAATGTTCTTAACACTGTTCGTACAACCATTCTTGCGTAAAATGTTAAATTGACAGCCGTAAATTATGTAGTAATTCATTTTACGAAAAATTTATCCGAATTTCTCCTCTTTTATAGATAACGCTATCTATAAAAGAGGAGAAATTCGGATAAATTTTTCGTAAAATGAATGGCGTTGGCGTTCAAAAAAACTAATTATAGTTTTAAAATGTTTGTAAAGCCGTTCTTAAGTTTTTAAATACAGTTGGTAATAATGTCTATAAAATCTAGTAATGTTCGTAAAACCATTCATAAATTGTTGAATTTGCAGAAATCTGAATTTGAATAGTTTGTTGTGCTAGTTTCATTAATGACATTCGTAAAACTCAATCTTGGTAAAATTGTTTGGATGTCTGTTATAGAAATAAAATAACTGCTTCGCCTGTTTCTTTGTAGATAAACGTTTTGTTTTGGTAATACGAGAAATATTGTCATTCTAGATAAATGTCTGATGGTAAATTTTCCACTGAGGAGAAAGTTGTTGAAAGTTAGATTAGTTTTTCCAATATGAAACGTTTGAATTCATAGTGTTCTGGTTTGGCGGAGAGTTTGTTTGTTTGCTGTGAAAGCATGTACTTGCGAGCACAAAGAGCAAAAGCAATAAAGTATGAAAGAGAGCAGCCACAAACAATAAGCGCTTCATAAAAGCGAGCGGCTGGGAGACAGTTATTGATTTGTCTGTGTGAGTGTTATGAAGAGACAGACAGCTGTAAACCGGCACCGCCTGCTGTCACTGTAGGGGGTAAAACACAGGATAGAGGGGCATCAGAGCCGCCACCACCCAAACCAACCCCCCACCCCCCAGAGCATATCTGTAAAAACCCTGCACTCCCATTGAAAACAATTGAAAACATGCGCAAGCCGCGTGAAAAAATGGCCTTAACCTCAAACAGTGTCAATATTGACCCTGAGACAAAGTGGTGGGGACATGTCGCGACATTACACCTGTGTTACTTCTGTGTGACTCTTCTGAAGTGTTTAATTTGCAGTGTATCTCACTTGTGTGTGTGTGTGTGTGCTCCTGTAGAGCTGTACTCAGGACTTCAAGCAGGCGGAGGCTCGGTAACGGAGACCAAGAAGGATCTGTGGCAGAACCTGTTGCAGAACTGCTTGCCAAACTTCCTCACCGAGAAGCAGTTCAACGTAGCGATGGCGACCATCGAGCCTCACTGCGCCGTGTGCACGCTGTTCTGCCCCTACACACAGGTAATGAACGCTTCACTGTCAAAACACTAAAATAACCCCATGTAATCAGACCATAGGTCCCAGTATAGCTCATAAACCCAGAGTCTTGATCGCCCCCGGTGGCTGGTTCCAGTATAGCTCATAAACCCAGAGTCTCGATCGCCCCCTGGTGGCTGGTTCCAGTATAGCTCATAAACCCAGAGTCTCGATCGCCCCCTGGTGGCTGGTTCCAGTATAGCTCATAAACCCAGAGTTTCGATCGCCCCCGGTGGCTGGTTCCAGTATAGCTCATAAACCCAGAGTTTTGATCGCCCCCGGTGGCTGGTCCCAGTATAGCTCATGAACAGTATAGCTGATATTTTGAATTTGTACTGCAGTACCTATTTCCACCACTAGCTGGACAGTCTGCACTTTTAAATTCTTCCATCTCAAAGCTTTCCTGTCAACATGCTCACCTCTCTCTTGTGTTTTTGTGTGTGTTTAGTCGGTAAAGGACTCGTTCCACGTCTCGGACCCGTCTGGGCTGGTGTCCCGGGTCGGGTGTCGAACCCGTCCGCTGGTTCCAGAGATGTGCTTCAGTGCCGGTGCCGAAAACACTGAACCCCTGCCGTCGAACTCCCACATCGGTGACGACGGCACCAGTGTTCTTCTGTCCTGTGAAAGCTGTGGCCTTCAGGTCCACGCCAGTGAGTTCAGCTTCTTTCTCACGGTCCAAACGCTCGTTAAAGTGGTTTCGTGTCAGCGGCCCCTTCGTTAGTAACTAATGATCTCTGTGACGGAAGTGAATCAATCAAAACTTAACTTTTGTTGGACAATAACTTTATTCTAGAACTGCTGTAAACTCAAAACAATCTGTTACTGTAATCTCTTGTTATTACTGTAAAGCTGCTTTGAAACAGTCTAGATTGTTAAAAGCGCTATATTAATGAAGATAATTTGACTTGCAGAAGGTTATTATGGCAGTGACGTGTTACGCTAGTGGTTGGTTCCCACAGAACCAAATTAAGGTTTTAATCAAATTTCTATGGTAATGAACTAGATGAACACCTTATAAATATATATATATATATATATATAAAGAGAGAGAGATTTTCTTTGCTACTTTTCAAAAAGCGATGCCGAGCAGATTGTTATAAATTATGTAGATTTTAAATTATTTTTTATTTATTATTAAGAATATATAAATGTATTTATATAATGTGAATAAGATAAAATTATGTGATGAAACATAGATAGATAGATAGATAGATAGATAGATAGATAGATAGATAGATAGATAGATAGATAGATAGATAGATAGATAGATAGTCAGATAGATAGATAGATAGATAGATAGATAGATAGATAGATAGATAGATAGATAGATAGATAGATAGATAGATAGATAGATAGATAGATAGATAGATGGGTAGATAGATAGATAGTCAGACAGATAGATAGATAGATAGATAGATAGATAGATAGATAGATAGATAGATAGATAGATAGATAGATAGATAGATAGATAGATAGATAGATAGATAGATAGATAGATAGATATATTGATGGGTAGATGGGTAGGTAGGTTGGTACATAGTAGAAATAAGAATAATAAATATATTGTAATTATTATTCTTTTGTTTTTAGATACATTTTCTAAATTGGATTAGCTAAAAGACTGATATAATATTATATATAAATTAAATGCATAGTATAAATTCTATAAAATAAGAAATATATAATATCATTTATTATTTGTTTATTTTTGAGTAATTGTTTTTTTTTTGATGAGTTAAAAGTTCCTTTCGTTCATTCGCTCATAAAAAATATTTAATCTATTTTTATAAATCAAAAGTCAAAAGGACCTTTCGGTTTTTCTGTAACAAGGTTTATATTGTACACATCCAACATTTCGCAATATTATGATGCAATTTTTGTGTTGTCAAATCGCCACATTTTTCCCTGAAGGAAATGTACAGTAGATCAGTGTGAATAAGTGAAATGTACATTTTCATTAGTGTTGCGTTGTTCTCCTATCCATCCTCCCAAAACAAGCCGTGGTTCACTTCAAAATCACATGTGTATCTTTAGCCGTCGCGCCGATCCTCACATTTCTGCCTGTCAGTCAGGAGCGTGTGCTAATAAACGCCCTTGATTGTCTCTTTATCTCGTCGCCGGGCCCTCGAGAGCCTCTTACGGGGACCGGACGTCACTCCAGCCAATTTACCGTCAGTCAGGCTGAACTCCAGCACTATTTATTTAGAGGGGAAATAAAAACTCCTGAAGAGGAAAACACAGACGGCAAAAGTGGTTTGTTTCTCTTCCGCGCGAATCTAAGCCGCGTAGCCAATTAGAGTATGTGTGTGTGTGAGAGACTCTGCGCTCTGATTGGCCTTTTTTTCCCTCCGAAAATGACCGTTCATATGAAACTATTTCAACTTTTGCTTGATGTTTCTGTTTTCCTGAAGCATTCGACCGTGATATTTGATTATATTTACCATCAAAATGGTCTGTACTTCACTGTGATAAAAAAAACCCTACGCGTTTTGCTTGGACGCTTCCCAGAGTCGTTAGATTGTAAAGTGCGACCCGCCGGATGTCGGCTTGTGTTCATGTCGGTTCCTCTGAGCGTGAAGCAGTCGTGTGATTGCTCTGGGATGAGCCGGTGTATATTAGTCTGCTTTTAGATGCACTAATCAGTTTACCGTCACTGTTTTCACTCTGTCAAACTAATTAAAGCTGTCGCTGTGTCGTAAACACACGGTTTCTGTCACCTCCGTTCAGGCTTTCTGTAAAGAAGCACAGCTTATAAAACAGGTATCTCTGGCTGTGTGTGATGTATATCTTTTTGCGTTTGCCACTATATTTTTAAAACAATAATATCTTAGTAAATACCTTAAATAATATTGACAAACTATATATCATTTGAAAGCTTACAATCTCTAGTTTCCATATTTGGTGACTTTCAAAATATATTACAGAGGAGCCATAATTTATCAATATGCAACAAGAATATTTTCATACTTAATAAGGCGTGTTCAGACCTTTATTTTAAAATAGCAGTAAACATGAAAAATCATGAAAAAATGGTAGATACCTCAGTTTGTTTTCATGCCAAAAGTTCAAAAGATAGAATCCATTCAATTATTTTGGAAAAAAGGTCAAAGTTTGAAATATCAAGAAAAAAATAAATAAATTCACCATTTGTGACGTGGCAGCTAGCTATGACTTACATGCGTGTTCTTTGTATGTGTTTCTTAGAGGTTCAATTCATTTCAAAATCTGCCAAACTTCCCATACTACTTCTGAATAGGATCTCTACTTCAGAAATTGTATGAAAATTGTGAAAATAATGGTTCATATCACTCAAAACACGAATGGAAATGCAGGCGCCCTTATATGGGCAGTAATGGAGTCTGATTGTGCCCTAGTGAAAAAGTTTGGTACTGCGCTCAAACAAAATCTCACTGAAAGCTCATTTTTTGAGATATCAACCTAAAATTTGAAACACAACTTGTTCAGATTTTTGGCTTTGATCTTTCTGCCGTTTTAGAGTAGCCCAGGTTTTGAAAATATATATTTTATGTAAAATAATATTTTTACATTGTACATTTCCATAAACTCAAACTTCTATAACTTTTTTTCTGTTTCACTTTCTTAATTTATTTCACTTCTACAAAAATCTGCCAAATGTCTTCTTTAAAACAAGACCAATCATATGTCTATATTCCAAAGCATTCTTGAATTACAACCATTTAAGTTCGAAATGTGCATTTTCATCTATATTCAAAAAAGGGGGGGTGACAGTTAAGAGGTTAAGTGTCCAACAGTTATTAGTGAAAGCATCGTTTATTGTTGTTGCGTGATCTTTTTTGGTTCTTTGTTTATGTAAATTGGTAAACTTTGACCCCAGTTGGCTTAATTTACTCTGCTGTAAATGTTCACCACATTTTTCCTTGAATGAAACAAACCACCGTCCAAAATATAAAGGATCCGCCGGTCGAACCGTTCTAGAGGGAAAAAAACAACACCAGCAACAACAGCATCTCTAGGGTTTGGGTATCGTACGAATTTTAACTATTCCGACTCTATCGATTCTGATTGATAATGATTGCTAATTCAACGTAACACCTTTATTCTAAGTTTGTAGCTCAGGGCTTAAAGGGTTAGTTGACGCAAAAATGAAAATTCTGTCAGTATTTACTCGCCCTCATGTTGTTCCAACCCCGTAAGACCTTCGTTCATCTTCGCAACACAAATTAAGATATTTAAGATATTAAGATCGCTCCTGCATACTAGTCCATAGGCTTCTTGAGGGAATGACTTTTGCTGGCATCGAAAAGTCGTTAAAATAGTCCAAGTGACTACAGTGGCTCGATTTTAACTTTATCAAACGACGAGAACACTTTTGTGCGCAAAAATAACGACTTTATTTCAACTATTCACTTCCTTCTCCATGGGCCTGTAGTCAGTTAACGTTGCGTAATTGCGTAAAGCTGCGTCACACGTAGGCTCACTATTGGCCGACGCTGGTCATGTGTGTGATGCGTGTGACGTACAATAACAGAAGCTTTCGCTATTAAACTAGTAACCTGACTCGAGGCAGAGGGAGAAATAAACGAATAGTTGAAATAAACTCGTTATTTTTGCGCACAAAAGTGTTCTCGTCGTTTGATAAACTTAAGATTGAGCCCCTGTAGTCACTTGGACTATTTTAACGATGTCTTTAATGACTTTTCGAGGACAGCAAGAGTCATTCCCTCAAGAAGCCTATGGACTGTATGCAGGAGCGATCTTAATATCTTAAATATCTTAATTTGTGTTGCGAAGATAAACGAAGGTCTTACGGGGTTGAAACAACATGAGGGTGAGTAAATACTGACAGAATTTTCATTTTTGGGTGAACTAACCCTTTAAAGCTCCGGCATGCGGGCGTAAGGAAAAAACGATTATTTTCGCATGCGATTCATTTTTGTCCAGCTTTAACGTGTTAAAATATTTAACGCAATTAACGCAGAATCCGTTCTTTCCGTCATCCTTTAGCTAGGATTATGACCATGCTCTTATTCACGCAAATGCTTTAAACCACTCATGCGCGACAAGACAAAAGAGAACGACACACCTCCTGACACGCGCACAATAAGACGCGCGACAGTAACGATTTCTCTTTCGCGCCTGAACGAACAATAACACACATTTATGCCAATATGTCAGTTTTTTCTAGTATCCTCGTTAAATAAAATCTTAAATGGAAGTAAATAGTTGTAAGAGAATAAGATGCGCGAGCAGCGGCGGGTCTTAAAGTGACAGGAGCCCATTAATTCTGTGTGTCAGTAAAGTTAACCTAAAGAACAGAGGGAACGGAGACAATTCACTAAGGAACGCTCGTAGCTTTGACGAGGATTAATCTATATTTCATTTACAATTTATGCAGTGTGAACTGTTTTATAACCGTTATGGTACAGGTAAATGACATTTATTATGGGTTTAAGTGAGGTTTGTTTTAAATTCACAGTTTGTTTTTTTTAAGCCTAATATTTAAAATTTGGGGGAAAATCATTTTCTCGAGACATCAGTAGCTATAATATTTGTGATTCTGGCTTTCCTTCATAAAAATATGCCATTATGATGCAGCTTTAATACTTGAAAATAAATGAGGATAAGCCATAGAGACGGCAGGGTTATTAGGCTACTGTCACTTTAAGAGCTGCACGGATCCAATATACTGTTGCACGCGTTTTCTTTCTTAACAGTTATTGTTCATCGAAGACATAACTGACGGGGATATTTTTACATATTTCTGTGTGTATTTGTCCGTTCAGGTGTTTATTTAGGATAAGCGACGGCTTTCTGTGCGCGCGTCATTTTGTATGTGAAAAAAAAAAACGTGGGTCTTCTTAAAATTAATCGATAAGAGGAATCGAAATGCGCTCGTCTAATTGAATCCAGTTCTTGGAAATCGTTCTCGATGCCCAACCCTAAACATCTCTAGCTTGTTTACCTTCCAAAGCCTTGAAGAACAGGCCGTGAAGTGAAACGAACCACCGTCTAAAATGGTTGAATCGTTCTAGGGGGGAAAAAAAGACTCCAACAACAACATCTCGAGCTTGTTTGCTTTCCAAAGCCGTGAACAGCTCGTGAAGTGAAAGACAGCTTGTTAGTTGTGCTGTCATTGCCTCCTCATTTCTTGATGCTATTTTCTGCTAGCCTGGTTTCATAAGCGCTTGAACTCACAAACATTCTTCCAGCGGTTATGAAAATGACTTTCCTGAGCATGTATAAGCGCGTGTGTGCGTGTTGCATATTAAACTAATGCCCGGAGGCTGTATTTGTGTGCCGTGGCGGAGGCCATTACGGCTCGAGCTGGGCTCCCGCGCGCGGCTCCTGCTGCTAGTGTTTACCTGCGCGGGTGAGGTGGGCACAGCTGCTCAAAGCTGGGGATTTCGATAAGACGAGGACGAGGGGGAAATGACAGCATGTCAAAACGGGCTTTCCATTTGTGTGAGCTTTCACCTCCAGCTGGAGCGTTTCTTCTAGAGCGATCGCTCGCACAATATCACAGTCCGTTCCTGTGCCTTCCAGTCGAAGGGAGCCTGGTGTAATTACGGGAAACAGCGGGTTCTTGAACACCGCGCGGCGACAGCGCTACTCGTGTGAACGGCATCCTTGGATTGCCGAGGTTTCAATTTGCGTACATCTTGTGTAATTGGTTGGAAATGTAAAGGTGTGAGAGACTTGAAATGTCAATCGACTCATTACTAAATATTACAACTAAATATTCAGTGAATAGCGGTCATGAGCATTACGTTTTTTTTCAACGTAACATTTAAATTGTATGTTTTTCGTACGATTATTTGTACGCATTTGAAATAAAAGTTTGTGTTTGGTAGACTTATTTAGTATATATAAATACACACAATGCATGTATATATTAAAGAAAAATATGTTATTTATATATAGGATAATTATAATTATATATAATTTAAATTATATATAGAGAGTATATACATGCAAATATTTCTTAAATATATACATGCATTATCCAGAGTTGGAAATGTAATTTTCAGGTCTCTGTGTAAAAAGTGAGTAACGGGTAATAAATGGATCGTAACTATTCCATAAATATAATTTATTGCTATAAAATCCCAAATATTAAGTAAAAAATATTGTCAAACTAAAACTTAGAATTTTTTGTCTCTTAAAATAAAAAATTTCAGTCATTTTTGACCACCACACGATTTTCTTTTTAATTTAATTGTTTGTTCTGTCTTTCTAGTTTCATTTGTCGATTCGTTAAATTTTGTTCTGTCGTTTTTTTCGTTTTTTGCCAATTTTTTCCGTTCGTTTCTTTTTTTTTCTGTCTTTTGTTCCTAATTTGTTCCTTTGTTCATTCTTTTCGTATCAAACTATATCGGAGAGAGATGTTTTTAATCGAAAATGACAGAAACGGTTGTATCTTTGAAAATAACGTACGCAGTTTTAATAAATAAAATTTTCGTTTTGTTTTCCGTCAGGTTGTTACGGAGTCAATCCCGAGACGAAACAGGACGACTGGATGTGTTCCCGATGCACCTCGATGGAGTGGACAGCCGTAAGACTCGAACACGTTTCTCTCGTTTATCGTTGCGTTAAAACGTTGCGTTCATTATTGTGTTCTTGGTTGCAGGCCTGCTGTTTGTGCAGTTTAAGAGGAGGAGCTTTGAAGAAAACCACAGATGACAGGTCTCATATCTTAAACTCTATTACGAGATGGCACCCAAAATGTTAAATTGTTTGTTTTTTGCGTACGTATTCTCGTATCTTGATAATCTTAAGGTTGAGCCACTGTAGTCACTCTGACTATTTTAACGATGTCTTTAATAACTTTCTGGACCGACAAGTTTCAAGCCCTTAGAAATATTTTAATTTGTGTTACGAAGATGAACGAAAGTCTTACGGGGTTGAACAACATGAGTCAGAGTGATTAACCCTTTAATGCTGGTTTTGTAAACGTTTGTCTGCTGTGGTCAGGTGGGTCCACGTGATCTGTGCGGTGGCTGTGGCCGAGGCTCGTTTCGTCGGCGCTGTGGAACGAGAGCCTGTGGACGTGTCCTCTGTTCCCGACACCAGGAAGAGTCTGGTGAGTCACTGGACGAACACAATCGACACACATCGGGGGAATACGCTGATTTCACGCAGCCGCCATTTTGAAATCGCAAGCGAGGCTTCAGAATGCGATGGCGTATTGTTGTGTTTAATGTAGAAATTAGTTATTCTAAAACTGGTCATACATTTCTTTCATACTTTAGACTTTATACAGTGGAATTCGTTTATAAATAAAATTATTTTGATATATAATTCAGAACGTAAAAAAAAGAAGCAGGAACGAACGATATAAATATCCTATATTGGATATTAACATTAATAGCGTCATTTTTATTAGTTGTCTATCTGTACTTCCGGAGGCTCGCTTTCCATTTCAAAATGGCGGCTGCGTGAAATCAGCGTATTTAGGCTGCTCTTTTGTTCATTGAGTTTTTTTTTTTTTTTTTTGCTTAGTTTCTTCGTTCATCCATTGATTTGTGAATTTTTTTTTTTCATTGTAACATTTGTGTTATTTTTTTGCTTTCGCCCTTTTCGTTAATTTCTTTTGTTCACATATTAGTTTCGTTCATTTTCTGCTGTTGTTTTCAGTTTCTTTATTGGCATTTTCGTTTGCGTTTGTTTTCGCATATTGTTTCTTTCGTTCTTTTGCTGGTAGTTTTATTTGTTTCGTTGTTTTTGTTTAATTTTCCACTTTTTTTCATTGGTATTTTTCTTTTTTTCATTGTTTATGTCTTTCATACATTCTTGGCTTCTACCTTTGTTTGTTTTACTTAATTATTCGCATTCATTTGTTGTCTGTTTCTTTCATTTTGTGTTTTGCTTTGCTTTTTCGTTAATTTATTTTGTTCTTTTTGTTCATATATTAGTTTCGTTCATTTTCTGCTGTTGTTTTCAGTTATTCTTTCTTATTGGCCTTTCGTTTGTTTGTTTTCTCACATTTGTTTATTTTATTCTTTTGTTTAATTTAGTTTGCTCTTCACTGTTTCTTTCATTTGTTCCTGTGTTCATTCCTAATGTTTATTTCTTTCTTTTTGCCTTTTCATACTTTCAGTATTTCTTACGTGATTTTTTACGTTTTAGTTTCATTAATTAATGCTCTTTTGTCCGTTCTTTATGTTTCGTAATAGTTTGTTCTTTTTCTTTTTCATTGTTTTTTGTTTGTTTTCATTAATTAATTTTTGCTTATTCGTTTGTTCTCGTTTTCTTATTCGTTTGTTCTTTCATTTGTGCTTTGTTTTTTTTTTAACTTTATGATCATTATTTTGTTTCTTTTGTGTTGTTCATTCTATTTTTGTTTCTTTTGTTCATTTGTCTTGTTATTTAGTTGTTCCTCTCTCTCTCGGAGGCAATGATGCATTATTAATGATGTGGAAGGCTGAATAATCAGGTGTCGTTCCTCTGCTGTGCTAAATGAAGTGCATTGATTATATAGGCAGGTTTCTCCATCTGAACGCACACACACACACACCAGCGCTGCTGAAAAAACACAGAACACAAACCATGAGTGACATCATTTCCTCTGGTGTCGTTCACCACATGATGACAGTAAAAATGCTTCGCTGAGGCAGAAACCGCCCGTTCACATTCTCCTCCTGTTTCTTCTGTTCCAGCTTTCATTCTTTCGTTTGGGCTTTTTTCAATCATTCTTTCGTTTCTTTTGCTGTTTTTTTCTCCATTTTCTACTTTTGTTTATTTCTGTTTCTTTTGTTTGCTCTTTCTTTCTTGTGTTTTTTTCTTTTTCTTTGGCTGTTTGTTTTCTTTCTGTTCTACTTTTGTTTGTTTTTTCTCTTTCGTTTCTTTTGTTCTCTTTCTTGTTTTTTTCTTTCATTCTTTTATTTCTTTGTTTTTTACTTTTGTTTGTTATTTGTTTCTTTTCTTTGTTCTTTCTTTCTTGTGTTTTTTTGTTTCATTCTTTTTCTTTTGCTGTTTGTTTTCTTTCTGTTCTACTTTTGTTTGTTTTTTTCTGTTTCGTTTCTTTTGTTCACTTGTTTTTTACTTTCATTCTTTGTTTATTTGTTTTTCTACTTGTGTTTTTTATTTGTTTCTTTTGTTTGCTCTTTATTTTCTTTTTTGTTTCTTTTTTTTCCCTTTGCTGTTTGTTTTCTTTCTTTTCTACTGTTGTTAGTTTTTTGTTTCGTTTCTTTTGTTCACTCTTTGTTTTAGTTTTTTTCTTTCATTCTGTCTCTTTTGCTGTTTGTTCTATTTCTCTTTTACTTTTGTTTTGTTTTTATTCTTTTGTTCGCTTTTTCTTTTGTACTTTATATCCCTTTTCATTTAGTTTCTTCTGTTCGGCTTCTACTTTTGTTCATTCCATTTTATTTATTTTAATCCAGTTTATTTATTCCTTTCACTTTTTGTATGTGCTTTTCCATCTTCTTTTGTCGTCTTTTCATCATTTATGTTTCTTTTTTCTTTCATAAAGCTCTCACACTGTTCATACATCTGACATCAGCTTGTGGAAAAGAGCAATTTTGGAGCAAATCAATGTTTATATGCACATCAAACATTTATTCTCGTGGATTAAAAGAAAGTCTCTTCTCGCTCGCTGCAACACAAAATGGACGCCAGGTCTGATGTATGAATAAATAACTGAGGGGTTGATGCTCGTAAATCACATATTTGTTCCCTTGCCTTGTCCGTTGGCCTGTCTTGTGATCAATCCCTGAGGAGTGATAAATCAGAGCCTTTCACCCGCCGATGAAATATTTCCGAGCCGGCGCCGCATCGAAAGGCCGGCGTACATTACGGCCGTTTGGCCACAGGGAGCTGAAATGAAGTATTGACAATTTAATAAAGAATTTTTATTCCCGTCGATATCTCCTTGTCCGTGCGCCGTGTGTGTGTGTTTGTAGGTGGTTTATGTGGAAATGGAGAAGAGGAGAAAGACAGGCAAGAACGACACAAAGAAAGAGGGAAAGATGAGCCAAAATGTTTTCCATTCAGAGGATATTGGCATAAAAATGGCACAGTTTTAAACAATCGACTGCTCACTGAATTCATTTGCCACAAAATAAGTCAAAATCAACTGTCTTTCTGTTGTTAATAAATGTTCCTCTTCCTAATCTCTCATGGAAATGTAAGCTTCTGCGCTCTTGAAATGACTTTCCCTTTCAGCTGACACATTAAAATAATACCAATAGCCAAATATCTATTTAGCATTCGCCTCAGGATGGGTAAAATCACTTTTCCTCATTAAAAACCCTGCAATTAGTCAAGTTACAATAGTTAAATGGGTTGTAAATGTCTTTTGATGTTTACATTTCCCTTTGTTTTGCACTTGTTTTGGTTCATTTACTTGTTGCTTGTTTCATTGTTTCTGTTTCACTTCCATTTCTTGGCTGTTTTAATCTTTATTTTGTTTCTTATGTCTTAATTTTTTTTGTATTTTTTTAATGTGCTAGCTAGCAACATGTTAAAACATGTAATAAATGTACTAGTACCATAGTAGCAATGTATTAATTCATCCTAGAAACAAGCTAGCAATACGTCCATTCATGCGAATAGTGTGTTAAATCAAGTAAATGTTGTGCTAATTCATATTAGGAAAATGTTAACATAATGCTGAAATTTGCTAGCAAAGTGTTAAACCATGTTAGAAACATGTTAGCAGTGTGATAAATCATGCTAACAGTTATCTGTTTTCTGATTGTATTTCTAAGCTTACTTAACTTTTTTATCTAGTTGTGAATCCTATTTATCCTGGGAATTTGTGTTGCTAATGACTTTATATATTGAGATTTCCTCGTTCTGATTTTCAGAAGTGCGTCTATTGCCACAAGACGACCAAGCAGAACTTCGGCGCGTGTATCCAGTGCTCGTCGGACAACTGCTCCACATCTTTCCACGTCACCTGTGCGCTCCTCGCCGGAGTCACAATGAAGCCGGCCGATTGGCCGTACGTGGTGTCCGTCACCTGCCACAAACACAAGCATGCCAATCAGAAGGTGCGTAGCCTTGGTGACATTTAAAGCAGCCTCAGTGTTAACAGGAGATTACAGTAACATAGATTGTTTCGGCTTTATGACATCTCCAGCTACAGTTAGTTTTGATTAAATGACTTCCGTCGCAACGATCATTAGTTATTAACGTAACACGACACGCAAACCTTCAAGTCATCCTTGGTGTATATGATATTCTTTTTTCAGACAAATACAATCAGTTATATATTTAAAACATGTCCTGGCTCTTCCAAACTTTATAATGGCAGTGAATGGCTTTTTTTGTTTTTGGAAGTCTGTAAAAGTGCATCCATCCATCATAAAAGTGCATCTGCCCATCATAAAAGTGCATCTGCCCATCATAAAAGTGCATCTATCCATGATAAAAGTGCATTTATCCATCATAAAAGTGCATCTATCCATGATAAAAGTGCATCTGTCCATCATAAAAGTGCATCTATCCATGATAAAAGTGCATTTATCCATCATAAAAGTGCACCTATCCATCATAAAAGTGCATCTATGCATTATAAAAGTGCATCTATCATCATAAAAGTACATCTATCCATGATAAAGGTGCATCTGTCCAACATAAAAGTGCATCTGTCATCATAAAAGTGCATCTGTCCATCATAAAAGTGCATCTGCCCATCATAAAAGTGCATCTGTCCATGATAAAAGTGCATCTGTCCATCATAAAAGTGCATCTGTCCATGATAAAAGTGCATCTGTCCATCATAAAAGTGCATCTATCCATGATAAAAGTGCATCTATGCATTATAAAAGTGCATCTATCATCATAAAAGTGCATCTATCCATGATAAAAGTGCATCTATCCATCATAAAAGTGCATCTGTTCATCATAAAAGTGCATCCGTCCATCATAAAAGTGCATCTGTCCATCATAAAAGTGCATCTATCCATGATAAAAGTGCATCTATGCATTATAAAAGTGCATCTATCATCATAAAAGTGCATCTATCCATGATAAAAGTGCATCTATCCATCATAAAAGTGCATCTGTTCATCATAAAAGTGCATCCGTCCATCATAAAAGTGCATCTGTCCATCATAAAAGTGCATCTATCCATGATAAAAGTGCATCTATCCATGATAAAAGTGCATCTATCCATCATAAAAGTGCATCTATCCATCATAAAAGTGCATCTGTTCATCATAAAAGTGCATCCGTCCATCATAAAAGTGCATCTGTCCATCATAAAAGTGCATCTATCCATCATAAAAGTGCATCTGTCCATCATAAAAGTGCATCTATCCATGATAAAAGTGCATCTATCCATCATAAAAGTGCATCTATCCATCATAAAAGTGCATCTATCAATCATAAAAGTGCATCTGTCCATCATAAAAGTGCATCTATCCATGATAAAAGTGCATCTGTCCATCATAAAAGTGCATCTGTCCATCATAAAAGTGCATCTATCCATGATAAAAGTGCATCTGTCCATCATAAAAGTGCATCTGTCCATCATAAAAGTGCATCTGTTCATCATAAAAGTGCATCTGTCCATCATAAAAGTGCATCTGTCCATCATAAAAGTGCATCTGTTCATCATAAAAGTGCATCTGTCCATCATAAAAGTGCATCCATCCATCATAAAAGTGCATCCATCCATCATAAAAGTGCATCTGTCCATCATAAAAGTGCATCTATCCATCATAAAAGTGCATCTATCCATGATAAAAGTGCATCTGTCCATCATAAAAGTGCATCTATCCATCATAAAAGTCCATCTGTCAATCCATCCATCATAAAAGTGCATCTATCAATCATAAAAGATGCACATTTATGAACTTAAAAACAGAATCCAGGATATTTATTAATATAACTCTGATTGTATTTGTCTGAATGGAAGAATGTCATACACCTAGGATGACTTGAGTGTGAGTAAATCATGAACTGTCCCTTTAAATGAGAGCATGTGTTCCTCAAGCTGACGGTTCGGCTCTGTTGCAGCTCAAGAGCAGCTCGCGCGAGTTGTCTCTGGGTCAGGAGGTCATCGGGAGGAGCAGCAACGGTTGGTTTTATCGCTGCACCATCACCGGCATCGGCACGCAGAACTACTACGAGGTCAACTTTGACGACGGCTCCTACTGTGATAACGTCTTCCCAGAGAACCTGCTGGTGAGTTAACACACCAACAAACAGTCTCTTCAGCATATTTGGGGATTTAAGACCGCTTTGGGTCTCACTTTATATTATCAAAATATAATGTAAATAATAAATACGATGAACTTATTTTGTTCATGTTGTATCGTAAAACACTTGCTGCTACTTAATCCTTGTGTTTGGCTTTGTTTGATGTGTTGACCTGATTTCCACTGAAACAGGAAGCTAAGGCGGGACATTGAATGGCTCCTCCCCCTTTTTAAATAGCCAATAGCGTTTAGTTTCAATAGTAGTTGGAAAACGGAATAAAACTCAAGCGTTTGAGCAACCGAACACACATCTCCAACCCATGTTGCTCCATGACGTTCAACGGTCGCTTCGGCCAGGTGGTGTTTTTAGCATAAAGGGGCGGAGCTTTCGATTCTAGAGAGCATTCGATAAAAACCTGTCATCCATTTTAGCAGAAGTTTTGAAATCTTATATCTCCTAAATGTGAATTTTGTCATTTTTGAACACACCTTAAGCCTAACATATTCATACTGGAAGTTTTAAAAATCATACATTTAGATTTTAGGGGGCCTGGTCCTGATTGGTTAATCTGATTCTAGGTTGTTATGGTTGGCTTTGGCGCATTAATTTGGCTCGTCCAATCAGATTTGATCTATGGTCTCTTTAATGTCTGTCTCAGAGTCACGACTGCCTGCGGAACGGCCCTCCAGAACAGGGCGAAATTGTGGTGGTCAAGACAATCGACGGACGGATTCTCAACGCGTCTTTTGTCAAGGAACACGTCCACCGATCCTACCAGGTAACTGTGACGTCTTACATTTTATTTTTGTATTTATTTATCCAATGACTTGTTTTGTTTGTTTTTTTCGGTTTGGATTCAACATTAATAAATAATTCATGTTTTGTTTTTTTAAAGGGATACTCCCCTTTTTTGGAAATAGGCCGTTTTTGAATCCATTCAGCCGATTTTTTCTGGTATTTAGAATAATATCAGTAACCAGACAGTTTCTGGTCCCATTGACTTCCCTAGTAGGAAAAAATATATACTATGGAAGTCAATGAGATCAGAAACTGTCTAATTCGAAAATGGTAAAACCCAACTGTTTAACTCTGGGGGAGTTGTAAAATGAGCCCATTTCCAAAAAAAAAGTGGAGTATCCCTTTAAAGTCCCCGTTTAGTCAATCATTTTATCCTTAAAACTCACCTTTGATTACCGAAACAAGATATTTAAACGTTTTTTATGTGAAATTTTTTTCGTTATGCCTCTAAATATCTTGAATGTAACTCGACACCCTTGCCTCATTTAGTATGCACGGTTGTATGAATATGCAAATGAGCCCCGCCTCCACTCACTCAGAGATCCACTGGTTGGCGATCACACGTTGATCTGATTGGTTACAAGGTTTGAGACTGCCTTTGGTTCACTGCAGTTTTAAGGAGGAAATACTCAGCAATGCTGTCGACTTATGAACTTACACATGGTTTGACTTAAAGCATATTAAAAACACCACATAAACATAGAAACAACATTAAAAACTTGTTTATGAGTAAAATAATGTAAATAGTTAATTTTTGTGTTAATAGTTAGCGTCGCCTGGTTTGGAAACGAAATCTTTCGGTTGAGTTTCTCTTGATTCCCGCCCTTCTCCGAGTCTTTCATGAGTCCACATTTGGTGTAAAGTTTGCTTTCCTCGTACACAGAGGAGCCGCTGACGTCTTGAGCAAAAGGGAGGAGAGATTAATGGGAAAATGAGAAGACTAGGCATATGTGCCGCTTGGGGGATTTATGGAGTCTGTACATGAATCTTATGAGGTGTGATGGACCGCAGACAACGAGAATAGACCGCCATTCATCTGCTATTTCTCATACACGCGACACTCCGTCACAGGAAGTGCTTTTGAGTTCTTGTGCAGGGTTGAGACCATGTTTTTCCTCACATTTGGGTCACATTTGAATGGAAAAGTGACTAAATCGGATTCTAAAATGAGCTACTAGTTTTGGTTCACGTCAGATTCTTTCTCATTAAAACCCAAACACACGATACGGTGTTTCATTGTTCGGCTGAACTCTTGAGAGACTCCTCTGTCAGCATTAACGAAGCGTTTGATTCTCTCCGCCGCCCCAAGACTCCATTATTTATCAGATCCGTGTGAGTCACGGCACTCCATAACAACCACAGATCACTGACGTCACTTTAGCCTTTGCTAGACGCACCGAATATTCCCCCAACCACCCCAGGCGATCTGTTACTGGATGTCTGGAAGTCTGACAGGTCTTGAAGCTGCTGGGAATTGATCTGGAATAGGGTGTTGATTGCAGTCTGGTTGAAAGTTTGAAGCTTGTTATGTTGGTTCCTCCTCTGCTCCAAAAATAAGAGTTGTAAAGGAGTATTCTGGGTTAAATGCAGTTTTTACAGCTCTATCATTAGGTTTAGCATTACATAAGTGATTTCTATGTGTGGTTGGGCTGTCAAATAAAAATTCTAATTTAAATATTCATCAAAAAAAGAAAAATTCGAATGGCTAAAGTTCTGCAAGCTGTATTCATTGTACCGTAACTCTTCAACTGTTTGCACAATCAAAACCATTCAAATTGCCTTAAAAATTGATTAAAAAAAATAAATTCTCGTTTTTTTTTTCTATTTAAATTCTATTTACAAACTCACCAAACACAATAATGTTCAATAGGTGTACATTTTTTGAAAGATAATATTTTTCTGAAACCCATGACACCTTGGACATGCACATTGTTTTCAAATTTTACAGTTAAAAAATCTAAATATGTGAAACACCTATTTTAGCTTCAGGTTCTAAAGGGTTAAGAAATCATATTTTATTTAAGAACAATTGTTTCAATTTATGTTTATGCACTTTAAAAAGTGAATGTCATTTTAATTTCAATAAAAGAGGCAATGCTTGATTTGGTTTATATGTTCCTAATGTGCTTGCTTGCGCCATCTTGTGGGCATAGGAGACAATACAGTACTTTTTTCCTCTTTTTCCTAATTAAGTATAATTTAATTTGAATTTTGTTTATATATTTAAGAAAGAAATTTGAATTTTGAGTTATGTGGAGTTGCGTGGAATTATGTATTGCTAGTCCATGTCCCTTCCCAAAAGATTAAAACACAATTAAATTACATTTATTATTAAATTTATTGTGTTTGTAGATTTAGATATATTTCTATTACGTAGATGGAGTTGTACTTGTATAACTGGAAAACTGTTTCCCGAGGGTGTTAATAAGGTGGCCGCTGAGACACAAGCTTGGATCGCATCATATAATTTGGTTCCAAGAGCAGTGAAGGATCTGAAGCATCTAAACTGACTGCATTTCTTTCCAGGTGGAGTTTCAGGACGAGACGCAGATCTTACTGAAACGCAGTGAGATTCACTCTCTAAACCAGGAGCTGCCCAAGAGGGTCATGTCTCGTCTGGTAAGCGCTTTAATTCACTGCACACAGAATTCAATCTAAAGTCAAAGTGCAAGTTTAACAGTTTCCTGCTTTCGTGTTTGTCAAACTAGAGGTTTTTCAAGCTAACAATATATCAATGCATCGCAATTCGTGGATCGATTTAAATTTTTTACGAATACATCGCGAATCGACCCTGAGCTTAGTTCTTAACAACAGTGGCGCTCTCAACCGGTTTTTAACAGCAGAGGACGCTCTGGGCCGGTTTTTAACAGCAGAGGACGCTCTGGGCCGGTTTTTAACAGCAGAGGACGCTCTGGGCCGGTTTTTAACAGCAGAGGACGCTCTGGGCCGGTTTTTAACAGCAGAGGACGCTCTGGGCCGGTTTTTAACAGCAGAGGGCGCTCTGGGCCGGTTTTTAACAGCAGAGGGCGCTCTGGCCGGTTTTTAACAGCAGAGGACGCTCTGGCCGGTTTTTAACAGCAGAGGGCGCTCTGGGCCGGTTTTTAACAGCAGAGGGCGCTCTGGGCCGGTTTTTAACAGCAGAGGGCGCTCTGGGCCGGTTTTTAACAGCAGAGGACGCTCTGGGCCGGTTTTTAACAGCAGAGGGCGCTCTGGGCCGGTTTTTAACAGCAGAGGGCGCTCTCAACCGGTTTTTAACAGCAGAGGACGCTCTGGGCCGGTTTTTAACAGCAGAGGGCGCTCTCAACCGGTTTTTAACAGCAGAGGACGCTCTGGGCCGGTTTTTAACAGCAGAGGACGCTCTGGGCCGGTTTTTAACAGCAGAGGACGCTCTGGGCCGGTTTTTAACAGCAGAGGGCGCTCTGGGCCGGTTTTTAACAGCAGAGGGCGCTCTGGACTGGTTTTTATCAGCAGAGGATGCTCTGGACTGGTTTTTATCAGCAGAGGATGCTCTGGGCCGGTTTTTAACAGCAGAGGATGCTCTGGGCCGGTTTTTAACAGCAGAGGGCGCTCTCAACCGGTTTTTAACAGCAGAGGGCACTCTGGACTGGTTTTTATCAGCAGAGGATGCTCTGGGCCGGTTTTTAACAGCAGAGGACGCTCTGGACCGGTTTTTAACAGCAAGGGGGGGTTTTCGGCTGGTTTTTAACAGTAGATTGCGCTCTGGGCCGGTTTTTAACAGCAGAGGGCGCTCTCAGCTGGTTTTTAACAGCAGAGGATGCTCTGGACCGTTTTTAAACAGCAGAGGATGCTCTGGGCCGGTTTTTAACAGCAGAGGGCGCTCTCAACCGGTTTTTAACAGCAGAGGACGCTCTCAACCGGTTTTTAACAGCAGATGACGCTCTGGGCCGGTTTTTAACAGCAGAGGACGCTCTGGGCCGGTTTTTAACAGCAGAGGGCGCTCTCAACCGGTTTTTAACAGCAGAGGGCGCTCTCAACCGGTTTTTAACAGCAGATGACGCTCTGGGGCGGTTTTTAACAGCAGAGGGCGCTCTCAACCGTTTTTTAACAGCAGAGGATGCTCTGGGCCGGTTTTTAACAGCAGAGGGCGCTCTCAACCGGTTTTTAACAGCAGAGGACGCTCTGGGCCGGTTTTTAACAGCAGAGGGCGCTCTCAACCGGTTTTTAACAGCAGAGGGCGCTCTCAGCTGGTTTTTAACAGCAGAGGGTGCTCTGGGCCGGTTTTTAACAGCAGAGGGCGCTCTCAGCTGGTTTTTAACAGCAGAGGATGCTCTAGACCGTTTTTTAACAGCAGAGGGCGCTCTCAACCGGTTTTTAACAGCAGTGGCGCTCTCAGCTGGTTTTTAACAGCAGAGGGCATTCTGGACCGGTTTTTAACAGCAGAGGGCGCTCTCAACCGGTTTTTAACAGCAGTGGCGCTCTCAGCAGGTTTTTAACAGCAGAGGGCGCTCTGGGCCGGTTTTTAACAGCAGAGGGCACTCTGGACCGGTTTTTAACAGCAGAGGGCGCTCTCGGCTGGTTTTTAACAGTAGATTGCGCTCTGGGCCAGTTTTTAACAACAGAGGGCGCTCTCAGCTGGTTTTTAACAGCACAGGACGCTCTGGGCCGGTTTTTAACAGCAGACGGCGCTCTAGGCCGGTTTTTAACAGTAGAGGATGCTCTGGACTGGTTTTTATCAGCAGAGGATGCTCTGGGCCGGTTTTTAACAGCAGAGGATGCTCTGGGCCGGTTTTTAACAGCAGAGGGCGCTCTCAACCGGTTTTTAACAGCAGAGGGCACTCTGGACTGGTTTTTATCAGCAGAGGATGCTCTGGGCCGGTTTTTAACAGCAGAGGACGCTCTGGACCGGTTTTTAACAGCAAGGGGGGTTTTCGGCTGGTTTTTAACAGTAGATTGCGCTCTGGGCCGGTTTTTAACAGCAGAGGGCGCTCTCAGCTGGTTTTTAACAGCAGAGGATGCTCTGGACCGTTTTTAAACAGCAGAGGATGCTCTGGGCCGGTTTTTAACAGCAGAGGGCGCTCTCAACCGGTTTTTAACAGCAGAGGACGCTCTCAACCGGTTTTTAACAGCAGATGACGCTCTGGGCCGGTTTTTAACAGCAGAGGACGCTCTGGGCCGGTTTTTAACAGCAGAGGGCGCTCTCAACCGGTTTTTAACAGCAGAGGGCGCTCTCAACCGGTTTTTAACAGCAGATGACGCTCTGGGGCGGTTTTTAACAGCAGAGGGCGCTCTCAACCGTTTTTTAACAGCAGAGGATGCTCTGGGCCGGTTTTTAACCTGTTAACTGTCACCCCCCCTTTTTTTAAATAGACATGAAAATGCACATTTCGAACTTAAATGGTTGTAATTCAAGAATGCTTTGGAATATAGACATATGATTGGTCTTGTTTTAAAGAAGACATTTGGCAGATTTTTGTAGAAGTGAAATAAATTAAGAAAGTGAAACAGAAAAAAAGTTATAGAGGTTTGAGTTTATGGAAATGTACAATGCAAAAATATTAATTATTCATATTTTACATAAAATATATATTTTCAAAACCTGGGCTACTCTAAAACTGCAGAAAAATCAAAGCCAAAAATCTGAACAAGTTGTGTTTCAAATTTTAGGTTGATATCTCAAAAAATGAGCTTTCAGTGAGATTTTGTTTGAGCGCAGTACCAAACTTTTTCACTAGGGCACAATCAGACTCCATTACTGCCCATATAAGGGCGCCTGCATTTCCATTCCTGTTTTGAGTGATATGAACCATTATTTTCACAATTTTCATACAATTTCTGAAGTAGAGATCCTATTCAGAAGTAGCATGGGAAGTTTGGCAGATTTTGATATGAATTGAACCTCTAAGAAACACATACAAAGAACACGCATGTAAGTCATAGCTAGCTGCCACGTCACAAATGGTGAATTTATTATTATTTTCTTGATATTTCAAACTTTTCAGACCTTTTTTTCCCAAAATAATTGAATGGATTCTATCTTTTGAACTTTTGGCATGAAAACAAACTGAGGTATCTACCATTTTTTCATGATTTTTCATGTTTACTGCTATTTTAAAATAAAGGTCTGAACACGCCTTATAAGCATGAAAATATTATTGTTTTATATTGATAAATTATGGCTCCTCTGTAATATATTTTGAAAATCAGTCACCAAATATGGAAACTAGAGATTGTAAGCTTTCAAATGATATATAGTTTGTCAATATTATTTAAGGTATTTACTAAGATATTATTGTTTTAAAAATATAGTGGCAAACGTCCCACCTGTGGGACGGTGACAGTTAAGTGGTTAACAGCAGAGGGCGCTCTCAACCGGTTTTTAACAGCAGAGGACGCTCTGGGCCGGTTTTTAACAGCAGAGGGCGCTCTCAACCGGTTTTTAACAGCAGAGGGCGCTCTCAGCTGGTTTTTAACAGCAGAGGGTGCTCTGGGCCGGTTTTTAACAGCAGAGGGCGCTCTCAGCTGGTTTTTAACAGCAGAGGATGCTCTAGACCGTTTTTTAACAGCAGAGGGCGCTCTCAACCGGTTTTTACCAGCAGGGGCGCTCTCAGCTGGTTTTTAACAGCAGAGGGCATTCTGGACCGGTTTTTAACAGCAGAGGGCGCTCTCAACCGGTTTTTAACAGCAGTGGCGCTCTCAGCAGGTTTTTAACAGCAGAGGGCGCTCTGGGCCGGTTTTTAACAGCAGAGGGCACTCTGGACCGGTTTTTAACAGCAGAGGGCGCTCTCGGCTGGTTTTTAACAGTAGATTGCGCTCTGGGCCAGTTTTTAACAACAGAGGGCGCTCTCAGCTGGTTTTTAACAGCACAGGACGCTCTGGGCCGGTTTTTAACAGCAGACGGCGCTCTAGGCCGGTTTTTAACAGTAGATGGCGCCCTGGGCTGGTTTTTAACAGCAGAGGGCACTCTAGGCTGGATTTTAACAGCAGAGGGTGCTCTGTAATTCACTTCAACCTTTTCGGACTTCATGAGTGATTATTTTATAGAAGGTTCAAGTGGTGTGTGTAAGGCATTAGAAGCCAGCAGATTACTGCTTTCTAGATCACGCGGCGCCCTCTGCTGTTAGACACTAAACACTAGAATCGCGATGCATTCGTAAAAAAATTTGAATTGATCCAGAATCATTTCTCGATTCACGATGCACCGATTTATTGTCCCAGCCCTACTAACAATGCAGCTATGTTGAGAGCTACGTAAAACATAGTTGTTTTTTTATTATCAACAGGCATCTGTGAACCAACAACAACCTCAGGCCCAACCGTCAGACGAACCGCTGGCCGCGAAACGCCCGCGTCTGCCGACACCGCCACCCATGCTAGCCATCGAGCCCTCAGCGCTACCTCCTGAATTAATCACCGCTTTCCTGCCCGCTAGTATTACTCCGAACATCAGCACCCCCCCTTGCTTGCCACCCGCGTCACTTCCTGTCTCAGCCCCCACACTTCCTGTTCCAGAACCCAGCGAGAGTTACACCCACAGCTCCAGCTACATCGCCTACATGGAGTCTCTCCTCAACTCGGACTTTCCTCCAGAAGAGGACGAACAAGGCGTTGAGCCGATGTATTGAAGCGCCGCCTCGCGCTACCAGCTATTTGTCAACGCTTAACTGACTTTAAATTCATCCACTTGCATGTCTTTGTTTCATTTACTCGCTGTCGTGCTAATTTAAGTCTCCCACACATGTACGGTGCACGTGGGACGCATGTGTGTCATTATAAACTGAAGCCGAAACGGACCCAGTACAGAGCCTTGGGGGACGCCACATTCCTCGGACCCCTTTCCACGATCCCTCTCTCCGCCTCTCGTGCTAAACGCAAAGTTTCCAGGTGGAATAATCATTTGCTGTTTGTGCTGTTTACTTTATACCTGATTTTTTTTCTCTAACGACTGCAAAATATTTTTCTAACTCAAGCCAAAACATCATGCTATACCCGGTCACTGATCAAAAACAGTCCAAATCTGTACAGTTTCAGGTATTTTTCTCTGTACTTAAGTGTTTGGGAGGGGGTCACAGGAAGTTTTAGACAGGGCTCATGGGATTTAACAAGTATTTAAGGATTTAAATGTCTTTTGTCACATATAGATTTAATATTTGTACAAAGAAAATCACAACTATGACAGCACCAGAAGCTACAGTTTTCAGTTAGCGCAAACGTACGTGTTATGATAGATTCGTGCATCATGTATTCTTCTATCGATTATAACCAACGATAAAGTTTTTCAGCGCCAGATGATTGGATTTGTTTTTGTAGCATTCTTGGTAGACGTTTATATGGGGAAACTATTCACCTTGTCTGTTTTCTTTTTTTATTATTATTATTACCGGTGTTGTTTTTATTTTTATTTTGGTGAAATTTGCAACATAATGTTGAAAGATGAAAAAATAAATAAGTTGAATTTATCCTTTCTATTCAAGAGATTGAAGTGGCGTACATTTAAGCATATAGTCATAGATGATGTTAAACGGATACGCAATCAGCCTTCTCAAGGTGCTATAGAGGTCTTAGACTACTGAGGGGCGCTCCGGGTCACGTGACCCACGGTGAGGTGTACATACTAGACGTCCTGCTCACAAAACTGAACATTTTTCAGTGTATCTTTAAGAGTCTTACCCAATGTCACATTGAAATAAAGGGTCTGGTTGTCGCTTCGGATTTCTTTTCTCCTTTTTGTTGTTTTGTCTTGTGATGTGTAGATTGAGCTATTATCGTTTTGGAAGGCCTCCATTGGCGGTTGTCGCCCAGATAGCATTGAGAGTTTGCTCCAACGCCCGCCCACTCGATTCATTTAGAAACAAACACTCGGTTGAGACGCTTTCCAGACAGAATCTCTTTAGCGCGCCAACGATTTCAGAGAATAGTCCAAGATGCAGGATAAATAATGCATGAAATTAAAGTTAAGACATTATTGCGATTAACGAGTCAGCATTAAATATTCTTTTTCTTTACTTTTTCTTCCCCCACATATTATTGATATTCCTCCTGCTTTTGGAACATGTTTTATAACCCAAACCACACTTTGAAGGTCATGAATCTTTAGGGATGAAGTGCGTACTGAGGTTTGAACCTCTCATTCTGTTGCGAGCACATCTTCTCAACCTCCGTTTGATGTGACAACCGTTGTTCTCGTCTCACGACTGATACTCGACGCCGTTTGTTGTTTCTCACCTGTCAGTGACGCCACGGCCGCTCTAAGGCTTGACACAGTGTGTCGATGGCATTTGTACTCCTCTGATCCTGGGGTTTCTGCTTTGCATCAACACAGAAACTTCACAAGAGGCAAGTTTAATGAAACAATAACCCACCACAGCTTGAATACTGATGATGGCAAATGTTTATCTGTGCAGAAGTAGGTCTACTAGGAAAGATTCTAATAAAATGTGAAGTGAAAATGTGCTTTGTGTTCAATTGTGTTTATTTCCCTGGGAAAGCTATGAAAAATTTAATAATAATAAATGAATAAAACCAAAAACATGTTTCTAGTGTTCAATTGACTAGGTTTTGCTCTTGCATGCAAGTTTTGTATAGCAAAAAAGTAGTGATGTCTGATATATATATATATATATATATATATATCTGTTGAACTTGTTTGCAAATTAGTCATCAAAATGGTTATTTAATTCTTTAATCACAAACAGCTGTAAAGATAATGAACATGTATAAGTGTCAATCATAAATGCACTTTTGCTCTTGAAAATGCTTCGTTTTTATAAATTGCTTTCTGAAAAATCCACCCAAGTACTTTCCTGAAGTTCACAGGTCAGTAAATTGCGCTTTATTAATTGCATATGATCACAATCGAACCGATTAAAAGCTTTTCTCGGAGACCAGAGCTATTAATAATAAGCCATTGTGGGGAAAAACGCCATGAATCATCCGAGGCAAAAACATTAATCTGGTAGAGAGTTGCTCTATCAAATTGAACCTTCATTGACATTAGCTGTTCTAAATGCGCCTTTATCTGATTAAAAAACAATTAGGCTTTTAAAATAGCGTCTAATTGTTTTGTGCAACTAAAATGAAACGTCAGTCAGGATTTGTTTGGCGCCAGTGTAGTTCCCATAATGCACCACGGTTAGACAGTCTCACACAAACTCTGCTCATAAAGTTATGAATCCTCTTACGCTCGGAGATATTTCGAGACACAGCTGACTCTGTAGGGGCCAAACTGGAGAAATGTGAAATGACACCTGCGCCCATTACCTGCTGTGTATCTTCATTAGTTCGGTGGGTGAGTGTGTGTGTGTGTGTGTGGAAGCAAGCTCCGATGACTTTAACCCGACGAAGCACGACGTGTATCAAACACGTGCAGCTGTGACTCATAATAGATCGAGACGCGGGAAATAAAGCTGCTACTAAAGACATAAGTAGCTCTTATAAACCCGATTTGCATAAATAGACTTGTTCGGAGGACACGCCATCCATGAGGGTCACTGAAGTAACGTTTACACACGACAAACATACTAAAAACGAAAAGGTTTTTTTTTTTTTTTTTTTTTTTTTTTTTTTTGCGCGCGCGCGCGCGCGTACAGCTAATGGGCTATATGCACGCATAAGTTCCGCATTTGACGTAAGGATGCTCGTCCATTTCCGGTTGTGTAGATTAAAGCGGAGGAAAACCGGAGAAAACGGGATTATGGCAGAGTCTTCAAAATTTACTGTCCTCCCGTCTTTGAAACGAAACGTACATACGTTTAGATGTAATTTTATATATAGTTATGTTTATTTAATATAATTTTAAAAAGAAGCATAAACACAACGAGGGGTGTCTGTTTTATCTGTTTTTGTGACTAACGTTTCATTAGTATAACCATGGAGTATAAAATTCAATATAAACTATCGGTATTGCATTGGACTCTATGATCGGCGGAAGTTATCGAGCATCCTTAATCCTTCACCGGAAATAACGCCGTGCATAGAGCCCATAACGTTGTCGATCACACGGATCCGTGTTTTGCTGCCAGGCCAGTAGATGGCGATGTCACTTTGAGACTTGAGATATCAATGGTATTGTTTTCAAAAACACTTCATTTTTATAGCTAAACTGTGTTGTGTAAAGTTAAACGACCCTTAAGAGTCAATCTAGTCTGTTCTTCTTACAAACGGTTCTGTCTATCAGAGTTTTTTTATCTATCTATCTATCTATCTATCTATCTATCTATCTATCTATCTATCTATCTATCTATCTATCTATCTATCTATCTATCTATCTATCTATCTATCTATCTATCTATCTACCTACCTACCTACCTACCTACCTACCTACCTACCTACCTACCTACCTACATCTATATGTATATATCCACTGTCTGTCTGTCTATCTATCTATCTATCTATCTATCTATCTATCTATATATATATATATATATATCTGTATGTATCTTCTGTCTGTCTATCCATCTATCTATATACTGTCTTGTCTGTCTATCTGTCTGTCTATATCTTTATTTCTCTATATTCTCTCTCTCTCTCTCTCTCTCTCTCTCTCTCTATATATATATATATATATATCTTCTGTCTGTCTATCCATCCATCTTTCTCTCTTTATTTCTTTCTCTCTCTCTCTGCTCTCGCTCTGAGACGTGATCAGCATCTCGATCTTCATCTTTGATGCTGGTGAAAGTAGTTTTGAAGTCAGCAGATGAAACGGGGGCCGGTGTGTTGAGAGCGGGTTTCTGCGTGACCCTCCAGTGACCCCGGGGCCGTTTGATGTGAACGCGCTCCCCCCTAATTACAGACACCGGGCCGGCACCGCCTGAGACAAATTCTGCCAGCGCAAGTGACAGCGTCGGTCTGACCCGTCTGTCTGTCTCTCTCTCGGGGCGGGCGACATTGATATTCCACTCGCGTCTTTACGTCCAGAACAGGGCGCTGGGATCGTGCCAGATTTGCAATTACAGATATTAAAATGCATTTAGAGAAAGACAAGGCAGGCTTTGATATTATGGATCAGGGCAGTGAAATGCTAAAAGAGAATTTAGTGCCGGCCAAGTGAGATCACCTGTCATGTGACAGGAAATGAACAGCCTTGCTGATTTACAAGTGTGGATACTGATAATCTCGAATCCCATACGAGTTCTGTACAACAGGAAAAAGCAAAAAATCCCCAATGCTAGTTTTCTTTATTCATATTGTCCAGACAGAAGAGCAGATCAGTCCAGTCCAGTTCAGTCCTCGAGACAGTACAGGACAGCCTCCTTTAGAGAATTAACAGAGCACACTCTTGCATGGCACATCTTTTTTTATAGGGATGATTAAAAAAAGGTATTTGGTCAAAATCAGCAACAAAACTGAAAAAGCATACAACATAAATAAAATAAAGAAACTTGTGCAGAGAATTTTCTTTGTGGTGACAATAGTGGAAATACACAAAGTTCAAGATTCAGCTTTCCACGAGAACATATTCCCTCACTGGACTGTAGTGAGATTACTCAAATCACACAATGCCAAACGATTTTCTCATTAAAACAGCGGAAACGACTTAAAATAAGCTGTCGTTCATGTTCATACAGATTAAGACACAGAGTAAGATGTCATTAGAAACTGTAAGGAGTCTACTGTTAAAGGGTTTGCTCCATAGATATCCATAATAAAGGCTAGACGTCTCTATCGTCATCAACGGCGGCCATCTTGTCACAGGCAAGCTTTCTGGCAGACTCTGATGTAAGATGAGTGGTCAGCACGAACACAAATACTCTTATCTCGTTGAAATCTTGACGGATTTACAAACGGTTTGGTTTCTTACAAACTTATTAACGTGCCTATAATTCTGGATGATTATTTATTGATACAATTATTATTCATAAGTGCGCAGTGTCATAACTACATCTCTGACGTCTATAACAAACCAAACCGTTTGAAAATCGGTAGAAAATTGAGCAAGTTTTGGTTATTTAAAAAGTACATGCACCATTAAAACACAATGTTACGAGTGAGCAAGCTGCCTGTGGCAAGATGGCCGCCAGGTGCGGACGTCAACCTCCATTGGCCAGCTGCGCAGACGAAACATCTAGCCTTTATTATGGATATCTATGGTTAGTTCACCCAAAATGAAAATGATGTCATAAATGATTCGTAAGACCTCCGTTCATCTTCAGAACACAGTTTAAGATATTTTAGATTTAGTCCGAGAGCTTTCTGTCCGTCCCACAACAGAACTGCAAGACAATACAATGCTGAATAAAGTCGTAGTTTTTGTTATTTTTGGACCAAAATTTATTTTCGATGCTTCAAATCATTGTAACTAACCCACTGATGTCACATGGACTACTTTGATGATGTCTTTATTACCTTTCTGGACAAGGACAGTATACTGTGCATAGGCACAGAAAGCTCTCGGACTAAATCTAAAATATCTTAAACTGTCTTAAATTACACCCCTAGTACATATATAATATATATTATAACCTATATATTTTAAATAGTATGTGAAACATAACACATTATCTACACTCTTAGAAGAAATGGTTCTATTTAGAACCAGAAATGGTTCCATCCCCCGCTTCATATATGGAACTCCAAAATGGTTCTATATAGAACCATTTTTTTTGGTAAAAGGTTCTATTGGCCAAATATGGAACCCCAGGGTTCTATATAGAACCCAGAGGAACCCTTTTTTTAAAGAATGTATAGAACCTTTTAGGGGTTCAAAATACGTAGCGCTGATAGAACCTTTTAAGGATCTATATAGAACCTTTTCTTCTAAGAGTGTAAGGCTAAAAAGAATGTTCAAGTGGTGTTATCATTTCATAGTATACTGCAAAAACGGTACTAGTATGCAATGTTACACACAGTTTGAGTGTTGTTTTCAGTCGCGCTTTGAATACAAATGTCTTGTCTACAGGGTGTGTGTGTGTGTGACAGGCAGCGAGAGAGACATATAAGTCGCCCTCTAAGTTTAATGAAAAACAGCGTCGTGAGTTACTGGCATGCTAATGAAGCATCTTTGTCCATTCAGGGACGACAAACTAATCGCTCCTCTCCTCCAAACGCTCCTAAACGCTCCATTAGTCCAGAAGTGGATGAGAGATCTGATACGCCGAGCTCGGCTCTATTTATTAGCGTCTCTGAAATGGCTAGCCACACACATTTGCTTAGCTATCTAAATGAGGCCATTTGTTCTGTTTATATATAAAGTTAATTGCAGTAGCTAGCTAACACAAAACCTTAAAAGAAGTATTTGAGGAAATCATGTTTTTGCAGTAACCAAATCAAAACCCTAAAAGACGTCTTTAATCACGCTTAAGCTATTTTTTTTAGATAATTGCAGTAGCCTATCTAACACAAACCCATAAGTCTAAGTAAGTTAAGCTAATTTTAAGGTAACAGCTAATTCCTTAATCTATCCAACAGAGCTGAGACTGAAACTGTTCATAGATAGACATCTGGTTGTTAAA